CTTGTATTGTAGAATATCTACAACAATTACTGTGCTAAACAAGTACAGGATTCTAATGATTGGACAAAGAATAATGTACACACTAATACAATGTATAAAGTAAATAAGTAGAGGAAATTCAATCTGTCAAACTTGTCTAATTTGTCAAAATCAAAATGTTTCAATTGTAGAAAAGTAGGACATTTCTCTAAGGAATGCTGCAAACCTCCTACTGAAGCTACAAAGCTTACACATGCTAAACATCAGGCTAACATTGTGTATAAAATAAATCAAACTGTAGAAAATACAACAAACATGTTTATTATTGAAAATACAAACAAAAACAATGTTGAATTAAAAGAAGGTAATGTTGAAATGAACAATAATACCTACACTCTTATTCTGAGCAACCAGGACAAACAATTTGAACAATTCAGTTCCTAGGTATGTACTAATGTATTTACAAATACAATCATAACTAACAAGAAATCCTATATACAAATAATGGATTTACTTGATTCTAGTGTATTAATACACACATACTCCTTATCTATTTTGTTTAACAGACATACTCCTTATCTATTTTGTTTAACAGACATACACAACATAACTCCTACAATTGTAACTATTACAAATAGATCAACAATGACTCTTAATTGAGCTGGATCTATGTGTATTGAAATTCTGAAGAATACACAACAAGTAAGTGTTATAACATTACAAAACATTTATTATTATCCACAAATGAACTTTTCCCTCATAAGTCAAGTGTTACTATGTAGGAAAGGCTATTCTTTTGTGTTTACAAACAATACTTGTACTATAACATTACTATGTAACAAATATGTCAGACATGTATAATTAAGAAATAACTTGTATATATTGTACAATAATCACTTGTTAAAAACAATGAACAAACTATCTATTTATAATATACATAAACACCTTAGGCATATAAGTTACAATTATATCAAGCAATTAATAAAAACACAACCAAGTGTTCTAACAACTAAAATAACAAACTATAAAGAAAAGGAATGTATTAAATGTATAAAAGCAAATATTGAATGTACACTAATACCAAAACTACATCAATCTCCTCTTACAAATGCATTTAGAGATCATATTCATATTAATATTATTAGTCCTATTGAACTGTACACATATAAGAACATACACTACTTATTAACAATTGTAGACAATTCTACTTATTAGTACATAATACTCAAATTACAAACAAAAACTAATACATATACACAATATGTACAATGGACAACTAAAATATTTACATAGTACAGAGTAAAAATAAAACTATTACAAAGTAATAACAATACTGTATTCCTTAGTAAAGATTTCTAACAATATTTGGATTCACAAGGAACAAAACAAAGATTAACAGTACATCATACTCTGTAACAGAACAGAATAGTAGAACAAACCCATAAAACTATATTTAGAGGTGTAAGAGCATATCTAACATCTACTAAACTACCATTCACATTATAAGCCAAAGCAGTAATTCATATCACTTATATTCATAATAGAACAATTTGTACTGTATTAAATTATAACACTCTACATTACAAACATTACAGAACCTACAGAACAATTGATAATATACACAAATTTGGTCAATATATTATTATTTGTAATGAAAATCCTACAAAAATACAACAGTAAGGTATAATTACTTGTTAGATAGAATTAGATAACAAAAGTAAAGGCTATAAAACTTGGCACAATAATAAAATTACTATCAAACAAAATATTCCATTTCTCAAAGGTAAACCTTCTCAAATTGAAGAGGAGAAAATAGACAATACAAATAACAATACAAACAAGTATTTAATAATTAAAAATAACAAAACAGACAACAGAATAATAAGAACAGACAACAATAATACAGACAACACTGATCCTAATAAAAAAGGAAAAGCAGAAGAACTAACAGACATAATGGAAGATAAAGTTAAATTAACTGAAAACAAAGTAGAACCTAAATTACATTGATTGGAACAGAAACAGAAACCAACAGAATGTACTATCAAGCTTGAGTAACATATGCAGAATAAACATGTAACAAAACACATGTACACACTTAGTGAAAAGGATGAAGATAATATTACCATTCATTTAACAGAATTCAATACTAAAATAAGTGAAATACAATTGGATCCAACTTTATTTTATAAAGCAATTCAATGTCCAGACTATGATTTATAAATAAAAGCTATGAAAGACAAAATAAAACAATTAGAAAATTATAATACATAGGAAATCACATATTCATACAATAATATTAACATTATCAGAACACAATTTGTCTATAAAATAAAGTAATACACTGACAATAGTATCAAAAAATACAAAGCACAATTAGTAGTTTAAGGAAACTATTAGATTGACAGTCTTAACTATCATATAGACAATTTATTTGCTCCTACTGCTAGACTATCTACAGTACAATTAATATTAGCATAGGTAGTATCTAATAATTATGAAATACATTAGATAGATATTAAATCAGTATATCTATATAGACAATTAATAGAAGACAAAGAAATATATGTTAAACCTCCTCCAGGTAACTTAATAAACAGATTACAGAATGGACAAATATTACAATTACAAAAAGTACTATACAGATTAAAACAAGCTAGTAGAAGATAGTATAAAACACTATCTAATATACTACTTAAGTACAGATTAACAAAATCCAAACATGATAACACTGTATTCTTTACAAAGAAGAAAGAAATAACTGTAACTATATTATTTGTACATGTCAACAATATTACTATCAATACTATTATAATGATAAAACAATCTATTACACATTATTTACAATATACAGACAGTAGAGAATTACATTAGCTACTACTTAGTATAGAGATTCAACACAACAGAGAGTATAGATTCATTAGGATGTGTCAGACACATTATATTAATAGTATAATCTTACAAACAAACAGAGCATACAAACACTCATACAACTGGGTACACAATTAAAAACAGTATTGTAAACTGATACTGATAGAAAACAAATGTCTGAAATACTATACATGAACATGGTTGGTACACTTAGATACATTACAGACTGTACACAGTCAGATATAGCAATTGTAACAAATCAGTTAGTAAAATACCTTAATGACTCTGGTATGGAGCATTATCTGGCACTTAAACACTGTTACATGTACTTAAAAACTACAAACAATGTCTGGCTCCAACTCAGTAACACAAATCAATCAATATTGAATAGATATACAGATACAGACAGTATGATACAAGAAGGGCATTGTGTAATATCAGGATATGCATTTTACTTGAACAATTCATTAGTTTCATGGTTAAGTAAAAGACAAACACTAGTGGCAAATTCAACATGTGAAGCTGAATTAATAGCTCTTACAAGAGGAACACAAGAAGTGATCACACTTACCCATTTAGCTGAAGAGATTCTGTAGGTCTCTGATGCACCAATTAATATTTATTACAATAATAATACTGTTATACAAACAGTTACATTGGACAAACTCAAATACTCAGAACAGACAAAGTATTTAAATCATAAGAAAGATTTTATTAAATACTATATTGAATTAGAGTACATAAATGCAAAATACATACAGACAAATGATCAAAGAGTGGATATATTAACAAAAGCACTATATGTACCACAAGTCAAACATCTTACTAGTTTACTTGAACTAGTAAGAGTTTGAAGGGGAGTATTATGAGATGATGAGTTTATCACAAGACAATGACTTCATAATGTCTTAGTTAGAATACATACAATATAAGGATGAGAGACACTGAGTGGTCAATCATCACCTTGCCCCTTGTTCTTGCATGCCTACCCTTTTCACAACCTGTGTGTCACTGTCAACAAAAAAGCATCATGGTTTAGTGGAATATTCAATACAACAGATGCTGAAAATGCCAAGAATCAAGGTCAGTATTTAACTATTTAAAACATCACAATCTGCATGTCATAACATTCTTTTAACTTACAAATTTTTGCCAGGTCAACCAGACATAATACAGGGCATTCAGAGCCCTCAGTCATCTCAGTTGTTTCAGCCATCCTAATTGTAAAATGCAAAGAAGTCAAGTACAGGAGTGATTGTCAGTACTGTTGTTGGCACTGTAGGTTTCTGTGTCATTGTTGTAGTGTTTTGGTACTTTGTTGTACAGAGGAAGAGACTGTGAGTCACACAAGGAATTCGTCCTACATGTGCAGTACAATCAGAACTGATTCTCAAAGTTGATGCTCCAAATATCACTCAGTCTGCTGCCCCTACTCTATCAACAGGAACAAGACCAACTGAGCAGGAGGAGGAGGATGATGACCAATGTTTGGAGGAAGCACTATTATGTGTTTCTTGTGTCTGCAACACCGTTTCAGCATGCCAGTCATGAATGGCATAACAAAAGTGGTGGTGGGATGCTATTCATTTGTCCTTTGTTTCAGAGCTTATTTTGATTCACATAATACAATTCTTTTGCAAGACAAGCAATAATGATAGTGATTGTGATAAAGATAATTGTAAACGTATAAAGACAAAGATATAGTTAAGTAATAAGAATAGCAGATAGCAAGGTGTGTGAAGTGTCCATGTGTTAAAAAAAAAGAGTAATCGAGTAGGGGGATAGAAAAACTGAAGCGCGTTAGACAGTCCATGTGCTGTGCTGTGCATCAAGAAGAAAAAAAAATGGATACAAAAGTGGAGAAGGGAAAAGGTGGAGATGACATCCATGCGCGCGTCGCAGTCATTCATAATGTGTAGAGTATAGAGTCGTGTAGACGTTCATAACCATAACCAAGAAAAAAAAACGAGAGCAAGAATTTGTATAGATAGATAGAAGGATGGGCCGGGAGGGGGGGAATGATGGATGAATGAATGTGTAAAAAAGACGTCCTTTTCGTATGCGCGTATCCAAGAAAGAAAGAGAAGGAGAAGAGGAAGAGAGCGGAAGTGGTGGAATCACCAGTGGGGTAGGGTGTTCAAACTCACTACTCATATGCCAATCACCTCTGTCTCACTCTCAAAGCTCCCATACCTCTGCGCTCGAATGCGCTGCGAAGACGCACGTGTACCACGGAAGTCCACACTATGCGACGACTCCGAAGCAATGATCACGTCGCTCTCACCGTGCATCTGGCTCGTGTCGTACCCGCTCCTGTCCTTCTCGACGACGCCGTCGATTCGATCGAGTTTCTCCTTCACGCTGTTACTCGACCCGAAGACTCGACTTAGGAAACCACCAGACATGCTTTCCCGTATACGCGGAATAGACGCGATTCCCGCAGCAGGCTGCCAAGACGAGCGTTTCTCAGGGAGCTGAAGTGGAATCGGACGGAGCTGTACACCAGTAGCATTCGCCGAAGTACGAGTGGCAGATACACGATGACCCGCACCAGGTGGAGCACATAACGAGAGACGCGAAGCACCGCGAGAGCCAGGAGTAGGGGACATCGAGTCCAGCTTGGCAGGGATAGTGATCACGTTGTGCTCGTCCTCAAAGTCTTCCGGATCAGAACCCGAGGAACCGTTATCTTCAGTCAACGAACCCACGCTCAGTTCAGACTCAGTGGTCGTGCACCTAGACATGGCACGCAGCGGAGAAGACCCAACAGCAGACAAAGGAGAAGGCAACATTGGAACACGAGAACAACAGCCAGGAATGTCCAAGTATCCAGACGAAGACGAGGATGAGGAAGACGACGAGTGATGGTCGATCTTCAGGCTTGGAGGAATAGCATCATAAGGAGGAGTGGGTGGCATCTGAACGTCGATGAACGAGCGTGACCGACGAGCCTTGATGCGGTTGACAGCCAATTGACGCGTCTCCCTGTCCTGTGCAGGCGAGGACGTACGACGAGGCATGAAAGGTGCCCAGTGCTCAATAGCCTGTTCCTCAGCGAAGCGAAGATCAAAGTCCAGTAAGGAGACAAGCTGCGACTCCATAAGATTGATCTCAGCGTTCTCAAAGATCTCAGCGTATCTTGTCCAATGTTTATTCTTCGGGGACGAGTCATTTAGGTACTTCGCGGCAACGATGAGTGTAGCGAGGAAGACACGGTGTCTAGTGCACGGCATGCCTGAAAGATTTAGTAGCAAAAAAACGGAATAAAAGAAGTTGATTCGTAAGATACAGAAATCAAACAGATAAATTAAAACAAGCGGCATTCACTCACCCTTCGAAAACTTAGGCAGCCGATGACGTAGCCTCTCAAGATAAATAATTGTCGTCAGAAGCGTCGGAGTCTGTACATTGGCAGATTCCACAAGCTGAGTAATGAAATCCTCAAGCGGAGGCAAGAACGGCGTGGATGCTCCCCCAGTACCGCTTCCTTGTTGACTCTGCCCAATCTTATTCTGCTGGAGCTGTATCTGTGCCTGGTACTGCGTCACCTCCGCCTCGCGCTCCGCGAACGTCTTCTTCAAAGGCGTATGGGGAGGAGTCGGGAGTGCTCCTGAGTTCTTGGAAGTGGTAGGGTCCTCGACGACGATCACGCTCATCGTCTTTGCCGCGATATACGAGATCATCTCGCGGCTGACAGGTCGGCGGAGTAGGTCGATCAGCGCGGGGTCATGCATTGATTTGGGAATGAGCGAAGCGCCGCAACGGCGTTCGGAGGTGGACTGAGTGGTTGGCATTGTATCAACACCAGTACCAGTATCGATACCACTATACAATCGTCCCCTGGTACGGAAGTTGTGGTAATGGTGGAGTGAGCGAGAGTGGGAGTTAAAGGTACAGGGACCCCTTTAACCACGAGTGGGTGGTGGCACAATTCTGAACGCGAACGGGTCTCCCGTCGAGGGAGGTCGTCGTAGTATCGTTCCACAGACCCAGTCAGACCGACAAGTAGGCAGGTAGGCAGACTAACAAGCAGCAGCTCGAACCAAAGAGTGAGAAGTCGAGAAATCCAGCCAAGCCAAGCAAGAAGAGAGAGACAGAGTATAGCAAAGTGGGCGTAAGAGGCAAGAGAGGCAAGAGGAAGAGAGGAGGGAAGAGGGAGAGGAAGGAAAAGAGCGAGTGGAAACAACACCAAAGAATACGCCGATCCCCACTTCCCTTTTATACCGAGCAACAAACAAAACGCAGTTTGGACCAGCAAAGCGCGTCGCGTCACTAACAAGCGCAAATAACAACAACCAAAAAGAAATGTCCGCGAGCGACAAACAACAGCGGAGCGCGGAGCTGGCCAGCAGGGAAGTGGAGAACGGTAGAGAGACTCAGAGAGAGAGGGGTCGTAAGAGAGAGGGGGAAGGGAGAAGTCACCGTTACAATGGTGGGCGTCCTTGTCAAAAGGCGTAAAGCAAATATCTCTTCGGCCTCGTCTTATTTTATTCACATCAAGACTTGTCAGCCCAACTAGCCCAGACGCACATCTCTCTGATATTACCTCACATGGACGGATCAGTGAAGTGGCTGACAAGATCACCAGACTGCTTTTTCTGCTCTAGCACTGAATCGCTAAATACGTAGAGCACATCACCCAGACACAAATATCTATCACACTTTACACACAGGAAGGATCAGTGAAGTGGCTGACCGTTCTGCCAGTCAACCTTTTATCCAGTACTAAATCGTAGAGTACATCAAGAGAAAAGAAGAGACTAAAAACAAGTAAACACAGAGAAAAAAAGTAAATGCAGACAGAGACTAATAAGACATTGAAGACGATAGCACAGGACAGACGGACGGACGGAATGTACGGATAGACGGAAGATAAGAACAGAGAGACAAACAGACAGAGAGACAGAGAGACGAGAGATTTAGGGATGGAAGATGGAGGAGAAAAACCCCACGTTATGCAGAAAGCGAGGCAGTACTAATACATATACACTCTAGGTAGGTACTTGCGCGACGAGATGAGATAGCAAGAGGAAAAGCTGAGATACGATGAGACGAGACAAGGAGACAGGAAACACAAACGAAACGCGAGATAGGAATGAAATAAGAACGAAAATACGAGACGTGAGCTTGTGTAAGGATGACGATGCAACAAGAAAAAGAAAAGTAAATCGAAACATTGAGCCAAGAAAATAATTGAGACTGAGATGCGGATTGATGGGTCGAGTTTATGCGTGCAAACAGTGAATGGACGGATGCAATTTTTTTTTTCGTGAGGGATAAGGCATGACAAGGTAGTAGGGTCAATGCCGACCGCTCCTCTTCCTCTGCGCCCTCTTCGCAGGTGGCTGCACCTGTGATTCCACAGTAGCAGTCGTCGGACTCGCAGTCTCCCCCGCCTTCCTCTTCAACGTTGCATGCGCAACCATAGGCGTCGAACTCGTACTCGTCGGCGCCCCAGCACTCAAAGGAGGCGCGTTGGGGGTCTGCGCACTTGCAGGTGTCGAAACCATATGAGGTGAAGATGACATATCAACTCCTTGTGCTTGTGCTTGTCCAGGTCCACCCTGCCCAGGCCGATGTTGTTGTTGTAAGTTAGGATGAGGTTGTAACCCTCCAGGAGGCTTCGTTGTCGCATGTTCCACAGGAGGCGAAGACTGATAAAGCGTCACCGCCGGACTAGTCACCACCCCATTCGTCTGCTGCGAATCCATAAGCTGCCCGGGACTGTTCTGGTTCGGCGGTTGGAAGTTGAACCCTTGCTCTCTTAGCAAATGCGCGAAATTCTTCAACGCTTCTTTAGGCCCAAATCCCGCCTGTAAAGAAAAATCCATCAACCCAGACATCAAACCCACACTCTCAGCCAACTATTCAAACAAAACAAATCACTGATTAGTATACAGACTGTAGGGTAAGGTTAAAGATTCGTAAACTTGCCTCTAAACACCTCATCGTAGCCTGCGGTATCCCAAACGCATTCACAGGCTCGGACGGTATCGTCGCCCTCTCAAAATGCACAACCATATCCCCCCCTCCTCCAGCACCAGCTTTCTCATCCTCAAACGCCGGCGTACCCCCAACCCCACCCTCCGCACCACTCGCACTCGCAATCGTCGAAGTAGAGGACCCAGCAGGACTACTCTCCATCTTCATCATCATCTTCGGCGTCCTCTGCACAGGATCACTCCTCCTCCCATGAATACACTCTACCCGCAAAGCCTTCTCATGCTTCTGCGCATCGAACGAAATCGTGTCGATCTTCAACGTATATGGCATATGGGGCGGTTGTGGTTGTGGTTGTGCACCGTTCGCTCCTGTTGGAGGTGGTGGTATAGCCGGAGGATTCGGAACTATTACGACCGTAGCGTTAAACGGTCCACGTAGCGTCACGATATACCCATTCAAATAGTAAAACGTCCATGACGCAGTTAGACTCTCGACGTACAGAGTATACGCCGTCGGTCCCATTCGTTCCTTTGCACCCTCAAAGTTAAAAGACATCGACGATACACCAGATTGAGCCGTGACGAGGAAGAATCTATGAAGGATCGGCATCGTGATGTCTATTTGCAAAATATGAAATAGAGTGGATCGACAAGATGACGCCGCCGTTCTTCAGTCAGTATTCTGCAGATCGAGGGATCAAAGAAAATAAAAAAATGTTTTTACTCACCGAATGGTTTGGCTTCTGTCTGCGCGTTGTCTTTCCAAAGTGTGAATTTGAATACTGCTTTTGCAGTGAAATACTCCCCAACAAGACTCTCCCAGAAATCTTTTGAAAGCTACAAACAAGCAATATTAGAGTTCAATCACTCAGATCATAACACTGGTAATACTTACTGGTACTTTGGGATGTGATAAACTCTCACTAAAGGAAAGCAATCGGCTAATTGCACTGAACCCTGGATGACTGTAATGTAATGAAATTTTAGTAAAACGGCAAAACGAAGTATCAAAACACGGAAAATAAAAAAACGCACAACGGCCGTTGAAAGTACTGCATTGGCACCATAGGTATAGCAGATGGGGGAGGGTTCGTTCCATCCTGAGTAGGAGGCCGCGGTTGTCCCGGAGGTGCCGCAGCGGTTGGTTGTTGCTGCTGCGGTTGAGTGCCCGCATTCGGCGGTTGTTGTTGCTGGGATGAGGGGGGCTGCTGGGGTTGTGCTTGCTGCCCTGCATTAGGATGACTTCCTCCTGGCATCGGATTGATACCTAACCCAACTCCAGCTCCAGGGCGAGTTAAGGGCGCCATTGGCGGCTGCGCTCGTCCACCAGGCGCACCCGCACCACCAGCATTAGACACATTCGACACATTCGACACATTCGACGGTGCGCCAGGTGTAGACGGTAACTGCGTCGCCTGCGTCCGTGGTGTTCGCGTAGGCGCAGATCCCTGTCCCGGGCCACCCTGACCTTGTTGTGCTTGCCCCTGTCCAGGACCCGCACCAGGAGTCCCTCCAGCTTGTACATGATTCTGCTGACGCGGCGGCGCCTGGACGACCGACGGTGATCGATTGAGCTGACCTTGCGGCAGTCCCTGCGCAAGCGTCGGGGTACCCATTCGACCAAGCGCGTTAGCCTGCGCTAGCGCAGGAGTCGGCTGCCGATGCGTAGCAGGTGAATTCGAACGTTGTCCTGGGTGGACGGAGCTTGGGAATGGCTGATGTGTCGGTTGCCCGTGCGGTTGACCATGTGGATGCGCCTGGCTCGTTGGCGGTCGCTGTTGTGGTGCACCAAGCGGTCCCGTACCCGGCCCCCCGCCCGGTCCTGGCCCAGGACCTTGATGTGATTGGTTAGTTAGCGGCGGCATCACCCCGGCATACTGTCCCATAGTACTTCGTTGTTGCATCTCGAGCTGTTGAGCGGGGGTAGGGAATGGAGGTCTCCCGGCCATCCCCATGCCCGGTGTACCTGCCATACCACCGGCACCAGCAGCAGCACCACCAACAACAACAGGCCCTGGGCCTCCAGCACGACTCCCAGGTCGCCCATTCATCGACACTGGCGAACCCCTAAGAGTGGACATCGGATTCTGCTGTGGAGTCACTCGACCCGGCATCCCGACACCCTGGGCACCATACGGAGGTCCAGGTGGTCCACCTTGCTGCCCAGGCTGAAGTTGCATCGGATGCCCACCAGGCTGGCGCATCTGCCCTCCAAACTGCGGTTGGCTTCCACCTCCAGGGAAGTTGATCATCGGTTGCTGTTGTTCACCAGCGCGTGACTGCGGACGCATCGACGCGGGCACCGACGGGGTCTGAGGTTGCGAGTGTCCGCCCGTCCCCGGGCGTTGAGGCGACGCGGCATTCGGGTGTTGCTGCCCGGGGTGTGCTTGCATCCCACCAGGCATTGCGTTCGCGTTTTGAACGTGGTTCGGGCCTGGCAGACCCGACATCGGTAAGCCCGACGGCTGCTGGGAGTGCTGTCCAAGATGTTGTTGCTGCCCTCCGAGCTGCTGGTGCTGATGCTGCTGTTGATGTTGATGTTGCATCTGTGGGTTTTGCATGGCATGTTGGTGTAAAGGATTCACGAAAGGCGGAGGATTCTGCTGTTGTTGCCCATGCGGGTGTTGCTGAGAGAGGTTCGGGTTCGCATGATTGGGGTGGTTTGGATGGCCAGGATGCATCCCGCCGGGTGCGAGGCCAGGAGCGCCCATAGACTGCGCCGAAGGCGTTCGTTGCATTCCTGGTGCGCCCATGGGATTCGGATTCATTGGGTTAGGTATCGAGCCGGCAGCAGAATTAGCGTTATTCATTCCCGCACTTAGCGGCTGCATTGCGGGGTTAGTGTTGACCATGTTGGGCGTGCGTGGATGTTGGAGACCATGCGGTTGCTGGCCAAGGTGTTGTGGTTGCTGAGCCTGCGGCTGCATATGCCCTTGAGCCTGCTGTACGTGCTGGTCCCTTTGACGTTGATCTTGTATAACAGCAGCCAATTCTGGCGGTACACTGCCGCTTGGGTTACGTTGTCCAGGTGCTAACTGACCTGGCGGAGGCTGAGATCCAGGGGGAAAACGCTGCGCAACAACAGGTATACCCTGTCGTAACGCAGCCATGGAATTAGTCATGCCCATGCCCATGCCTCCGACCCCCATTCCACCGAGCATATTCATGTTCATACCAGCGTTCGCTGTGCCTGGGGCCTGAGGTTGGCCAGGTTGACCAGTTTGGCTGGGTACGCGCCGGATGGCTCCTAGCTGCTGAGCCATCGCACTGGCCGTGTTTCCAGGATGGAAATTCGCGCCAGGCACCCCGCCCATACCAGCAATCCCAAGCCCGCTCATCGTACCCATACCATTAGCAGTTCCTGTGTTCATTAAGTACGCCGGTCGGGGGCTGCCAAAGTTGCCCATGTGGGACGACATACCTGGAAACCCACCAGGTTGCGGTGGCTGTTGTTGTTGTTGTTGTTGTTGTTGTTGTTGCCCTTGCAATCCTTGCTGATGCTGCATCTGCTGCCCTCCATGTTGTTGAGGATTCTGCTGCTGCTGTTGTCGGGCGGCGGCTTGAACAGCGGCAAGACGCTGCTGCTGTTGCTGTTGCTGCACCTCGAGCTGCCGTTGGAGCATTGGATTCTGGCTGTGGGCGGCCATGAACTGAAGTCCGTTCGGCTGCTGCCCGAGTCCCGGCTGCACACCTGCTGCGCCTTGGTTCTGGCCAGGCTGGTTGCCTGTTGGTTGCAAGCCACCCATCGGAGGCGGGTTCGCATGTGGTGGCTGTTGATGGTTCGGAGCCAAGCCCATTGGTGGAGGGCCATGCTGCCCCGGGTGTTGTTGATTATGGTTATGAATCTGTCCGGGACCGCCTCCAGCTCCGGCTCCAGCTCCCCCTGCTCCAACAGCACCCATGCCGCCCATACCACCCATACCCGCCATGTTCCCAAGTCCGCCCATACCACTCATGTTGGCCATTGCTCCCATCGCACCTATTCCATTGATATTACCAAGGTTAGCGCCGGCGGTACCTGGCGCAGTGGGCGGGAAGGGTCCGATTCCGTTGATTAATCGTGGGTTGTTCATCATGTCTGCAGGGGCAGTGTAATTGTTTAGCAGACGGAGGTATCGTCGTTAATAATTTGGTGAGTCAACGTCGCGCGTCACTGGTAAGTAGTGATAATAGTGGGTAGTAATATGTGGTTTGTGTGGTCGCTCTAGCGTGCGAGCGGAGACGATGGACCCACGGATCGTTCTATCTCGAGCAGCCTAGCGTGACAAAGATTGACACGGGCTGCGAGGGCGAGGACGAGAAGCGTTTATCGAGAGACGTTCTGCCCGTCAGGAAGACGATGCCAATTGAGTAGAGAAAGAAATAAAATATATTGATTGTTTCCGACGAGCCTGTGTCAGTCAGTCAGTCAGTCTCAATCTGTGTGATTGCAAAGTGACCGCTGTTGACGCGTAATGGGCCAAGACACGACGCACCAGAGGGGCCAGACGCGGGAAAAGGCGCCGGAAGAGAGGAGAGAGGGGTGTGTCGTTGAGGGGAAAACGGGGACTGTCGAGCGTGCGAGGAAGGAGATGAAGCGTGTTCGGACGCGGCGGGTCCAAATCGAGAGAATCGTGTAAGGGTGCCGGAACAGAACAGCACAAGCCAGAGAGAAGAACACAACAATACAATTCACGGTCGTCGCTCAGCCACTCAAATTATTTAATAATACGTCACGAGACTTACCGCGTGCAGCACTCGACGAACAACGACGAGCGCGGAGAGATAGGTAGGGAGGAAGTGATGAAGGAGAAAATAGGGCGACAGAGGGGGAGGAAAGAAGTTGTTGTGAAGGGATGTACGGGAAGAACTGGTTGACGTTGAAAAGGCAGGGAGAGATGGGATCAGCGCACTGCCCGTGATAGCGCCTGATGTGTTTCGCCTTGCGCCCACTGAGAGCGATGCGGGCGAGAGAGGGATAAAGACCGAGGTCGGGGGCGGGCTACGGGAGCGGCGGGGAGACCGGAGTAGGTATAGAACGGAAGGGTCGACGGTGCGGGATCGAGGCAATTGTCTTTACATCTCTTTGCTCTCACGGCCCATGCACTGGCACTGTGCTCCTCGCCACTTTGCTGTCACTCCTGTACTCGCCACATCGTTGTCCACTATCTCCGTTAATCTCTCTCTGTCCCTGCTCATTATCGCTGACTTTTTGTTCTTGGCTATAACTACCACAACTCCTTGTTATATCGCATTTACCGTATATCCTTCCATTTTGTGCTTTATTTCCTGCAAGTGATGACGTGCCGACCATCGCATCACGGCATCACGGCACTTCACATCACGTGCATCTGATTTTGGCTCCGTCAAATTTTTGACTTGACTTGGACTTGGACTTTGCTTTGCCTTACTTGTGTATGCGTCCGTTCGATCTCTGCTTTTTGGCTCCGTCATTTTCGATATCAAAACTCTGCTTTCAGTTGGTATTCAGCATCCGTGTCCACCATGGTCCGCCAATTCAAACACCACGAACAAAAACTACTCAAAAAAGTCGACTTTCTCAACGTGCGTCTCCTCCCCTAATTAAAACTACCCCACCCTAATTAATAATTAACAAATTAACCCTCCAACGCACAGTGGAAACAAGATGCCAACCTCCGCGAAATCCGCATAATGCGTCGATACCACATCCAAGACAGAGAAGACTACCATAAATACAACAAACTCTGCGGATCCCTCAAATCATACGCACATCGTCTCTCTCTCCTCCCTTCCCCTGATAACTCCTTCCGATCTCGCATGGAATCAGCTCTCTTAGGAAAACTATACGATATCGGCGTACTCAACTCCTCTTCGAAGTTATCTGACGTCGAGAAGAGTCTGACAGTCTCAGCGTTCTGTAGAAGGAGATTACCTGTTGTAATGGTTAGGTTAAGGATGTGTGAGAGTGTTAGTGCCGCTGTGAAGTTTGTCGAACAGGGACATGTAAGAGTTGGTCCTGATACGATTATCGATCCGGCTTTTATTGTGACGAGACATATGGAGGATTTCGTTACGTGGGTTGATACGTCCAAGTTGAAGAGGACTGTTATGCGGTATAATGATGAGGTACGTTTTGTTGTGCGATTGTTGTTTTGGTTGATTTTGCGTGTTGATACTCTCTCTCTCTCACTTTCCACGCCGCCGTTCAGCTCGACGACTTTGACCTTTTATAGTCTTGTCTTGTCTCTACCATCAGTCTTCCAGCACTCCAGCACTTCAGGTCCTTGTCCCCTCACTATCAACAACGATCCAACGATCCAGTTACTCTCGACAGAACACACACACATGTCACTTCACCTTATTCATTTCTATCTCTGCCTGCCCTGATTCTTAGATTAGCTTGCAGGGAATCCACCCCCTTTTTTTCCGGCTCTTTTAACATCTTTCTTCCAGCAAATTTCCTAATACATTCTACAATCTAGTGTTATTACTGTTATTACTGTTATTACTGTTATGTTTCTTATGTTCATTATATCATCATGTATGTGTACTATGTATGCTACATGCATTTATTACTGGTATACAACATATGGTGTGAGAGCAACTGATAGCTAACAATAGTAAATCTTAGTCGTAAATATAGACTTCGCCTCCGCAATCGCCACTGAAAAGAATTTTATAATGATAAAAGTCAGTTTTGACGGTTAATAAGAGGATAAGAGGATAAGAGGATACTTACACAACTAATCTATGCTCATTCTTGGATATATCACCCACGGAAAAGCAAGCAACGTCGTGATCTACTTCAGCGAGGACCATACTTTCATCTGTATGTGCCGGGGGACATTTCATATCCCATAATCTGACACAGCCTGAAGAAAATAGAAAGAAAGTGTAAGTATATCGGGGGATTAGAGAAAGAGGAAGAAAGCAAGACTGGAAACATACCGTCAGTTCCACCGCTAACCAACCCAAGCTGCCCCCTCCCCACCCCCTCAACCCAGTGCAACCCAGTAACACCATGCTCCAACTCCCTCGGTCGTCCGACCATCTTATGACTCAGTACAGCCCACGGCCTTTCTCCAGTGAGGAACCGAACGTCATACACGTGCGTTGCGTTATCTGTCCTTGCGATTGCTAGGAGAATACCGTCTGGGGAGAATGACGAGCAGGTGACTTCGAGGGGGTCTTTTGCGGAGGATAGTTGGGCATGAGGTTTTAAGGGATGGAGGTGGGTGCCTGTGCATCGGGTACCTTGGCCCCGAGCGACGTCGAAGAGGGAGAGGAAGTGGGAGTTGTTGGCGCCGGTCTCTGTGATTAGCGCAAGAACTCGGCCTGTAAATCAGACGAGAAAATTATTGTTCTTTAAGACAACCTCATCCAAGTCGGCGCTTATTGAAACTTGTGTTGGACGTACCTTGCGGATCCAAAGCCATAGCCTCAGCAGAATCGTCAATATCCAACTCATAATCTGCACATTGCAGAGCAACGTTAAACGCAGTATGTTGACAAACGTTCTCCCTCTCGGACTCCGAGGAAGCGAAGAGCATGTCGTTAAGTCCGCTGTTGAATGACGTAGCACCCCAGATGAAGGATCCTGGGCGCGAGTCTCGCCCGTTGACGACTTCGAGTGTAAAGCGGGAGGTGTCGGAGGTGTGGATGTGGATGTTTCTATATGTACATATTGCGGTAAAACGTTATTATCGTTTTTTAGAGTGGAGGAGGAAAGGGGGGGCGGGGGGAGGGAACGGCGTACCCGTCAAAGCAGCTCACGCCGAAGATTGACGAGTTCGGTTTAAACGCGATGTCGTAGGGCGCGTGCGCATATTGGACTAAGGTTCGACTGAGAAGTTGAACGCATGGACACGGAGAGGTGCTTACAAGTATTGAGACACTCAGGTGAGAACTCATCGTCGCATGCTTTGAGGTCGAAGGTTCGTACGACGCAGTCGTTGCCGGAAGATACGAGACAATTCGGCCTAGAGAACTGGCACTCAGTGGAGGAACAACGCAGATGCGAGAATGAAGTACCTGAGAGGATCGAATGCAACGTCGTTGACGGTATAGTATTTAGAGCAGTCTGCGGACAGGGCCGTTAGTGTTTGATTCCGTAATACGTACGGAACATGCTCACTCCATATCCTGTCGGTAGGCCACGTCCTCCTGTGATCATTCAAGACCGCATCTAAAGGGGTTAGCCTTAGCCAGCAAACTAAAAATGTTCCCATATAGCACGCACGCTTTTGACCGCGCCACACAACGAGATTACCATCCCGATTATACGGATCTACTTCAGCTGTAAATCCGGTTCCGCCGTCAACCGCTACAAGGCACAACAATCAGGCACAGGGTACTCACGAGCTCGGGATGTCCTATCCGGATGACCCCCCTTCGTCGGACTTGCAACGGCAATAAACTCATGGGATTGTGCAACTTTGTTGACGGCTATCAGAAGCGGAAGTGTGAATATTCGAAGATTCTATAGTACAAGTGCGGTGAAACTGCACGTACAGCCGGATGTCTTCTTGAATGGAGCTCCGCTGAGGCGCAGGGAAGATACAGTGAGGTGTGAGTTGAAAACATTAATTGATCGCGACGACGTGGCCCTGGATAGAAGACCTCTGCTTTGTCTGAGGTGGCGATAGTCTACGGTTGTGTGTATGTAGGGACTCGTAGCCTATCAGGGCATTAGAAAAGTTGTAATGAAAATGGAATATATTTTAACGTAAACGTACGTATTCAGCCTTAAAGCCATCCCAGAGACGAGATGGCCTTGCTCTCGACTGCTCAGAGCTTGCTGATAGTAACCCAGTTCCAGCTCTTGGTAGGGTTTGACTTTTGACTGACTCCCGTTTACGAGATGATCGGAATGTTATCCTGGGTACCACTTTTACAGGCATCGGAGGAGGTTCTATGTCTATAGTATTCTTATCGTCGCTGTCGTCCACATCCATGCTCCCATCGTCTCCTCTCACCCAGTCCCAATAATCATCCGCCGAAATATATTCATCTTCCTCCTGAAACGACCGATTAGCGGAGATTGATGGAGGAACTGGATCAAGTTCCATTTTCATCGTCTGATCCTGTAAGTTATTTATTTAAAGTTTTATAAATCAGTATGCAAAAGATACAGCACTTACAATGAGAATTGACGGTGATCGTTCGCGTACGTCAGGCGAAACAGATGGCTTTTTAGGTGAAGGGCTGGGTGCAGGTGCAACAAGTCCATAGAGCTGTGGGTTGACTGCCGGGGTTAGAGTTCCAGCTCCTGCGCCTTGCCAGGACAAGTGTTCTTTCTGTAGCTCTCTGTATTGCCTTGGATAGCCAACAGAACGTTGAGCAACAGAAAATATTGAAAATATATCATTCTGCTCACTTTGATGGACCAGCATCTGAACATTCATTCTTTGACGTGGTCGTCCCTAAGTTCAAGAAAGGGGATGACAACGTTTGAAGCTTTCTGTTAACAACAATACTGTCAGTCCCATCGTCACTGCTTTCATCGAGGACGATTGGCAGTTGTGATGAGCCATGCTGTGCCCTGGCTGTCTTTTGGCGCTTTTGCAACCGCCTTGCACGCAACGGTGGGGGATTTGTCACTTCCTCGACACCATCAGAGTCGTCGTCAATATCAATAGGCTCATGTCTCTTCCCTGTTTGCTGCATCCGCCAGTTTGAGGGATTTGATTGAGTTAGGAGAGGACGCGTACGACGTGGCGTAGACCAGAACCAGACGCGTCTTGGAATTAAGGTTACCGTCAAACCTTGTCTACACTTGTCTTCTGAACACGATCACCCTATCAATGTTGAAGCTGCCTTTGGAAGCAAATTTTCAACAATGCCTCTTGGCGGCTCTGCAATAACACGAACCTGATCTAGATTTTACGGAGTTAAAATATGTCTACGGCTAGATAACGACCTCTGATGTCTTCTCTAACAGCGTGGCTTTTGGAGTGCTTCAAAGGGTCCTCACGATCGTCTGAACCATACAAGAAAGATCAACTCGCTCATTATCTGATATTTGCAAAGGTCCCACGTGTACAACTAGCATCGCAAGTACCATTCAACATTGGATGAGTGCGAGGTCTTCTTCAAATGGATTCTGTATCTCCTGCTTGCAACTTGCTGTTCACGAGCGAATATGAAGCACGGCGCGCTGCACAGGCGTGTGCGAAGCAATCTCACCGTCCTGCTGCCTCAAGTACCCTGGGAAGGCGAGAAGGTCGCTATCAAATTCAAAAACACGTCGGAAGTCGGAATGCCGTGCAAACGACGCCCTGACACAGATAAAGGGAGTAAACTCGCGGTGGGATTGGCGGCGACTGACCGGACCGCCTGAGAGCGCCTGACTACGGTGCCGAGCTATTCAATTGGAAACGGGCATCGTTTCCAACATGCCTGGCGAAGAACCTCGGGGCTGGTGTTGTGCCGAACCCTTCTGCATGGTGCGCGTTCCTGACACAAGAGTGCGCGAATATTGCTTCCGTATGGGCTAAAGCCTCAACTGGGGCAATTGCGCAAGATGTTGTCGTCATCCGCCTCTTTGACGGTGGCGACCCCGCTGCGCTTGGCTGCCGAGTTGCGATGAGCGATGGGCCGCCTTGCGACTGATCGCGTAGGCTTTTGTATTGTGTGGCTGAACCACGCGCTTTGATGGACTGTCCCTTCTCCGACGTTCTGTGTGGGTATGGATGATGCGGTCAGACCTCTTTCCTCGCGGGCAGTCCGGACTTGGTTTCCTTTTCGGACTAGAGTTGGGGACAATTTTGCTCAGTGTTGGCGCAATCAGCTCCGCGGCCGCCTGGCTGCCCAATGACCATATCGCCGGCGCGCTAACTGCGGGCTCTGCTTCCAAGGATATGCCGGAAGCAATATTGGTCATAAACATGTGTTGATTCCAAGTCCCCTCGCTCGTCGCCGAACGACGGGAACGCAACGTCGGTGCGCGAATCGAAGCTATCGAAAGGCACGCGAGTGGATTTGCTGTGCTTCGCGCCAACCATCGGCGGCCGATACTGCTGCGGCGCGATGGTCCGCGCGCCCGAGGGCCGAGACCAGGGCGGCGTGCCGAACAAATATCCTAATGCGGGAAAAGTCGCGGTACCGCTTCACTATTTAGAGTTCAAGCGCTACTGCGGACGCCGGAAGCCGCCCCCGGACGGCGCGCGCGACCATCGTTCCGCCAAGAGGCTACTTATAACACACCAGGCCCATCACACGCCCCCCTTCTTGAACCTGCCCCTTCCCTCCCACTCTCATTCATTTATCCCTCCTCCGCTCCCTCCACTCGCACGCGCGCCGTCATGTCTGCGACCGCCGCCCTTGCCCCTCCCCCGCTGCCGCCACCACAACCACAGTCAACGCATTCACAGCAGGTTTCAATGCTGCCCCTTGCCAGCGGTGGCTCTGCTCCACCACTCAACAAGAGATCTTCTCGAAGTCCATCCTCACTGGACTCAAAGACGCCCACTCCTACACCTTGCTCCTCCCAACAAGCCCCTCAACAGCTGACTCCTCCAAGAGTCGTCGTAAGAGAGTCTTCTACACCAGAAACGCAGTCCAGGACTGCGGAAGACCACAAACTGGCAATTCCGGCTCCCATGAAATTACCAGAGACTATGCAGCATTCTATGGCGGCTCGCCCCGAACCTCTCGTAACTCCGCCCTTAGCTCAGCCAGTTTCAACAACCAGATCACCAACTATATCCCCAAATAACAAGAATACTTCTGACTCAGTCTCAGTCTCTGCCTCTTCTTCTGAGCAGGCACCTGCACAACTCGCGCTCCTCCTTTCTCAATCACTTGCTGATGCGGACGCGCTTCGCCGAGAGCTCACTTCGGAAAAGAAGCGCGCAGGTCGTGCCGAGCGCCTCCTCTCTGCATTACAAGGTCCTGCATCGCCGAACTCCGCAAGTACCGGCGCCGAGCCCAGAAAAAATGACGGTCGCCTTCCGGAAAGCGCAGCAAAGGCGGTTGTTGACGCCGAAACACGCGCGGAGCAGGCAGAACGGTGTGTATTTTGTCTTCCATTCACATTTCTAACCCAATCGGTATGGAGATCAATTCTGATATGTATATTCTCTAGGGCCCGAGACGAAGCCTTACACGCCCTCGCCTCACTTTCAGCATGCTTTGCAGAACTTGAACGCTACGAGGCTGCCTGTGCCTTGCGAGCGTCTGATGCACGGAGCGCCTATTCCCGTCTCCTCACATCCATTACTTCCTCTCATCCCGCACCTCAGTTATCGCCCCCCTTATCGACAGCATCACCTTACGGTGAACTGAAACTAAACTTACCGCGGGTACCTGCACCCGCTCCCCAGCTGCCTCCGGCAAGCCAGTTGCACAGACCTGCTCCAGAGATCCTGACAATTCATACCTCAGCTCAATCATCACGTCATATGCGACTCCCGCCACATTCTTCTTACGCTCCAGCTCATAGTCCGATTGATGGTCGACAAACAAGTGCCTTTGAGTCTCTCCCCCTTCCTCCCCCTCCTTCTGCATCGGGACTTGGGTCGTTAAACAGCATTATACCTTCGAAACGTTCGCTTAGCCATCGCAGTTACATAGATGATCCGATCTATGAGGAGCAGAAGCGAAGACGTATTGCCCTTGGACGGGACATGGACGTAGACATCGAGCCTCAGTCGCCGTACGCCCATCGCCCAGGCACACATACAGGCCAACACCACGGTGGGCCTGCGTCTGCTCAGCCGCTTTCTGCGTACCCAACCGCGACGCCTTTGAGTTCAGTCCCTTCACCACCGTCATCTGCAAGAGCGTATGACCGCCCACACTCCAGCCAGTACCTAACTGCACCATCCGGCCCTGGTCAGATCTTGACAAGAGATAGCGCATCATCTTATCTCACTCCCCCAGCAGGTCCCCGTTACCCTGTTTATGATGAGCGAGAGCGTGATTATGTCAGTAGGGAGAGGGAAGGTGTTTCTATAGGACTCGGAAGAGTCGACGCACGAGAGCTTGTACGCGATGCTAAAGCGCGTGAGCGTCGTGGAAGGGAACGCGAGACCTTCGCACGTCATCCCGATGCTCAGAGTATGTTACACGTGGATGGAAGACAGCGGAGGAGCAACAGTCGGAGCTCAATGGGAAGTGGAGGCAGTATGAGTCTTGACGAAATGTTGCTCGAGACAGCGACCGATCGTAACCGGGGAAGACCATCACCTTCCGAGCACGCTGGAGCATTCGGTACCCGCCAAAGCCAAAGTCATAGTTTCGCAGGAGCTCCCCCGTCTGTTAATGGCATATCGCCGTCATACTCTACCCTTCCTCCACCTGCTCCCCAATCAATTGCGAAGGCATCATCCGTGCATTCCGCGGTACCGAACGGCGTGGGTAAAAAGCCGTCCGTCCCCGCGTCGCAGCTTGCGACGCTTTATCCGAATGGAGCGGTTGTTAGTGGAGGCGGGGACCCGTCTGCACCATCACCTGTGGATCCAGCGGTACGCTATCCGGGTTTGAGAACGTGCCGACAATGTGGTCTTCCTGGACGTTACAAAGAGGGAAAATGTGTTGAGAAATGGGGACCGGGCCCGCAGGGCCCCGGAACTGTGTGTGATCGGTAAGTTGGCGTTTTGCCGATTCTCCTTACTGCACTCTTCCGCAGTTTTTAGAAAGCGTGAATGCTAACCACAGTAATAAACCAGGTGCCGCAAGAAGATGAAGCGCGTTGAGAGGCGCGGGACGCTCGATGCGAGCGCTCAGAACTCCGCTTCGCTTCGTGGTAGCCAAAGCCAATCGCAGAGGGCCTCACATGCTCAGCTACCTTCGACGCATTCACAACCGTATTCACAGTCATACTCGCAATCTCAACCTCAGGGTCAGTCGAGTCGTTCGCGCGCTCCTGCGCGTACGGATACTCTCATTGTCGATTCGGGGCGGCACGAGGCTGACCGCAGTCGCTCACCGGGTCCCGGTGTGCGGTATCACGCGTCGGTCTCCGGTACTGCTGGGAGTGCGGCCGCTCGGCATTCGAACCTATCCGATCAAGCGCACTACACGTCATCGCATTCACATTCGCAGAATCAGTCACAAGCGCAGTCGCGCAGGGCGCCCACACCTCCGTACATTAACTCTATTCCCGCTCATGAGCAATACAGTAGCTCTCTCCGGCCAGATGGACGTAGTTCCCGTGGTCATGCGTCAACCAATGGCGCTGGTCGTGCAAGCGGGGAATCGAGTCTAGATGGTGAAGACGATCTATTAGCGGATGATGATCGAAGGCGGGAACGTGCACCCGGCTATGCAAACTCTTTTGCACGACAGACGCTGGCTACTGATGAACGAGATGAGCTTGCAGACGATGGAGACGGAGACGGGCCAGACGCTGACGCCGATGCGGACGGGTCAGGAGTTGGAAGCGCCGATGTTGAGGCCGAAGGTGGAGGAGATGCAGACGCGGAGATCATGGACGCTGTAGATGCTTCAATGAAGGTCGAAGATTGAACAATAAGGCCTCTCTTGGTCTCACATTGTTCGGTCTGTATTCGAATCCGAGGAACGTGCCTTTTAATTGCTCTGTTCTGCTTTGCTTTGCTTCTGCTTTGTGTCATCAAATCTTGTATTCTTGCTTCCCTTCAGTGCATCTTATCGTCTTATTGTTCCATCACATACCCTCGAGCGAGATATCTCCTGCTAATTTGCTTTCCCTTTTGTCCCCACCGGACAAAAGTTGTACATGTACTTCTATGATATTTAGAAACAATCTTCTGTGTATAGAAACTAAGGTTAACTTTGAAGCACGTTTGTGTGTCAATCCGTTGTATTGTTGAATTAGTAATCTCAGTAAACTCAGGAGTTAGGCTGAGAAAACCATAGCGGTTGTAATCTTTATGCTACTGACTAATCCCTCTGGTGGTACTCCAGCTCAACATGTAAGCTATCTGCATTTAAATAAACTAGGCGCAGAGACAAGGATTTTTTCCATATCGGGCAGCCATGCGAGCTAACATGTACAAACAGGATGGTCCAAGAATAGACTTCCTTGTATGGAACTTAGCCGTAATTTCTTCCTTGCCAACCGTTGGAATTCAACATTCTGCTCCAGAGCTGATATAGACTAGCTTCCTGTTGAATTTTGTACTCGTTATCAATAAGATGCATATTTTCTCTAGAAAGAATATATATAAAAGTGAGTGTTTATCTTAAAATTTAGATCTGTTTTAGAAACTGTTATACTATATTCTGTTGTCATTCTTATTTGCCATAATGAAGCCTACAATAATGCATTTAGCATTTGCTCTCTGACTTCTTCATAACAGTAAGTTTACATTATATTGTCAAATATTCTATTCTATTCTATTTTTATCTTATTTTATTATTTATTATTTATTATCTTTTATTTTTATTTTTATTTTGTGCTGAATATTTTGGAAGGAATAACATGCGGCCATTCCCTCGGCTCGGCGACACAACAAATGGATCATCTTTATGTACAACACCTTATCCTGAAGTATATTTAATTTGGGGATATATTTGATACACTCTTCTAAGCAAACAGTATCACAGAAGCTTTTACTGATTAGATTAATACTGTACTGCCCTTTCTGAGATTGCAGACGTTTCCTCAATCATTAGGGTTTCCTTTGAGGAGGTAGAGTATCCAGGGTCCGTAGTTGTTCTATTACAAGTAATTCAGCGAGCTCTCTTGCATCTTTTCTGATTAGTGTCCTCGAGCGCTCGGTTAAATGAATTAACGACTTTGTCTTTGAAAAGGCCGGTGGCTTTTGCTGCGCCATGTTTTTATACTCTACTGAATTTACAACGCTATTAGTAGACTCGAGGTTCTAACTCTAGATAGTGTTGAGATTCTTCTGGATTCTTTGATAGTAATTGAATGGCCGGCTCTTAGTTACAAGCTTAGCACCATCAAGAAGCACTCTTTCTATGAGCCCGAAGTTGACCGTACAGATCATGCATGAGGAGAATCTTGTACTGCAAACATCAGTGCCTATCACAATACAGATGATACTGAGCACATAGATCGGCTCAACCCGTGAGCACATTAAAAATATTCTCCCCTGATTGCCTTGCCTGCATTGATCAGTCAGTTCAATGCTCATAATATGGAGGAACAGTGGATTTAATCTACATTGTAACAATTCCACTGGTGCTGGGAAGGTTGTTTATTAAGCCCTCGCGTCGAACATGTGCCGACATTGAGGCTTTCAGTGTCGACACATGCTGTGTGGCAGGACCGATGGGAGTGATTTCGAAGCTGTGTACTATACTGAGCAAGTGCCCTGACTTTATGAATGAGTTATTGAGTTTCTTCGCTTCTTACTCGGTCGCGACCAGATGGGCGCGTTCTCTTGTTAGTAAAGTGCCCAATCCCATCTCAAGGTCCATGCTTTTGAGTCGAGTAAGATCCAGGCTCACTTGCACGATGCACGCCCGGGATTGCTTCCCTTCCCCGATTTATCAGGAATCTATATTGATCAATACACATCTATACTCTTCGAGGACGGCTCAGCGAGACCAATCTATTGCCAAACAGCGCTTCTCTTCTAATACCGTACACGGCGCCCATATCACCACTATAAAAGGGTTAAAAGAAGTAAAGAACGAGTAATAAAGCATTGAAGCTGTAGTAAATGAATGTAATAAAGTAGTAAGCAATCCAAATAGATCCAATGCATAGAACAAGGAAAGGCAGCCTAGACACCCAATCGTCTAGGTGGGAGGAAAGGAATGTGACATCCGTCAGAGGCTGATAAGAGAAGCATAAAAAGAGCCACGAGGTATCAAGAGATACAGGTATGTATTAATGATGTATAAACCGAGCAATCCAATAGTATATTCCGAGGGAGGCTGAAAATCAAATAGCAAGGCATTTACGACGGAAGTCGCGTTGGATCTAGCTTCGTAGTCCAAGACTGGAGTTCCTTTGCATTAGGAGCAGCGAGAGCATAAGAGTTTGATGCAGTAAAGAGTGTGAAAGTAAATTTTTTCTGTACATGGTAACCAAGAACGGTAAGGAATCGATTAAACTGTGAACAAGCGAAAGAGCTTACTCCAAGAAGGGCCTCCATTTCTGGGTTGTATTCTATATTTACGCCAGTCAGACCAATCACTGCAGTTTCTTCATTTTCGTCAGAGTGAGCGTAAACGATGAGATACGGCCTAATGGGTGCGTATGATGAGATCAGATACAGTTCTGTATTTAATAAACCACTTGCCTCTTCAGAACAAACCAACGTCGTTCCCATTTATTTTCATTTGCGTCGGTAAGTATCATGAGATGACCCTTCTTCGTCGGATTGTCACTGGAATAGGAAATTCATAAGTTAGAAATAAGACAGCGAAATAGTATAAAGACGTCATACCTCCGCGAAATCAGCTTAGCGCTGGCTACAAACTTTGGTTCCATGAAAAACTCCAACCCGTTGACCTTTGGTGGCATGTTTTTCTTGGCCTCGGTATCGGGCGGATCCTGGCTCAATACAATCTATAGCGCCTGCATCAGTACCTATTGAATTAGAGAACAAGGTTAAAGCCGGTACCTTCCCCGCATGACCAAATTTCTTCTGCCACAGGCCAAGCGACTTCCTAAGGAGATCTTCTGAACCCCATATTGCTGCCGATTCGGACGGTCTAGCAGAAACGGATGAAGCGGCGAGCACTGTTCGAACTGCTTGTACATCAGCTGCTCGTCGTTCAGTTATGACGAGCCTATCGTGGTCTTCCACAACAGATATGCCCCGGGGCTTCCACGTTCCTAGAGCTTCTTCACCGCGTACATACTTCTCCGACGTGTCAAGACGCCAGAGTTCGTTAGGCGATCGCGTGAGTGGAGGCATCATCTTCACAACGAATACTGAACTGGTCTTTGTTAAGACTTTAGAAGATCCAAAGAATGACATGAACTTGGAAGGTGGACCGGCGTCACGGGTGAACATGGCGACTGCCATATCCATGGTAAACTGAATGGGGTCACTGCATGTCGTGACGGAGACAAACCAGTTCACCTGGAGTAATACGCGATGATTTGAGGCTGTAACTCGGTTCAAGAGCGAAGAATCATGCACACTGGAGTCCCATAGAGCAGTAGCTGTAATGAAACCAGTTCCGTCCGGCTTGAACTCAACTTCTTGCTGTTTCAAGACAGTGAGGTCATGCATTTCTTTGGAAGCAGACTCGTGCACGCGGCCCTTGGGGTCAAGAAGACGGACGTTTCCTATACGGACACGCGTGATTTCAGTCCAGGGCAGCTGTCGCCCCGAGCTCGAAGTAAGCGTAAGTGTTAGTCGGCGCTGCAAGCCCTGATGGAGTGAGAACCGTCCTGGGTCCAGAGGGGTTTGAGAGATTACAGGAACGGGAGTATACTGTCCATCGGGTGCTAACTCGCGTACTTGGAACCAAACAGCGACATCATGTACTTCTTGTACAAGGAAATCTGTCTCGGAGCGGCGCATGTTTGGTTGAGCAACCCGCTTTGGTCCCGGAGCTTCCGAGGAGACACCGTTTGGTACATTACGATGCTCGCGCATTTCGTCCCAACGTTCCAGGCGCTCTAAGTAGGTCGGAGTTACTCGGGCGAAAAATTCTATCGGTGCGTATCCTAGTCGAAGATGTTGCGCAACCTTCGACGTAACGGCGATGGTAAATGCTCGACGCAACTTCATATCGGAAAGCGTCGATACGTCTAAATCCACTGCATTCGAAGAGTAGTTCTCTTCGGACGATAATGTTGGTCCGAAGAAGGATGATAATCGAACTTGGATGTGAGAAGCAGTGAAGTCATGCGTTGACAGACCTTTCACCGTGTCCACAGTCAAAACGAAAGAAAGTTTGCTCCCGCTAGGTATAGAGGTGGGTATAGGCGAAGGAGCTCGGGTAGGAGGGCCGGAGCCGTTGGTATGTCTGGTTGATAGTACAACATTTGTGACCTTCAGCTCAATTCGACATGAGCCAATTGCCTCAGACGTATATCTGCAGAAGATTGGGGCTATGCACGTTGATGACATGCGCCTCGATAATGGCGCAAGCGAGACAACAGCATTACCAACAAATGAGAAGTCGGGAGCAGGAGAATCATAGAAGGGTTCTTCCGCGGAGAAATGCTGCGAGTAAGATGGTCTATCGATAAACGTCGTAAGATTGCGCATGCGTTGCAGTTGCTGTTGTAACCGATCCAAGGACCAAATGTAGATGGCTTTATGGCGCTTGTCAAGTACCTTCACTGCGACGGATGGCTGGGTGGCCGATGCAAGAACAGGGTCCACAACGTCCCCGAATTCATCAAGACCGGCGATAGAAGCTAATGATGATCTAGGAGCAGCAAGCGAACCTCCGGACGCAATAGTGAAATTGTATGATACATCTTTCCTTAGTTCCTTACTGTAATAAAGCTTTAGTTTGGTGGAAAACTATAATAAGAAGGAATCTTACCTGATGACATTCGCCTCCTTAAGAGCGACGGCATTCGTCAGCACGGATTCAGCCATGGAAAACGATCGATGCGCCCTCCATTTGTCCAGAACCTTTCGAATCAGCCGTAGCTGCCTGGCTGTGTATATCACAGGATCTATTGCCTCCAAGTCCGATGTTGATGCTCCTCGGGCCTTCGCTTCCAAAATACGCTTCATTTGCACCTGGACAAGCTTTAATTGTGCTTCCATCTGTTCTTTTTCAGCCTTCAGGTCCTCGGCCTCGGAGCCGCCATCGCTCATTGACTGCAGCCGGAATTCAACATCCGCTCGCTGTGACTCGAGGTTGTTCTGCGTTGATTTGAGCGCGTTGTCGAGATCCGGGCTACCAGCATCAACGCTCGTGTCATCGGTCATTACTTCACTTGGCAAAGGCTTTCCAGACTCGCTCCAAACATCATCTGCCTGCGAGAGACTACTGTCCGGTCTCTTCGCAGAAGATATGTCACGCAATGTCTTCACTTTTGATATTTTTTCGTAAAGCTTATTAAGATCTTCATCTGGAAGATTGTCGAGAGCAGGATCAAGCCCCAGTCGAGCAAATGCAGCTTCCCGCTTAGCAAAGTTCCAATCGACGTCTGCCAAATCTGCCGATGACGTAGGCGAATCAGGTCTGGTGATTGGTGTTCCTTGACCGTCACCCTCCTGCAAGTCTGCCGCAGTAATGCTCATATGCAGTGAGCTCCTTGCCGTGATCCTATCTCGCTGCCTCCGCACTTCTTCCGGATTGTTGAAACGGAAGACATGGTGTTCACCTGAGTCATAACTTAAGTAGGGGATTAGACGTTGATTAAATGAAAGCGCACCCATAATGATGCGGTAACCAGATCGCAGTTTGTACGACTGACGAGTAATTAATGAATATAAGCTCCCCAAAATGCTTGAACCTGCTTACTTGATCGACGCTTATCTCTTTGCCATTTAGGAACTAGAATGCATCGTTATCACCAGCTTTTCCCAAACTCAAACACAAGGGCACTTACTGTTGAGCCACCAGGCAGTCCATGCAGAGTTACCTTTCCATCAGTGTTCTCAAAATAACAATGTTCTTCAGAGATGTTTTCGCCGCTAAGACGGATTGCAAGCGCCTTCTCGCTGTCCAACCTCCCGACCTAAACGCAGAATTAACTCTGGCATCGTCTTGTCAGAGAAGGAACCAACCACGAACCATAGTCTTTCCAGGTTTAAGCTGATAGATCAAACATTCGCTCATGAGTGGATCTGTGAAAGGGTAAATGAATGTTTTCTTCCCGAAATTTTAGGCATCTGACCTTCATTCTAAAAAAAATTCACCGTGATAAGTTAAAGCTCAAATCAATTAAAACCTGAAAAGAGCTAACCAAGTTGACCAAATGAGGCATCTGAAGATCTCTTCAGCACAGAACAGCTTCTCCTGATTGACAAGATCGACCCACCTTCTTTGGAGTATGTACACCAACATTGTTCTTCTCGACAGTGATACCGAGCTCTTCGAGTGCCTTTTCTCGTTCTTTCTGGACGTCATGGGTACGCTGGAGCTTTTGTTCCCAAGTCTCGTTCAAACTCTGCATTAGTTTCTCGCTCGACTCCAGCTGATCCTGTAGCTCCGCCTTTGAGACTGTCTTGATTGTACCATCCTTAGCCTTATATGTGACCTTCTGCTTCTCAGGCGGGACCTTCGGATCATAGACAGCTTCGGAAGAAGTGCCAGCGACACGAGCTAATGGGCAAAGATATGAGAACGGCTGCTCCACAAATTGTCACAGTACACGTACCCCTCAGCATCTCGAGCTCCTCCTTCAATTCACGTACAAGTTTGGCATTCGGGTCTTCATTGACCTTAGCCTTATTCCTGATCTTCTTGGCTTGATCCGCATATCGAAGTGTACTCAGAGTTTCTTCATAGTCAGCAGGAGAAATAGCAGCAATCATAGCCGTCTTAGAATTGCCACCGAGACTGTCTTTCAGCAACCAAGTCAAAACCTTAAAACCTCATTATTCCTGATGCCTTTCTCCTTCGAAAAAATTCCACTCACGGAATCACGGTAAGGAACGAACTCTTCCGCTTTCCCTTTCTTCCCTTTCCCTTGACTAGCGAGCGCGAGCGCTGAAATGACTTTCCCCAGTGTAGTGAGCGATTTATTGATGTTCGCTCCCTCCTTTAATCGCTGCCCCGAAGCTCCCGTGGAATTGGCGCGCTCGGAACCAGCCAAGTCGACAAGGCTGCAAATAATCAGCAACCTGGGTTGAATTTCATTTAGTATTACTCACTTGATCCGAGAGACCTTCTCCGTATCCAAATTTGTAGCTTCATCATGCCTCTTCATCGTCAACAACAATGTAAAGACAGCATGTGATCGCGAGGAAGTTTCGTTCATATTAGTAGCAGCGACCGTCCGTGCCTTGTTTCCTTCGTCCATCAAAGTCATCATTTCTTCGTAACTGGAAACGACGAGCTTTGATAGATCTTCCACATATGGGCCCAAGCTTGGATGTTCACGAACACGAAGATTACCGGTGTTTTTCGGGTTCAGGAGGTCCCGCACTTTCTCGTTGTAGATTTCAATGTATGAAACCTCCACAGTGAACTTCGTATTTGGATCCGCAGCCATCTTTTCATCTACCCGGGTAAAGAGCTCCGAACACGTCAAAGGGATGATTCCTTTGTCGGCACCATCTAATCCTTCCATTAGTATTTAATGAAACGGCCCGAACAAAAGCCACTCACAGCCCATCATACTATAAGATTTCCCAGAACCTGCGACGCGTCAGACTATGAAACGCATACATATACGAGATGCCACACCTGTCTGTCCATCTACGGAGAGAGTCAGATTTCAGTCGTTCCACCTTTTGATAGAACACTCACATGCCAAAATACACGCATTAAATCCAGCAAACCCGTGCTCCAGCAACTCCTTTCCTAGGTCATTGTACAGTGTCTGTTGCGAGCAATATTTTGGATCATCTCTGTCTCCCGCAGACCAATAACTCTTGTCAAAGCTAAATTGCATAGTTTTCTTCTCGGACTGTCGACCTGACATTGCCTGGGCTTGGGAGCCGCCAGCTTCAGGGGGATCCAAGAAGGTTGAGTTGCCCTCCATACGAATGAGGGGCTTCGCGCCGCGCCCAAGCTCTTCAGTGTTGCGACACCACACATTGATTATGACAAGCGGAAAAGACAAGAAATAGTCAGAAATACGCGTTCGGAAAGCTTGGATTGAAAATGAGCGCACCTCGAGCATTGAGAGGCCTGCATCGCACGACGACCTTGATGTTCCCATCACCGGCCTCCGCCATGGCGTAAAACGATCACAGCGAGCGTGTCAACCTGTCGCTCAGTCGTTTCCCCGTGGTATGTAGAAGATGAGAGAGGAGAAGTTGTCACGGCTGCGAGTCTGTCAAAACGCGGCTCGCAACGAACGCGTTAATGAGGTGAGTGGCCACATTTGGTATCTGTGCCTCACGAAGCTACAACAATTGATGACTAATGTGGTGTATCCTTGTACCACAGGCACAAAACGAAATGAATTTCATTCTTCAGGCCTGCACTTAGGCAGAATCAACAGTCTGCTGCTGAAAAAGTAGCTCCAGAAAGTTAATCCATCCATGTAATAATTCAAAAAAACTAAAATCTGACGTATTTAGATTTATTAACATCCCGACAACCGCTGTCAAATATTGTGTGGAAGGAGTTACAGCATGTTGTAGGTCTTCCACAACTCTGTCATAATCCGAGTACAAAATACAAATGAGTCTGCCCAGTTGACCTCAGCGCAGCGGCCCGCGGCAGTTATGTCCTTCTCATTGGCATATGAACGATTGTGTAAAGCAATTCAAACTGGGTCATGAAAATTCACCACATTTCCTAGGTCTAAGCCTTACCATGAGGGTTGAGCTCCAAGTTCCTAACAAAACATGGCATTCCAAGCGCCCCCCTCCTGGAGCCAAGTTTTGTCGCATGTATGTGGTAAATTTGTTTGTCAAGATGAGGGTACGACGAAATCTGCATGCGGAACTGGAGTTGACTCCGATGCGAGTGTAGGGCAATCCCTCCTAGTCTGCATCGCAGGAGATACCGGTGAACACTAGTCTATCCCGTAAAGCTTGATAAAAGTACTTCGCGGCCAAGTATGACGTCGTCATACTTGCATTCCAATATCCAATATAAGATTGAGAAACGAGGGTCCTGGAGTTTGGCATTCAGTTCTTCTGTCTTCAGTCCGTCGGACAGATCGAAGGTAGAAAGATCTCACTGTTTTAGAAGTAGTTGTTGCGGATGACGACATACAGGGCGCTGAATGTCGATTACATCCTGCTTCAACTTCGGTCATTAGTCTAACCGCGGCACTCAGCGCGATGTTGATAAGCATTCTACTCCACGGGGTTGTCCATTTGAAAAGGAGGAGTAAGCGTCTTCAAATGCTGTAAACGACGGTCCGATCGGTTGCTATCTAAAATTAAACACAGACAGTCACTTCAAACGGATCCCGCATCGTGCGCCGACGGTTAAAAGTGTCATAACTACAGCCTCCTGGCTGAGGGTCTATTGATGGAGCAGTATTCAGCGCCCGCTGTTGAGAAAATCTTACGGCGGAGACCCGCTCATGCCCGGAGATGTAAAGACCACGGACCTATCAATACCGTGTCATAGAAGTCGGATCAAGACATCAAGAGAAACGAGGAATTATTGACTAGATTTTTTGTAGAGTTCCTGAACCTGTATTGGAAGGGATCGCCAAATAGAATTTTAGCATTTAAGCTGCGAACAAAATTCAACGATCGGCATCCTATATCGTTTCATTTAACAGCTTAACTGGAGCAGAAAGAATGATACTACTCATCAACGCCACTAGTGAAAGACAGGCTTGCCTCTAAATTCCTCGGTGTTTCAGGAAGACGACAGTGATCTATGACGCAATTCACTCTTCTCTACCAAATTCTCGTCAAAAGCGAAATCGGTGTTAGGAAGGCGAGCCTCCGTCAATACAAAAATGCATGAGGTGCAAGCCCTAGAGATACCCAAAGTTGAGGTTGTACAACGGGTCAACAGACGTTTTGTTGTGCAGCACCCCTTTCTCTGGCGTTCCGCGTTGTCGGGGTCTTCAGTTGCCACTGCTCGAACAGATCCATTGATCCAGGACAACCCGGGAAGTGCGGTACATTTGAATGAGCGTCAGGGAGTGGTTCTGAACATGACGGTGCCCAGTTCAGTAAGGTAATACATTGTATGGATGACTCGGAAACGGCGGACGCTGTATGTGCCTTCATTAACATCCTGCTTCGATTCCTTGCAGCCTGAATTTATCATCGAGAGGTCCACCTTGATCTTCAAGGCTTCTTATCCAGATAGTGGCTCAAACGACAGTTATTTGAAGCCGATGATCTAGATCAACCCGGAACGGACGTCACAGTGTGGAAAGACAGGAGGTGGTTGTTGTCAAGTTCATAGTGCCTGTGTCAACGGGACTTTTCCTTCGTCGATCCGCCATTTGCGTATTTGTGTAGTGATACTGAAAGCAAAAACACGCGTTAGTCCTGCAGTATCCTTGAAGCGCCATAGCATCCACTTCACGATGAGTCAAATGAGTTGACGTTGATCAAGAATTACTGCAGCCAGTGCAGACATCGAGCCTCGAGCTGTTTGGGGCTGTCCATTACGTAAATCATTCAATTCAATTCCTCTGCTCTCACTGGTTCCGCCGTTGGTTACTTTAGTTTCGTCATTGCAACTTGGGTAGCCTCAACAAACGAGGATATTGTTCCTGCAAAGCCGTTTTAAGCATTTACACTGGGCGAACCTGCACAAGTTTGCAGCACAACGCTATTCATCAAAGCTTGCCCAAAGACACAGAACCTCGTTGTCTTGGAAGTTAGCGAGGCTCCACCCTGCACTAGTGCAGTAAGTCTCAACTTCCTTTTTTCTCTCATAGAAACTGACGTCTTCGCGCGACACGTTCGCCTTAATAGTAAGCGATGTATTACAAAGGCTTTGGTTTTAGGAGTAGGCAACTTTCCTTGTAACCAATCCATATCGATCTCTGTGAGCAGGTGCTGGAATTGTTCAAGATGGATCCAGCCAATCTCGACACTACGTAAGTAGTGGGTACAAATTTGGCTCTTGACAGGTGCTTAAGTGGTGAAATTTTTGAAGAATGGGTGCAATGTACATAGGTGTAACTTGTGCGGGAATGTACGTTGGTCTTCCTCACTATTATGATCTCGACTCATAAACGTATTCATAGACTTTACGGAGGTGACAATTCAACCCGATATCAGCGTGTTAACCAGATCATTTCATCTGGTCTGTCAATAGTGTCTTGCGTCCAAATGTGGCTTTACTACGCTAATTACGATGACGTATGGCTCCTGAAATCGTTGGCGAGTGAAGTTCCTAATTTATTCTTCGTGCTGACTCCTTACCGAATTGTTCTAGGTAGCGGCTGTATTTTTGTGCGACTCTATGAACCAGGCTTTCATAATCCATATGCGTTAGTCTTCCGTTCAATTGCCAAGCTTCCTGGCGCTTCTCACGTCCCATTTGTGTAACCGTATATTCTCGATATGTCTTCGCGCATTCCTGCCGTGCTACTCCCGGTTCACATGCTTGATTGCCGTCATTCGCAGTATACAAGTACCTTGTGATGAACTTCGAGAATCCTTTGGAACTTGGCAGCCTCGTCTGGTGCGCAGATCATTATTTGAAAAGCCTCCAACTTCTTGGATTCTGACGGGCCGCCCATTTCATTTCACGATGTCGGCTTGCAGGAGCCTCATCGTAAGTGACGATGTCTTCACCAAAGACAGACGACGAAAATCCGTTCTAATACCTTGCTTGCAAACCCCCCAGATCGAAGTGCTGTTCAATGTGAGTGTCCAAGGTCCTCGTTTTCATGATGAACGCTGATGGTAGATGCTGCAAATAATTACAGAGCCTTGTGGGTCTTCTCGTGCAAAGGTACAGTCAAAGCTGTCATTCAATCTCTCTGCTTCGAACCTCAAAACGTTTGCGGAACGCTGATCGTCACTTAATTCCGCCAACGAAAGCTTCTTCACATATCGCATCTACCGACGTGAGCCAATTGCTGCCCCTTAATGGCAAAGACGAATACTCATGCTATAGCGGCTTAATCTAGTAAGCGGGAAGAACGTGTATTTAACGTGTCTAGTGGTGAGGACTGTCCAGACTTACGGCTAATCGAGTGACTTATGCGCAAAAAAAATTTAGGCTGCACTAGTTCTAGCGGAATTTGGTATTGTTTTACCGGTTGCTTGCAGGAAGACTGAACCTCTAATATACTTTTCATCCCATAGGGCTTTCACTTGGTAAGACAACTGCTACCTGTATTCTGCCGAATTCCATTACTCATGGTGGAGCACCAACCCAGCCTTCACGGTCGAAGGGTTTGTACCGATTGGTTGATATGCAAAGTTCTATAGCTAATATAGCTTGTGAAGGATGAAAATGTCCACATTCACAGAACTGCTGTCCTTGAGGGTGAGAACTCACTTCTGACGTAATTGTTCGGACTTCACTGGCCCTTAGAATCTGTCCAGGTCCGTCAACGCATTAGCTGCCGTTGGGAACGTATCAATCGCAATATCAATGGTGGTTTTGCTCCGTAACACCAAGACGGGGCTCCGCAGGTGCGCGCGAATTTGATTGGGCCTGGGAATGCTGATCATCACCTCTATGGTTGTGCAGACCAGATAGTATCGTTAATAGGCTTATCATCTTCTCTCTGAACACAGGTATGTAGTAGCAGATTATCTGAAGATGGAATTCACAAATTTACTTTTCCTAGGGATACTCACGAGGTGGGCTTGCTTTTCTGTTTTTACTTGTTTTACACTTATTCCGACTTCTAGTCTATGTGCAATATTTTCATTGATTACGGTCATTGTGCTTCGCTTGGTTCTAAGCGGGAAGAGAACTCATTCTCATTTAGATTTCGGCGTTTCCTGGCACTCTCATTTATTCGGCGTTTTTCTTCGTTCTGGGTCGCGGTACGATCTATACCAGAATTATACCCGCGACGATGGGCTAACGCGACCTTAATTGAAGTCTATGCAAACTCTTTTATGGTCGCCCTCAATGTTCGTCGTCGACTACAAAAGGCAGACGTTGAAGAAGCTTATCCTATAGATTCTACGGTGCGTTGTCTATGAATGAATTGCACGAGGAGCGTCGTGCTAATATGAGCGATGTTCTCGTTTAATACTCTAGCATCTGACCTACATTTTTGATCATAGTACAAAACACGATTGTACGTCGGAGATCATCTCGCGTCACCAATGAGGTCTGGCTCTCGACGTTCCGGTAGAACTCAATACTGAGCATTGTTTGATTGCAAATGGTGCCCAAAGGGACGCTTCAGTACAAGATACGTATGTGACGACGACAATGATCCGCGAACCATTTGCCACGGTATTTTTACTCCAATAGACTTCTTGAGGGTACTGGTGTATTTGTATTATTACGTACGTAAGCCCTTGTGGGTCTGACAGTTTGTAAAATAACCCTTGAGAGAATATGCCTCACTGTCTTTTCAGCCCTGCAACTGCTGTCATCCTCAAGGCTCTTCGCTGAGGCCCTGCAAATGTCACCGATTACTTGTGGACATTTTCCCTGGGCCATAATAGGATGATTTCGGTCCTTTGACGCTCGGATTAATCTGGACGCGATCATCGTTGAGCAGATCCAGTCAAGTCGACAACGATAAGCCCCGGTAGATGGCTCAATTAACAAATCGACATGCGCTCTTCATGTCTCAAACTGGAAACATGCCCTTATGGTGGGCAGTCACTGTAAGCCGTTGGCATCCTCTGTCCATTGTCAATGCTATGTAAGTCATGAATGAACGTGAGAGGGCCCTCGAATATTCTTAATACTAGTTCCGGCGCTTCCTCATTTCGGGTATAGTGACCAGAACGGGAGTGCTAATGTACAGGGTCCCTAGCTGGCTGGAAAGTATCGGAAAGTGGATATGGACACAAGTTTGCACTCAGGGCTGAGCTTCAAGTCATAAGAAGCTTACCCGAATCGAAGTCGGACGAATCGGACTTCACGACTTACCGTATGGTATCTTCAGTTTATCAGCTGCATTGTCTTTTGTCCAATCAACACGCAGTTGCGCTTACAGACGAAAGTTTACTGTGCTTTTCCATTACTCTATAGTCAAGGATGACCGTGAGATGCCGACTAAATGTAAGGATTCCAAAAGAACAGGACCTTTTGCCTGGTCGACGCCGTAAGTTTCCAGCACGTAGGCCCACTATGTCAACTCGGATACGATAAGGCAATGGTTCTGTAGTTTACTCGTTATGCTTTTGGAAATAGGTTCAAGTTATGGAAGCACAGTTCGCTTGAAGACTATATAGTACGACAAACTTTAACGTTCTTTCACTCTACCTGCAGTGTGCGACGAAATGTACCTCCCTTTATTTCTTCTGACCTTCGCACATGCGCTTCCCGGTACTACCTCCGCTGAGCAACTTCGAAACCGCACTCTGAGCTGCCGCTTGGTCGATTATAACTATTCATGTAAAACTGCCCAGGGACATCTAAGAGTCGTTCTTCCTTTTTTTATCGTGGAAACCGGACAATTGAGCAAGTGACTGCTTCGAACTCAAGAAGCATGCGAATAGCACTAACTATATATGAGTGGATCATATGCCTCTCTCTTTTGCTTTCTTTGCTAAAAGCGCTAGGCTAGGTTTGTTCTGGATGTCGATCGTCGGATGTATGTAGCACAGCGTGTTGATCTACCGGACCACTAATTACTGACAAGTTAATTAGCAAGGTTCCAGAGGCAGACCCTTTGGCCCTGAGGATAGATTATGTTGCAGATCTACACTGTACAACCTGCTGAATACTGACGCACAACAGGGGATCTGTCGCATTGACTGATCTGCGCCGTGCGCTCCGCCCGGATTCAGTAACAGGAATAAGTTGATGGTGGGAGAGAACGCCTCAATTTACACGCGAGTGCGTGAGAAATCAGATGGGCAATGCCACAAGAGAGCAACAAACGGCAGTACGTACTCACCGAGCGAGACAGGAGCGTGAGGATGGGGCCTTAGGAGCACATGTAGGTTCATGTACCGGTGTAGACTGTTGGTGTAGACCCCGTCCTCGGCTGTTCTTGACGAGAGTTCCAGAATGCGTGTGCGTCGTGTCCATCAATTAGACGTTGGTTCTAGCATTGAGGAATGCCCGGGCTGAGACGATAGCGCAATCGATATTTCCAAGCTCTTCGGCCCATGTACGTAGGTCATGGCAGAAGCAATACTCCGCAGAAGTTGATACGGGGATGTCCACCCACCCCCGACCGACAGGGCAGTTAATGACATAAGAATGCCAGGGGGACGAAGCTAAGAAAATCCCGATATCCTGGTTCTCGCTACGCTGCTTGAAGGTACCAGTAGTTGGGTGTCGAATTACACATTACACAAGGCGTGCTAGCATGCTGGTTGTCGCGTTTGCCGACTGGCAAGTGAAAGGGTTCGACTTCCTTCAATCTGCTCCGCCTTCTTCTCTGATTAAGAAGTAATAAAACTAGCTCCGCTCGAACCTTCAACTCGTTGTCTTTGACGTGTCGCGACGGTACTTCGGTCTTCGAGCCAAGATGAATGAATAAATTGCATAATTTGTACAGATAAGTCAGGCGGTCAAGTATCCTTCTGGAACATTGAATCTAAAATTAATCAAGTCTGCCTTCATATGCTGGAGGGCGGGACGGAGAGGTTTATGAATACACTAAGTACAAGAGGAAGGCGGGTAGAGTAGAAGAGCAGAATAGAGAGGAGAATGAGAGAAGTCTACAGGTCGTTGCCCCATGAAGAATCCTCAAGGACTGCCAGGGCAACAGCAAATCCAAACTGCCTATCGTGAACACAAGTGGCGTTTAGCGTGTCGGCACCTTTGATTCGGCGATATACAGTTTCTCTCCGGGTGCAATCGACTTCTGGTCAACCTGTTCAAGACCACCATGCAACACTCCCACACGCATAGTTGAAAGAAGCTAGAGGAAGAAAGATAATCAGTACTTAAGCTACTTCGCAATAGAGCGCCACCACGAGTACGAGAAGCTCGGTTAAAATTAAAGAACGGCGGAGAAGCTTGCACGCACGTTGTGAGCAGCATGAGAGTGTTCATACACTCCTCCGAAGAAGGATGGCGTGGCATCGGTTCCTAGAGCCTTTTCGAGGAGCTCACGTCCACCTGGATGCCGGTCGATGAATCCTGAAACATCATGGATGAATCCGGCCACGAGGACGAGAGGCCGCGTTCGCGACTCTTCCTTGACTGATAGGCGTTCAACAGAAGCACAGGAAGAGAAGTCGAAGTGTCAGAAATAATGAGTTTAATCTTTCGCCGTTCATTTTACTTACATGTTTCCCAGCTGATTACTGGCAGGTCGTCGGATTTGGTCGGCCAAACGATCAAGTCCTGTTCGTCTTTGAGTTTCTTCAAAGTCATTGCCAATTGACCTTTGCGAATCTCGTTCTCGGGGAATCTTTGCAAGTGTGTTGCCAGCCCGAACCGCTCACATAGCGCAATAAACCATTTTGTTGGGTCGAATTGATACCATTGAACGGCATTACGGTAGTCCATGGGAAACTGATGATGGAAGTTGTGGTATCCTTCACCCAAAGTAAGTATGGCCGTTATGATATGATCTCTTGGAGTATGCTTGTCGTCATAAGATGTCTCCCCCAGCCAATGAGCGATTGAATTGACACAAAAAGTAGACTGCCAGAAAGACGAGTCAATAACGTCTCAATGAAGTGATAAGCCGCGAAAAGCCGCACATGGTGTGCTATTGTGATGCGAAGGAAACCTGCATAGAAATAACCTCCGCGCCAATCACCCCAAAAGTATCCCGGAATGAACCAGGGGATTAGGACGCCAGTAACGAGGGCAATGAGGAAGTAATGCTTGCGCTGCCACATTATAACTTTATTCTGCGATAAATCGCGAACATCAGCTTTTCCGGGAGTTATCCGGGGCTTAATGAGCATCCATCCAATATGAGACCATAAAAGTCCCTTTCGAGCACTGTACGGGTCTAGATCGGTGTCTGTGTACCTATATAATATATTCGAATTATTCCACGCCAGCATGAGAATCAATCGATGATCAAATAAGATTGGTGGCGTTAAAAAGAACTACCTACCGATGATGAGACCTATGGCCACGAGCCCACCATCTAATGGATCCTTGTACAGAGCTCGCGCCCGCGAGCGCTAGAAAATATTGAAGAGGAAGGGAAGCCTTGTATGATCGGTGTGACCACAGTCGGTGATAGCCTTAACGTCGGCGACGTCAGCTGAGAATCTCGTGAGGCTAAAGCGAAATAGAGTTCGCACCGGCAGTGATTCCTGTGTAGTCAAATCATAGGATGATCAACACGGTTACGAAGGTAATTAAGACTTCTTGACTCACCTATCATGTTCAAGACGTACATAAACACACAAAACGCAACGGTTGGTGCGCGGAATTCGGTAGTATACAAGCCATAGATGGAGAGAAGAGGTGTAATCGTAACTACGCCAAGATTGAACCAGCGAATCTCGGATACGAAGTTTTTGAATGTGATAGGAGGCCGAGATGCGGTGACATGGATAGAGTGCGTAGAAGATTTTGACTGAGTTTGCGAAGAGGTCGATGTGCCGACCTGGCTGGTCAGTGTTCGGACACGAACAGTTGTCGTGGTCGACATGGTGCACTTGTTGTACAAGGGCACAGACAGAACTCACGCGCTGCAGGACACTCCGTTACAGATATTGAGCTAGAACGACATGCGATGGCCATTTTTAAAGGTTCAGAGACGGTGGACGCCGTGTTTACAAAAACCAGATAATCCGGCAAAAAGACTCGCACTCGGTAGAGACTCGTTGAGGACCCCGGAACTGCAAACCCAGAATGTTGTCTCGCAGAGGTATATTTACAATAATTAATTCACAAGACCCAACTTTGCCTTATCGGGACTAGTACCGAAAAGGGTACATTAGCAAAGCTCGACTGTCACGCCGAAACTCTGAATAGGCTGATGCACTCACACTCAAAGCCCGTTCTAAGTGCCACTCCGTGCGTAGCTGTGGTTCTCACACTTGCTCTCTTTCTGTGCTCGTTGCTACTCGGACGCTGTCCTCGGAACTCCAACCAGGAGATTCTCATGCCGCCGCCGCCGCTCCTTTTTTTCCCATTTTTTTTAAATTTCGCTTAGGCGTCATGCGAGGCTAGGTATGTCCTGAAACTCGGTCCTCCTGCCGCCGTTTGTCGCGTGTTCATGTCCATGTACGGAAGTCACCTCGCCTCTCTTCACGGGTCTACTTCTCTTCTAGATTGTTTGGATCTCTAGCATGGAGCAATCTTAGCCGTCGTCCCTTGAAACAAACTCCGAGTCCTTTTGTGCTTCCTCCGATCCCTTCTCCTCTTCTCCTCGTAGGTGCATTTCCAATGCCAACACAAGAGCATATTTACTTCTACTGCCGGCGCATTCCTCCGTGGGTGGACCCACATACCTTCTTGCCTATATAGCTAGCATGGTTCTCCTCAACTTTTCCTCCCAGTCCCAGTCCCAGTCTCAGCCTGACTTCGACACCTCTCCCCCCATTCAACGGCCCATACCTCCCGCTGTCAGTCATCACTGTTCATCATGGGTGCTGTTGCCTCTTCGTCCATTGGCATTGTGTCTCCTCCGTCTGTCCCCTCCCTGTCCGTCTCGCTCCCGACACCTCGTGAATGGCTGACATCCTTCGGTATGGGTCATCTACACTACATGATTCTTCCACTCATGCTGATGATCGTCTGGCATGTGCATAGCCCGTTCTTCGCTCCTCTCCGTCCTTGAGTCTGCTGTCTGCATTGGGCACCTTACCATCGTCGACAAGGGCAACGTATATGAGTTCGGGCAGCCCATTAAAGCGGGCAACGATGTCCAACTCACGGTCGTCAATGACGCCTTTTGGAGCCGTGTTCTAATGTATGTACAAGGTGTCTCATGCATACAGTATTTCTCATTTGCTCTTCGATCCGTGTAGTTCTGGCGATTTGGGCTGTAAGTCTAGTGGATTGTTTTATATCTGATAATGCCTTACACATTCTTACAGTCAGTGAGGCGTACATGATCGGTGACGTGCAAGTGACCGACTTGAAGGCCGTGTTCGACGTGAGTTTAAGCGCAATTGTATTGAAAGTTTAATAAACTCGCTAAAATCTCGCTAATAGCTTTGGCTCGACAATCAAGTCGGGATGTCCAACCTGTCATCAGCCATAAACAGAATAGTCTCGGCGATCAGCGGGCTTTCAAACGCATTCACTGGCCAGACAAAGTCGAAGGCGCGCCTCAATGCCATCGCAAGCTACGATCAGTCAAACGAGCTCTTCAAGGTAAGCATTTTTTTCGTGTTAATGTGTCGTAAGGAATTAACTTGTTCATATCACAGGCGTTCCTGAGTAAAGAAATGATGTACTCAACCGCACTTTGGAGTGATGCTGAAGGTGGCGTTCGGGGCGATCTTGACATTGGTCCCCAACCTGGCGACTTGGAAGCTGCCCAGCTCCGTAAGCTTCATCACGTCCTCCGCAAGGCACGCGTGAAGCCTGGACATCGCGTCCTGGAATTCGGCTCTGGCTGGGGTGGTCTTGCAATTGAGGTCAGTTGCGCGAAGCCTGCTTTGATCGGCTGCAATCAATGAGCTCATACATTTTCATCCTATTCAGGCTGCACGTTCATTTGGCTGCGAAGTCGATACGCTCACGCTCTCGAAAGAACAGAAGGGCCTTGCGGAAGAACGCATTAGGGCAGCCGGCCTGGAAGACCGCATTCGCGTTCATCTTATGGACTATCGCGAACTTCCGCCTGAGTTTGAAAAAGCCTTCGATGCTTTCATCAGTATTGAAATGGTCGAGGTTAGTACCTTTTCATCCAGCTTCTTTTACTGACCTTTCTGACTATCTCGTGCTTCGTATCTTCCAGCATGTTGGCGCTAAAGTACGCAAAAAACTCCCTCGGCTTGCAAGACTTTGTTCACTGATAGTAATTGCAAATTTCAGTATTATAACACTTACTTCTCCCTGATTGACTGGGCACTCAAATCCGAAAATGCCACGGCTGTAGTCACTTCATCAACTTTCCCCGAGTGCCGATTTTCTAGCTATCAGTAAGTGTCAATTCTGCCATCAACACCCGGATCCCGCCGTTCAGCTCCGAGTGTACTAAAAAGGGTGTGATACTGATGACAATCTTTTCTTTCTTCAGGGCAGAGGACTTTATGCGGAAGTACATGTGGCCAAACTCATGCCTGCCAAGTGCAACGTCATTGATCCAAGCAGCGCATTCTGCATCTCAAGGGAGGTTCACAGTTGAGGGTGTAGAAAATCATGCGGCTCGTGAGTGTCCGGCATTCACCGTCAGGAGTCGGCCATCGAACTGACCGGTGTTCTAATTTCAGACTATCCTCGCACATTGCGCGAATGGGGACGCCGTTTGGAGAAGAACCTGACGCAGGAGATGATCGCAAAGGACTTCCCTGCTCTGAAAAACAACCGAGCGGAGTTCGAAGCCTTCAAGCGCAAGTGGCAATATCTCTATGCCTATGCTGGTGCTGGCTTCGCGAAGGGATACATCACCTGCCACATGCTAACCTTTATCCGACAAGTAAGTGCCGTTGGTATTGAACTCACTCCTCTGTGCCTCTTATTCATTGTGACGTTCCTTCTCTACAGAATGATGCTCCGGAAGTTCCGTGCTATTAGATGACGAGTCATCACGTATTTTAACGAGAGACGATAGAGTCAAAAATGTCCTGGGGAAGTTGTATCTTATTGTTCATGATTATGTATTGTATACGATCGCATGTAGATAGACCTTTTACTTTCACTCAGTCCCATCTTTCAATTCATTGTACTTCGGAACTCATGTATCTTTCTGGCTTACCTGCTGGAAATTTATGTTATGCCATGTGAATGCGAATCTTACCAATTCAAAGGCAAATCTGATTTCATCTTAGAGTCATGAGAACAGATAGAATGATTCACGCAATTGTCGAACGTGGGCTTCGGAAGAGCTCGTCGTTCTTAACTAAGACCGACGACCACTACAAATTTCGCTTCTGGCCGAACACATCATGCCCCGAGATAGTGCCGCAGCTCATCATGCGATGAGAAATTTGCTGTTCGCTTGATCGCAGAAGGTTTACTGATTGAAATACAAATGACTGTTTATCATGATATTGCGATACCCCTCTTTCTAAATCGATATTTTATGTGAATTTTATTCACAAATGTTCGAAAGCGTGAGTAGGCATGCCAGTCGTTGGGTTCATATGAATTTGCGCGCTTACCCTTGTTTTCCGTCAGAAAGCTATCCACAAGCATGCGTCACAGCGGTTGGAACCGACGTCCAGCTAAGGACTGGTTTGCTCCCGCTTGCAATGCGGCTGCTGATTCTAGACTACTTTAAATGAGATCTACTGGGGACCAAGCGTGCATGGCATGTTGGCATCGCCTCTCGATCGGCCATGCCGTTCAAGTAATTAAGAGCGATCGTTCCCTTCTTTGTAGCCTAAATTAGGTAATTGGGCAGGGAACTAATGAGATTGATCAGAAAGCTAAAACGTCCGCATTTGCCCCCATTCAACTTCTAAAAGCTTGTGTGTGCGCCACGAGATACACGTGTGTACAACGCTTCGCTGATCGCTAACCGAAGTGACGTTAGAAAGGAGGGCCGTGAATTTCATGTTTCCCTTTCTTCCTAAGGGTCGCATTTATTCAGAGAGATAATCGCGCGGGACGCCGTAAAAAGAATAGTAATTCGAATTTAGTTTTTACTTCGTGGCCATATGCAAGATACGTGTAGGAACCAGACTTCATGAAATTAAAATTTACTCATGCTATCCGAGCTCCCTTCGCCTCGAAGAATCTGGAAAGAGGTTATCCCGTGTCCCCCGTCGTCGTGAGTACGCATTTTTATTATGATCGTGCACACGGGGACTTACGCCGGGGTTACACTTCTTCGGTTGACCTTGACGCCACTAGCACTCGATCTCGATACTTGGCAATCCGCTCGGACCGGCTCGTGTTTGCCTGCCCTGCCCTGAACATCGAATGTAGATTTAAGATAGCCTGCATGCTGTACGGCAGGCGGGAAGCTAGGTCGTCTCCGAAGAAACGGTTGTGCAAGAAGCGTTCAGGCTAGCACATACGTCGTGTAGCGGGTCTGTGGAGAGAGATACTTCCGCTGGAAATTCTCAGCGCATGTCAATGGGAGAATTCGGCACAGGCCATAGCGTTAGGGGGTCGAGACGCGAAATGACTAAAGCCAAAAGGTATTTAGACATCTCCTGGATTCTCCAAGAGAATTTCTCACGTTCATTAGAGTTACTTGCAGTATTCGTACTTTGCACCCTCAGGCTGAACGTGCATGCACATGGCTGTAATCTAGAAGATTAATGAATGAGCCTATCCGAAGACGACGGGTAGGTGGTACATCTTTGATATGGGCGTGAATGAGAAACAAATGCTTGCTGCATACACGCGGACACACCACCTGGCAATGGTAAAAGATCCATCCTCATCCTCAAAGAAATGAAGAAACGTAAACTAAATTACGTGTGTCATAATGACTACAGGGGTTTATTTCTACCACACAGCAGAATGGTTTTTGCAGGTGGTGGTGAGTCACGATAATTGACCCTGAAGAAAAGAGAGCCTTTGCCTATGAGAAAATATTCATAAAAAGAATGGTAGACCGACCATAGTCGGTCTACGTAATGGAAAAATACCCCAGCCGTCACTAACGAACAAAAGCATTTAAACATACACCCGTTTACTTCTGCAATTTCGGAGTCTATGTCATAAATTTTCATTCCCGTGAAGAAAGGGGTTCAAGTAAGGAACCGACCAACAATTCAATGAAAGGACAATGTACAGTCAAAATTGTCTTATTGCATATCATCACAATGCATATATTGCATAATGCATTGCTTCTGGTCAGAACAAAAGTCAACTTCTCAGCCAAAATGTATTGTCATGATGCATAATTTGTATAATGCATTGGGTTTCACTCTCCCCCAACGTTATGCAATAAGACAATTTCGACTGTAGCAAGTTGTGTATGTCTGTAAAGAGGTGAGACATTTCCGTCAAAAACTCCGAAATTCTTACAATGTGGGCATTTTATTTATTCATTCATAGATTTCTTTCTTTAGATGTCAATCCGATCCCTTCAAAAGCAGGCAAAGCTGCGGAACCCGGTGCTATTGTTTTAAATGTTTAGTTCCGTATGTTTGCATATCAGGGGACATCTCCAAAGGATCTACCGACGTCATGGGGCGATTAAGTTATATCTTGCTGTTGGTTCGCGTACAGAATAAAAGCGACGCTGGCTTGTTCGCGGAATGCTAAGGTTCGCGAAATGGACGGACCCATATCCCCAGAAAATATACGCGAATTTCTTAGAATTTAAACAGTGTGTCCTGGGGTCCAAGGGTTGTAACAAGGCTGCTTGCAATAGACCTTCGATAAATTCTGGGAGAAATTCGCAAAAAATAGCATTTGGAATGTGGATAAAATTGCGCTTGGATAAAGGAATACTCCAGAACGTGAAATGTCATTGCCAGAGATTCAGATAGGCAGATTGGCTTCAGGAAGCAACGCATGTCCATACATGCAGTTCTGATTTTACTCAACTTTTACACTTGAGCTGAGTATTGCTGCCTGCCGCGATATCAGTGGAGAAATCACGAAGTATACCGGGTGCTATAATTGCCAATGTCTTGTATTCATCGGCGCTGCTTGACAGAAAAAGAACGCTCATGACCCTACAGCCCAAGTGGAAATGCAAATATCTTGGGCGCTTACATCCGAGAATGTTCGAGAGAGAGTTGTTTTCGCTACAGCAATAACACGATGCATGCGTTCAAAATGGTCCGGAATCCAGGGCTATTTTGCAAAGAATTTGCTTTCATCGGACTCATCGTAATCCCCGGTGGAGTACAAACTTGGATGCACGTAGGAGTCGAAACTTCTGTGGTATTCTTATTTGATAGTACGGTTACAAGTTACGAGTCCTTTGCCCACGCAAAGTGGAGAAAGTCAGGAGAGATGGGGCAAGTTGCGGACGCAGAGTCGCTGCTATGTTTGTGGTCTAGTCCAGAGCAGATGCAGCACGCGTGACGACGACATTGTTTTCGGTCACACGCTTGACGCGTCTGTGACTTTTTGACCTTCACGCGTCGAGCTTCGCGTTCGTCGTCGATAGGCCACATTGAGCTCGGGTCCGGTCTGGTCATCTTGCAGTACATACCTGACGATAGTTTCTATACTTACTGCGCAGGATGCCGGACAATCAGATTTTCAAAGTGCGTGCTTCTTCCGATTGTCGCAAGGCTATCTGTGTGTGCTAAGACCGTCGCTTCAGGCGACATACAGCGGAGTTCCTGTCTATGAGATGTAGGAAGATTGATTGCAGCCAAGGGTAATTGATTCTGATAAATATGGCATGTAGGATGTGCAAGGGAGTGGCTGTAATGCGCAGGAAGTCCGATGGGTGGCTCAACGCGACGCAAATATTGAAAGTTGCTGGTTTCGACAAACCCCAAAGAACGAGAGTACTGGAAAGGGACATCCAAAAAGGCGAGCACGAAAAGGTGCAGGGTGGCTACGGAAAATACCAAGGTACGAGATGTCTTGAAACTGCACCGGGTCTGTACATCCATGCCTCATTACAGGCACCTGGATTCCTCCCGAACGAGGCTTGGAACTGGCCAGACTCTACAATTGCGACCTCCTCTTACGTCCTATCATAGAATTTCAGCCGGACTCGAGGAGTCCACCCCCGGCACCGAAACACATAGTGGCACCTGCTCCTGGGAGGCAAACCGGTCGCAAGGAGACTCCGTCTAGCACGCGCACAGCAGCCCGACGCAAACCGAAGTCTACACATGAAGACGAGGGGATTTCGTTATTAGGATCTGAAGATGATTCTGACTCTCCAAGTCCGTCAGAAGCATCTACTACTTCTCCGACTCCCCCACCAATCCGTGCAACACCTGACCAGCGTGGTTATGCCGACGGTTATACTCAATATTCTTCATCTCCTCGGGATCATGCAAAGCGACGTGACAGGTACGACGGAGAGTCGGGCTCGGATGAAGAAATGAATCCTGGCCCGAACTACGTGGATGAGATTCTCGAGTATTTCATCTCAGAGTCAAGTCAAATTCCTCAATTTCTCATAACGCCGCCGAAGGACTTTGACCCAAATATTGCCATTGATGACGAGGGTCACACGGCATTACATTGGGCTTCAGCTATGGGCCGTATGCGTGTTGTCAAACTTCTGTTGACGGCAGGCGCCGATATCTTCAAAGTGAACAAAGCGGGACAAACAGCATTAATGCGCAGCGTGATGTTCTCCAATAACTACGACGTTCGTAAATTCCCAGAATTATACGAGTTACTACACAGATCGACCTTGAATATCGACAATTACAATCGGACGGTCTTCCATCATATCATGGATGTTGCAATGTCGAAAGGGAAAACACACGCCGCTCGATACTACATGGAAACCATTCTGCAACGATTAGCAGAATATCCCAAGGAGCTGGCGGACATTATTAACTTCCAAGACGAAGATGGTGAAACTGCGCTTACTATGGCTGCACGTTGTAGAAGTAAACGACTTGTTAAGTTGTTAATCGATCACGGTGCTGATCCAAAGATCGCAAATCGAGACGGAAAGTGCGCGGAAGACTACATCTTGGAAGACGAACGATTCCGATCATCCCCAACTCTTCCATCCCGAACGGCAAACATGTCATTTCGGACATTACAAGCTGCACATCCTTCTGTTTCTGGAGGTTCTTCGTATGCTAACGGCCCCGCACTCCATGATCGGCTTCCTCTACATCATTCCGTGACTGCACAGATTGCCAGCACGAGATGTGTGAATGACATGGCCGCCATGCTTGAGAGCCTCGCAGCGTCTTTCGATCAGGAACTTAAGGACAAGGAACATGACATGGCGCAGGCACAGCTTGTCCTTCATACAATTCAGTCGGAAATATTAGACCATCAGCGCTCAGTGATGCAGCTCAAGCATCAATGCCAAAGTTTGGACGAGGCGAAAGCGGCACTTGTACAAGTAAAGCACGAACTTCTTGCGAAAATGAACCGACGATACCGTCTCGGCTGGGAGAAATGGCACCGTGACGAGGAGGATCGGGAGCGCGCCGTGCGATCGAGTCCCTTAGGCCAAGGCCTCCCCTCTGTCACCGGCACTAATCCTGATATAGTCTCGGAGTCAATGGAAGCGACGCAACCCGTTCCGATATCGTTCCAAGTCACCGAAAATGAGGACATCTCGGACTTGAGGGAGTTATATTCGAATCTTCCAAATGACGAAAAAGGCGTTCAACAAGCGTGTCAAGAACTTCGAGCGGATCTTGTACAGTCACGCACGAGGCGAAGTGAGATGTTTGAGCAGCTTGCAACTTTACAGGCCGAAGCGGGAACTCAAGGACGAATGGCTCAATACCGACGATTGCTAAGTGCCGGTTGTGGAGGGATGCCGCAAGCTGAACTGGATGATGCCCTTGCTATGCTTCTCGACGTAAGTTATTCTCACATCAATGTTCACTTTGACAGTGCCTTATGAATGATCAAGCAGTCTCTTGAAGCTGAAGACCCTGGGAATGCCACCACAACGTGGAGTAATAAGCCTGGTCGACCGGGTGGTGGAACGTGAACATTGTCACTTCAGAACATATCTACATGTTGTATTTTGTAGCACTGCCGCTTTCATATCTATGACTGTTAGCTACCTGCTTCAACCAGCACGGGATGTTGTAGCAACAGCGTCATCAGCGGCGAAGAAGTTTATTCGCTTAAGTGCGATTCGGCGTGGAAGACACACCGAGTGGAGGGAATGGTACTTATACAAGGAAGCTTGAATAGCTCTACACAGCCTGTTGGGCGTATCGGTGGCGTTTTCAAAGATGAACTTAAGAGATTCCCGTCGGCAAGACACTTCCAACGATGTGTATTTGTGCCAATACATTCAGTATGCTTGCACGTAGCACATAAGGCACTTACACTGCCTTTTTTTGTCAAAACGAGGTTTAGTTACCGCCGATTTGATATCTCTTTTTATTCACTTTCCTAAAGCCAAGATACACTCTATTTCCGTGATCTCTGTAACGTATATGCATTTGTGTAAGGTTAAATAACTCGATTGAAACGAGCATAGTGCGACAACGCCACTGCTTTTGGGGGACGCGTTGTTTATCCGTATTTACGCGTTATTCTCGTTCAAGTAAGCAAGTTAATTTTAGAATTAACTCTACGACAAGCATGTGATTCGGCTCTCGTCTTTTCCGCCCGTAGGTAACGTGACCCCACCCGTGAATTCAGCTAATGCACCACATGTGATTGGTTGTCTTGTACCGAGACTTTGAATATGACGGTCAAGGAGCATAAGGTGTATAGTGCTGAGGAGGTTGCGAAGGTGGGTTTTTTGTGATTGTGTTGTGGTGGTATCTTTGAAGCTAATGAATGACGTAGCATAATTCACCTGGTGACTTGGTACGCACCAAAAACCGTCTGGATAATTAATGTGGAGACTGAATTGTGTTTGCAGTGGATTGTTATTGACGCAAAGGTCTTTGACGTATCGCGCTTTGCGAACTTGCATCCTGGAGGAGCTGCTGTGTTGTTAGCAAAATCCGTCGGTAAGTACTTGTTCACCCCGCGTCTTTAGCTAATTCTGAAACAAAGATACTAGCTGGACAGGATGCAACAGAAACTTTCTTCGGATTACACAGACATGAGGTATTACTTCGTCCACACTATGCTCGTTTGCAAATTGGTACACTCGAAGGAGAAGAAGAGGTTGTGAAGGCCGCTGCGCCGGATGCACTCTCTGGCGTTCCGTATGCTGAACCGACGTGGCTCGCAGAGGGTTTCCATAGTCCTTTTTATACGGATGGGCATCGTCGATTCCAACGTGCTATGCGGAAGTTTGTTAGTGAGGTTATTGCTCCGGAGATGGAGCGATGTGAAGTGAATGGGAAGAGGTTAAGTCAGAATGTTGTTGACAAAATGTCGTAAGTGTATTGTTCCCTTCGTCTTGAATATTTCCTCGTAAATTAACGAATCGAATAGGGAGATGAATATCCATGCTATGCGACTAGGTCCAGGGAAACATCTTAAAGGCCGCAAACTTATGGGTGGCACTATCACTCCGGAAGAATTCGATTACTTCCACGAGCTCATTATTTCTTTTGAGTACGGGCGACTTGGGTTACGTGGCTCAATGGACGGCCTTCTTTCTGGTGGTGTCATCGGATTGCCTCCTGTGCTCAACTATGGCTCTCCTGAGCTACAAGCACGCGTCGTACCGGATGTACTTAACGGAAAGAAACTAATTTGTCTTGCTGTGAGCGAGGCATTTGCAGGTAGTGATGTTGGTGGGATGGAAACTACTGCGACGAGGTTGCGAGATGGTAGTTGGGTTGTGAATGGTACGAAGAAGTGGATTACGAATGGTGTCTTTGCGGATTTGTTTACGACTGCTTGTCGGGTGGTTGACGAGAACGGAAAAGAACGTGGATACGTTGTGCTCCTTATTGAACGTGGAGAGGGTGTCGAGACGAAGCCTATCAAGACGAGCTACTCGGCGACAGCAGGGACGGCGTTTGTTATGTACGACAATGTAAAGGTCCCTGCTGCGAACACTGTTGGAAAGGTAGGCGATGGGATGAAAGTCGTTCTGAGCAACTTCAACCACGAACGATGGATGATTGTCTGTGTCGGTTTACGAACGCAACGGTTAATCGTGGAAGAATGCTTGAAGTGCGTAAAATAATATCAAATATCCTTGCATCTATTTCAACATATTAACTGCGTTTCACCTTACAGATGGGCAAACCAACGAAAAGTTTTCGGAAAGCCGCTCATCGCGCAAGCGGTCGTACGGGCAAAAATTGCCGGTATGATCTCACGCGTTGAGGCGTGTCAGAACTGGCTTGAACTGATAACTCACCAAATGAACAATGTATCTATTTGTTTTGTTCCGTTGCTTGCTTTCATCAATGACTAATTTAAGCTTTTGTATGTCATAGATGTCCTACGAAGAACAATCCGACAAACTCGCCGGTCCGATCGCGTTGCTTAAACAGTGAGTAGTAATCCACTCTTCCATTTTCCTGCACATTTTTAATTTCTTTTTCTTTTTGTCTTTCTTTTCCTCTTTTCCCCGATGTGTTTCAGGTTTATCACGAAATGCGGAAGAGAGATTGCAGAGGATGCGACGCAGGTTTTCGGCGGGCGTGGTATCACAGCGACAGGCATGGGAAGGTTGATTGAGAATGTTAGTCCCTTTGACTACTTTCTTTTGTGATCCGATATTGTCGCTGACTGCTTAATTTTTATCGGTGACCTGTTTTTTCTACTTTTACTTTTTTTACGAAGTTCCATCGTACGTCTCCGTTTGATGCGATATTGGGCGGTGCGGAGGATGTAATGGGGGACCTGGGAGTGAGGCAGGCTTTGAGAAAGATGCCGAAGAATGCTAAACTTTAGTTCCTTACTTGTATGCATGTATATTATATTTTCACAATAATTGTAGCGTTTATGCGAATACTACGGATTTATTCTGGTTTCGTGAAGTGACGGAAGCGGACAAGCTGAGGGTCGCCCGAAGTGGCAAGGATTGCCAATGTGTGAGATCGACGCCTCGATGCGGCGGCCGTTGTGCGTACCCACCTCTCAAGACGCAGTCATGACGGGCAATCTGTCGCCCAGCCTCGCTGTATACCAGCCTCTACCGCAAACACCTGATGTAGTAGATGAGTTGGTAGATGAGTTTCTACAGGAACAGCCACACGCGGAAGTACATGTTGGCGGGCGGATACGATGGGTCCACTTCATCTTTGGATGTGCGGTGCTCTTGCCCTGGAACGGTGAATATCCTGTTATCTTGAGTGTTTGTGATTAATACTGACGAACAAATGTGTATGTATGATGAAATAGCACTGATCACTGCAACGCCGTATTTCTTGTCTCGATTGTCTGGGTCACCCATGAAGAGTTCATTTAGCTCATACCTTTCCATCACGTTTACACTTGCGAACTTTTGCTTTCTGGCGCATGCTACCGTAACTTCTAAACAAGTATGTAGTCTGCACATATTCCTGTGAGATTTGGAGATCTGAATACTTTCAAGTCATCTCCTGCTCGTCGTATATTCGTTGCTACATCACTCCTAGCAGTCCTCGTTGGTCTCCTAACTCTCTCCACGAGTACACCTTCCTCAACAGGAATCTTCTTCGCATTCGTTCTATTAAATGGGATCGTACAAGCCGGGGCGGGTTCCTATCTACAAACAGCCGTCGTAGCCGTAGCCTCGCTCTTCGGTCACTCAGCAATGCATGCATGCATGGCTGGACAGGCTTTCGTCGGTGTAGTTGTTAGCACTGTACAACTACTCAGCTCCTTGGCTTCTGTGAGTGCTTCGGCGAAGGCCAGGGAAAAGAATCAGGAGTATGATGAGGGAGGAGCAGAGGCGAGGGCTGCTGCGTTGTTTTTTGGGTTGTCGACTGTGTTTTTGTGTGCGACGCTTGGTGCGTTGAGTTGGCTTGTGAGGTTGCCGGAGTATAAGGCTGTTATGAGGCCATTTGAGGAGGAGAGGAGGAAGGGGAGGGAAGGAAGTGAAGGAGGAGGAGTTGATGTTGATATTGATGCGAAGAGTGAGAAGGGAAGGATATGGAGAGTTGCGAAGGCGAATGTGGAGTATGAGTTTGCTGTTGGGTATGTTTTTACGGTGACTCTGGTGAGTTATTTTTTATTTTATTTTAATTTTTTGGGTTTTGGAAGTGGATTTACAGCTCTGATTATTGATTGAATTGAATGAATAGGCTGTATTCCCTCCTATAACCGCATCTATTCTGCCTGCGGATCCAGCGACTTTTCACCCGCTCATCTTCACTGCTATTCATTTCCTCCTGTTCAATGTCGGAGATCTTACTGGGCGGTACCTCTGTGCGGTTCCGAGACTGCTTACCTGGTCTTCCCGCCGACTACTCGTACTCTCTCTCGCACGTACACTATTCATCCCCCTCTTCCTCCTATGCAACGTTCAACGCCCCTCTCCTTCCTCCTCACCCTCTTCTTCAACCTTGCCATCATCAGCACTCTCCCTAGGCTCCGACGCGTTCTTCTTCCTCATACTCCTCCTCTTCGGGCTTTCCAACGGCTACGTCTCGAGTATGTGTATGATTGCTGCTCCCAACGTCCAGCATAATAAGAAGTTGGGGGGTAGGAAGGGAGATGTGGATGTTGCTGCTACGCTTGCGAGTTTTGTGTTGGTCGGGGGGTTGGTTGTTGGTTCTGCGTGTAGTTTTTTGGTTAGGTGGAGGGTTTGTGGGTGTAATCCGTTTGTGGAGTAGGAGTTGTTTAGATGGATTGTTGGGCAATGTTAGGAGTGATGTGCTTGGGTCTGGATGCTCTCTCTCTCTCTGTTCGTTTATGTTTGTAAGTATAGAGTACGGGCTGTAATTGGACTTTAATGAATTGATTGTCATTGGCATTGTGCATAAATATACAATGTATTGAACATCTCATTCAACACTAATTCTAAAATACAAACGAAAACAACAAAAATATTCAGTCTTATGAACATAATTATTGAACATTATCATTGAGTTATATATTCGACTCAAAGGAGATTTGTTAAGCTCTCTGGCGGTGGAAGTGCAGGTTCGCCGACAGGGGTAACGTAGCAAGAGGCCAGACCGCCTTCGACTTTGAACTCCGTGCCCTGTTCAGAAGGGATAATGTAATATAAAGAAACAGGTAAGTGAAACTCCATTATGGACAGGGAAGGAGATGGGAGATGGGAGATGGGAGAGATACGTACGGTGACGTAGCTGCTATCATCGCTTGCAACTAAACGGCAATAGATGAGGATATCAGTATCCGAATGCGTTCATCTGAGGAAGAGAAAGTAGATAGGAAGGGAAAGGGACGTACGAAACAGAGCGCCCTTTGCGAGTTCAACGGCTTCGCCGAAGCGGCCCATGGGGAGGTGGACCAATCGTCTGTCACGTTTCTCGGGTGTGTTGAGGAAGTCCATTAGCATGGCTTAATTTACACACGTATGTTATTGTGAGGGTATGTTACACTTAATGGGGGAAAGGCGTACGTGTTTTCAGTGGACCGCTATACATTGGTAGGTTTAAGGTAGTTTGACGTGAGGAAGATATGGGGGTAATGCGGAGGGACGTACGGGCAGAGTGAGTTGAAGCGAATGCCTTCGCGGGCGTGGACCATTGCTAATTCGCGGGTCATGGCGAGTACGGCACCCTAATAACGCGCATACAGTTACCTAGTAAATTATTCAAGCATCTTAGCTTACCTTAGAAGCAGTATCTATCACAAGCATCGCAAATTCAATATCGTACTATCACCGCCTGCAACGCTTACAGCGGAAGCACTCACAAGCTAACTGGGGCGTCGCCGCACCCATGAGCGCAACGAAGCTCGCAGTATTGATGATGCTCCCTCCGACGCGTAGACCTTTACTCTCATCGGTAGGGTTGTTGCGCATAGCGAGGATAGCGTATTTACAGCCCCACCAGACGCCTTTGAGGTTGATTTGCATTGTGAGGTCCCAGATTTTCTCTTCTGTGTTGAGTGCGTTGTCGTCTGCTGGGTGCATTATTCCGGCGTTGTTGAACTGTTGTTTGTATTTGACCAGTCAGATTCCCGTCTTAGTGAGAGGGAGTATGGTGTATAGGAGAGGGAAAGGAGAAACGTGATTACCATAATGTCCAGTCTCCCGAACTCTGCGACGGCTTTGTCTACTGCTGCTTTCACGTCTGATTCTTTCCCGACGTCGGCTGTTGTTGCGATTATCTTCACGTTCGGCGTCTTCTTAGCTAGCTTCGCTGCAGCATCTTGGACGGCTTTCTCGTTGATGTCGACTAGCAAGACGTCGGCTCCCTCAAGTGCGAATAAGATTGCCGACTCAAGACCTATGCCGCTATTGGCGATATTTCGGATTACAGTAATGGGAGGTGAGTATATGCGTTTTGGACTTACGATGCGGCTCCTGTGATAAGTGCAGACTAATACAAAGCAGTCAGGGCCATTAGTATAGCTGGATAGCAGATACTAACTTTATGCTGAAGACGGCCAGGCATGATGTGTTGTGGATGAGAGAAGAGCAAGAGATATGGAATCGTAATGGAATTCTGCATCCATATCGATTTATACTTGATCGACGCGCCGATCCCATACAGAGCAAAGCAACTAAAGTCTAAATCTGGCATGGAAATGCTTGTTCCACTTAGTGCATATCTTGAGCATACATATAGAAAAATATGGTATTGTACCTGGACTAAAGAGCATTGAGAAAGCACTCTTGTGCAAGGCTCGGAGTTACTTATGGTAGATATAGACGAAACTAAATCTTTATTTGCTTGTATTTTCTGTCATCGTGACCGCGGAACGGATGCCCAAAGTGGAAGCGACGTTGGCTTGTGATTTATCGATGATCTGCCCTTGTTACCTGCCTCATATAAGTATACCGCATAGACCTTTGCTATACCTCCTCCTCGCGCTTTCCTCCTTTCTCAACGACATACTCTACGCATATATGTGAATATTTTTTCAATATTTCTCAAGAAGAACATAGATGATGTCTAAATGGGAGAGTTATTCCCGAAACGGATTGAGTATCGCTTCTACTGTAACTTCTGTGGGCTTTACTGCGGCTAAGTTGGGCACGAAAGTCGGAGTGCGTCTACCTGTAGCCAACGCTCTCTCTTTTCTACTTGTTTTAATGCATGTTGGTAGTTTGGAATCGCTCGAGGTGTGTCTTCGACCGTTGCTGTCATAGCAGGGTATCCCTTTGGGGTTGGTCTTGCGCTTGGGGGAGCAGGTATGCATCCGTCAAATTGCGTCATAACGCATGGCTAAAATGACTCGTGTCTACAGTGTCCGTCGTGTTTTCGCTTGCTGAACACATTGCACTTGCTCCAATTCTATTGGGGGAAACACTTGCGTCGACCTCTCTAGTCGCAGCTGAATCTTCTATTGATGTTCTCAGCGCCATCTTCCCTGGCAGTGATGAAGCGTCCTTCTCACTCGCGTCTTTCGTCGCACTTGTAAAGCGTGAATGGAATGAGCCGGCGTACTGGGAGAAGCTACCGCAGGAGCGCTATAGCGTGACCGAAATCGCCACGGCTCTCGTGGCTTGGGGCGCTCTGCAAGGCGTCACACATGAGTGGAAAGAGAAGATGTGGTTCAAAGATCTCAAGGAGATCGACGTAAATGAGATAGACGACGAGAATTCACCGTTCAGGGAACGCAAGGAATCACGTATTAGGATTACGAGCGACATGACACGGAACGTCGGGCAAATTATTACGGCCGAGATCGAGGAAATTGAGCCGCCCTCGAGACCTACCAATCTGCGCGCTGCTAGTACTCAAACACGGTCACAATCGTTCGTAGCTCAGAACAAGCTCAAGTCGAATCTTCGCCGCTTTTCCAAAATGGTACTGGCTGGCTATGGCGGCGCTGGACTTATATTCTTTGGCGTCTCATTTACTCCGCCACTACCGTCTGTCCCGAAGTTTTCCAATCCTCTTCATGACAATGCGAGTACAGCAGAAGAACATGCCCTCGCGAACGCTGTTGACGCCTCCGAACGCGAGGCTTCTTCATCTTTCCGCCATCCAGCTCCAGCTCCGGACACTCAGCCTCCGCCGAAATATTCTTGGTGGAACGTTCTACTTGGGCGCCATGATCGCGAAATATTCGAGGGATATGCATTCACTCCGGCGACAGTGCGTGAGGGTACGAGTAAACGTCGACGTCGGAGCAAGAAAGCTGAGGAGGATAAACCTATGACTGCAGTCATCGGCGCTGAGAAGCACATGCCTCGCTTCTGGGTACTAACGGATCACGGACGCAGACAGGTTGTTCTCGTTTTCCGGGGGACGATGTCCATCAATGAGCTCGCTGTTGACCTCACTTGTGACCCGGAACCGTTCTCACCCGCAAGTCCAGATGATCCATTGGACGATGGAGTGGAAAGTGAACAGAAAGTAGACGGGTTGCCTTCAGTCATGATGCCAGGGTCACTTCCTTTTCCTTCTTTTGCGCCGCCAAAACACGGACGCAATCGAACGGATTCGAACGTGTCGAAGAGCGAGGATGGAATGCCTCCCGATCGCGAGACTTATGATGTACATGGAGGGATGCTCCGAATGGCGAGGGTGATGGGTGCAAGAGGAAAGCCCGTTCATCGTGCTGTTCAGCAAGCATTGTACAAGAACAGTGGTTATGGCATGTGATTTCGTACATTCTAGGAGAGCTGACTCTGACTCTGCTTCCAGAGCTGATCCTAACCGGACACAGCCTTGGCGCAGGTGTCTCTGCTCTCCTCGCTCTCGTGAGTAAACCCTCTCTGGTGGCTTGTCATTATGTCTGACATATGCTAGACGTGGGCGAACCCCGAAACATGCCTTACCGTCCCGTCGAGTGGACTTCCGGTCGGACGAAGGGTTTCCGCATATTGCTTTGCTCCACCGTACGCATTTGTTTACATTGCCTGTCTTTTTTTCTTTCTGACATTCACTTCGAAACAAAAGCTGTCTCGTTTCTCCCGCATTATCAAATCTCTCAAGGCGCCTCGTCACCTCCTTCACGTACTCGCACGATGTTGTTTCAAGGTTATCACTCGGCTCTGTCCGAGATATGAATGCTGTTGCGGCATGGCTTTGCGAGGCAAATAAAGGCGGTAGTGAGGAAGGGTATGCGGCTGTTACGAAACGCGCGTTGAAGTGGCGCGCGGGATATGGAAGACATGAGGATCCCGACTGGGTACGTATACCCTTTAATCCATGGTTTCATGAGTGAATCGTTTGTCTTCCGATTGGGTTTTGACTCATGTCTTCTTTTTTTTCCTTTCTATACCATGCGACGGCTCTTTGCTGTTGCTATTTAGTTTTTGTCGATGCGGAAGACATTAGAGGCGAACATGGTTATGGCCGACTTGTTTCCACCCGGACGGGTCTTGTGGGCGATAAGAGATGGAGATTTACACCCTTCGCATAGATTATCCGCCTCCGGTTGTTCGGGCGCTGCTGTGGAGAGCAATGCCGAGAACAAAGTGCGATTCTTTGATGTACTTGATGTCGAGAAGGTCTTTGGGCAGATTATATTTGCTAGGGATATGTTAAGGTGAGGGTTTCATTGGTCTTTTTCTTTTGTTTCTAAATGGGTAGCTTGAAAGCTCACTTATTTTTTTGATAAATTTTGCGTATACAGTTCGCATTTACCGCATCAATACGATCGAGTGTTGCATGAGCTACTCTAGGTTGGACTAATTTGTACAATGGCGTTTGTACTCTACGTTGCTGTTCTATTGAACTAGAGGAGACTAAACCATAGCTCATACCATACCATACTTATTCCCTTTTATTGATATGCTTCGCTTTTACTATGCTGTATTTCTGCTTGATATTCACTGTATCGAATCTTTGTATCAAAACCAGCCGCTTGCGAATCCTGAATCGACTAATAGAAAACACGTAGATTGCGAATGCCCATGAAATACAACTGGATAGTGACATCAAAAACAAAGCTTGTGAAGAGCCAGAAAGTAAAGGAAAGTTATGAGCATCAGTCCTGATCTGTTTGGTCCCTTGGACGATAGCGAATGCCGCGTTCCTGAAGCTCCTGGTCGACGTCGTCTGGTATTCTCCCCTTTACGCGGACGGCATACATCCCTCGAACATATTTCGCTACACACCACACGCCTTAGTTCCTCACTCAAGAGACAAAGTCAACAAAGACTTACAAGTCCTCTGCCATCTCGCCACCCAACTAGCCTCAGAGTCAATAGCAGCGATGACACCCTCGAAATGAGTAGTCGTGCATGCGAGGACTCGGTCCTGCGATTGTTTCATTTGCATGATTTCTTCGCAGTTGGGGCAGCCGTTTCGGCGGAAGTCGACGGGGGATTGGATAATGGAGCAGAGGAGGCATGCGCGGAGTTGGCGGGCGCGGGCGTTGGAGGGGATGGATGCTGTTGGTGGGGCGTCTGTCATTTTTCTCCTTTTCTTTTGGGAGAGATGAGGTGAGGTGTGATTGGTGGTGAGAAAGACGTTGTGGCAATGAAGGGATTGAGAGTCGTGACTCGAGAGATCGACGCGAGGAAGAATAGACAAGAATATTATTCGTCATCACACATTCAAAGTGCCTTGCACGCCTTTTTTCCTCGCCGACGACCATCTATGAACAATGTCGGACAACACTTGTTGTCTGGTGAGTATCTCTGCACATAATCAAACTAAATGTATGTATTTACGAGATTGTAAAAGGCGGACTTTCAGGATTAGCCTCAACTGTTCTCCTTCAGCCTTGTACGTTTTTCAGATTCATATATAATTACTCTTTCGTAGAACCGACGGAACTGAGGCCTCGCATTTGCGTTTTGCTAGTTGATCTCTTGAAGACTCGTCTGCAACAACGAGATGGGAAAGTAGACATCCGGTACGTCATACAACGACATCACTACGATGTCTAATTTTATTGAACGAATTCGAATTGCAAATCGCTCCCTCCTTCCTTTTTCAAGGCAGAGAACAAGTGTACTGCATGTTACGCGGAGCGTCTTAGCTTCGGATGGTATACTGGGATTATGGCGAGGGACTGTTCCTTCGTTATTTAGGTTTGTCTGCTATGTCTATATACCTTGCCTATTCTTATAATTATTCGTATACTTTATTATTTAATTACTTAGGAATGTTCCCGGTGTAGCTTTATACATGACAAGCCTCACGCAAATTCGAACCGCGATGGCTCGCTCAGCGTATTTTGTCCGAGCTCCCTTAATCTTTAACGGTAGTGCTACTGGGGGGAACACTTCCAAGTCTGGATCTGTACTACCAAAGTTATCAAGCCAGGGGAACTTACTCGCCGGAGCGTTCACCCGCGTCGCAGTTGGGTTTCTTTTAAACCCGTTTTCTGTGATTAAGGCGCGTTTTGAGGTGTGTTTCTTCTTTCTTTCACTTCCTCCTCTGTGTGAAGCTGAATAGTTGAATTGAATGGGAAACTCTTTTTGGTTTTGGGTGGGATAGAGCAACATCTACCAATCTCAGTACAACTCCTTCCCACAAGCAGTCGCTCTAATCGCACGCTCCGGACCAAAAGAGTTGTTCAAGGGTTTCGTACCATCCGCGATGCGCGATGCACCGTATGCTGGTTTGTTTGTGGCTACTTATGAGAGTATTAAACGGCATACTTGTAAGGTTTCCTTTTATAACCCGTTCCAATAAATTATTGACTGTATACCTCGACAAACTTTAATGGAAATAAATTGAAACGAGTAGCCCATTTATCGGGGTCATCCTCGGTCCTATCATCAACGATGGTACATACGGTATCCGCCGGTACCGCAGGAGCGATAGCTACACTTGCCACGCATCCATTTGACGTTATCAAGGTTAGTGATACATTGACTTTCCTAACCTAACCCTCTTCCCACCTACCTCTACATCCTTCCATGTTTCTACTCTCTTTTCCTTTCGGTAACTCATACTAATTTTCTTTTGCTTTTTCTTTTGCCTTTTCTTTTACGTTTTGAGTAGACGAAAGTCCAAGTCCGACAAGAAGACCGATATCACGGTCTCCGGCGGACAGTTCATACGATTTGGCAGGTATGTCCTTACATCGAGTATCCCTTACTTCCATATTAAAAAGACGCTATACTATGTAAATCTCACTTTATCATTTGTTCAATTTGCAGCAACGAGGAATCTCAGGCTTCTTCGATGGCGCGTCGTTGCGCGTCTCCCGAAAGGTTTTCAGTTCCGCAATCGGATGGGCGGTGTACGAGGGCCTGCTTATGGTTTTTCATAATAACAGCAATAATAATGATCAGCGGTTATGATAATGGTAAGAGGTGGAAGATAATTATGTGGCTTGATGATCTCCTAATGCAACTATGGTCCTGCCTTATTTCCAGGACAGTCACTTGCTATTTCGCTTGCTACTCAAGATTATTATGGTTTATGGATACGATGATCCTACTCTTTTTGCTATAACCCACATTCCATCTTGTATAGAAAGACATAGCCTCACTCAGACAATCCGATCTAATAATAGCATTCTATTGATTGAAATAAGGAAACGGATTGTTAATTCTATCAACCTCTTTGAACAATCTCCAATCCTCTATACCTCCTCCACAACACGTCCTGAACAAATTGACTAAACGTACTTCCATCTGTTCCAACAACCTGATACGCTTTCCCAGCAACGACAGCATCAAGAAAAGGGAGTATGAAACCTTTGAGCATGAGTCCGTCGTATCCGCTTTTCGGTCGTCCGAGAGCAGTAACTTCGTCAACAAAATCTGATAAGATGAATGTACATGGAAACGCGGCGAAGAAACGTTGGAGTAAGGGATGAGATTCAGGATCCGACACGTCCGTTGAGATGAAGAGAGGTACGTTTAAAGCGGTAAGTTGGGGATTGTCGTGCCACGGCCGACGGCATGGCAGTTTCGGCAGGATGGTCGAAGGAAGTGACGGGAGTGCAGGATGTGAAGCACGAAGTGTGGCTTGATCGACGGTGATATTTGGAGGTGACGAGTAGCTGAAGTTCGTTACTCGTCTTTCTACGTCTAGCCCAACGTTCTCTTCGACGCCCAACACTTCTCGTACTAGTCTCCACCAGATTAAACGAACGTTCTTCTTGGCTTTCCGTTCGAAACCACCATCGCCTAGCCTGACATGTATGGCAACGTATTCTCCGCCTAGTTTAGCTTTTATTGACTCCGCAAGGTCGAGAAGCATTCCGTTATTAAAGGTCATGCCTTCACGGACCACCGTCCGATATGCAATGTTGCGAGCGCGGCGAAGACGGACACGCGAGGAGCCGAAAAGCGTTCCGACTTGGATGAGACGGTGAGGAAGTCGTTCGAGAAGGGACATAGATATGACCTCGTCAAATCGCGAGCTTGGCATGTCGAACGGGTCTGCGTCCACAAAACGGAATTGGTATGGAGTATTATCCTTGATCTCGAATGTCTCATTCGGTGTAATTCCCAAATAGTCAGATAGCCAAGCGTCGCTCATGTTCCAACGTTGAATAATTGGTTGATTTTTCGTGATATCGGAAACATTAGACAGCCAGTTCCACGGAACCAGGGTATAGTCGTAGTAGTCTGTACATTCTACTGGCAGTTCCTTCCATACGCTTGCGTTAGTGCAATGTCCGAGTCCATCCTTTCCAGAAAGCGTGACCAGTTCGTAAAGATGATCAAAAGGATAGTACGTGAGAGTTCCTTTTCCCAGTCTAACAGGCGGAACCAGAAGAGTGCGATTAAGAATGTAAGCCATGAGTAGCGCGTTTTCGAAAGCTATTCGCTGATTGTGGAAACCGCTGTGCGGAAGATATGCCAGATACTTCGTGGAGCTATCAATAGGAGCATTCCCTAATTCACGGTCGAATTCGACGACTTGAAAAGGTTGAAGAAGAACATTAGAGGAAGCCTTGTTATGTCGAGTGGCGTGCTTCACCCACCCCGTGCTAAACAAGTAATATGCAGAACCGAAGCAGAAAGCTACAGCGAGAATCAAGAGTATGATTATCCCAGCTAGTCGTTTGTCACGCATTGAGAGCTGGGTGCCCTTTCCTTGGAAATAGCTGTGACGAAACTTGGATGGCGAGCCTTGGTTGTTTAAGACGTTGTATGCGCCCTTCTCCATCGTTATTGATGGCGATGATGGCGTATGTCTTTTTGACAGATATGCATTCATTATGTATAATACAGGTTCAAAAGAGTGACGGAGGAAGCCGGAGGAGATGTGGCAATGGTAAGAGAGTAAGATGGAATGGCAGTGGCACTCGCGCGAGAAAATCATGATGCGTCGCGTACAAATCTGAATTCAGTCTTGGTTCTTCCCACCATCATGGGCCTCCTAACAATAATTCGCAAAAATCGCATGAAGGAGAAAGAAATGCGGATATTATTCCTGTGAAGCCTCTCGTCTATTTGTGACTGCAAAACACCCTTCTCAAGTGTACTTGAAGTGGATTAGACAATGCTGGAAAGACGACAATAGTCAAGAAGTTGAATGGGGAAGACGTTATGAGTGTCAGCCCTACACTTGGATTTAATATCAAGACGTTTATCCACGGTCGGTGAGTGCAAACAAATCGCTATTTTAATCTGAAATGCTACTTATTTACTTGAGAACTTAGATATACTTTGAATATCTGTCAGTGGCGACTTTATTTGCGACGTTACCTCCTTTATTTGATATCTCATCAAAGCATATAGGGGACGTTGGAGGTCAAAGAACACTTCGACCGTACTGGAGAAACTATTTCGAACAAACTGACGCTGTGGTATGGGTCGTAGACTCGAGCGACCGCATGCGAATGGACGATTGTAAAGAGGAATTACACAAATTACTAACAGAAGACGTATGTTCTTCCCTTCCTATATCTTTTGATCATGACGTCTACTTAATCTACTGCACCTCTCATATTCTTGTACAGCGTCTCGCAGGTGCATCTCTCCTTATTTTCGCCAACAAACAAGACATTGACGGTGCAATGTCTGAATCCGAGATTCGCGACGCCCTTGACCTGCCTAGCATTCGCTCACATAATTGGCGCATCTGGAGCTGTAGTGCCATGTCGGGACTCAATCTCGTTGAAGGCCTCGACTGGGCTGTCGGCGACGTTGCGCAGAGATTGTACTACAGCTCGACTGTCGTGCAGCCATTAAGGAAGGAGCCAGCCGATCTCGACCAAATGAGAGTAGAACTTATGAGTCCTTGTTTGCTTGATCATAGAGTCTTGAGCGATGGGAGTTGATGTATAAAGCTACTAATAAATATTGCGAGATTATACTACAGATATGTGAAATGTATGCCCTGATTGTCTAACCGTAGAACCCTATTTCCATTGAAGTACACCAAAAAGAAAAGAAAAAGTACAAAACAAATTCAGCGGGCAGCGAGCGCCGATGAGGTGGATGGATTCTCTCGGTATCAGGCGAAACTATGGAGTTGACGGTTTTGCAGATGCTCCAGTAAAGTCTGCCATTCCAAACCATGAAGGAATTTGTAACCAGACACGTTCACGTGCAGCCTTCACCGATTGCGCGAACTCCGTTCTACATGCTACACATAGCTTCAAGCTACAGAATGTTGTCCCATCCGAAAAGTCCGAGCGATTCATCATCTCAGCCGCTTGAGTGAGCGAGAATAAAGGGTCACAATCGCGTCCACTTGAAAGCCCTCCAACAGCACGAAGGAGATTAAGCATGATAAAATAGAATGACTCCCGACAACTTCGTCCATTATCGCCCGCCGAATCACGGTTATGGCAATCTGATGAAGGCTCACGATTACTTAGCTCTTCTTCAATGAAAGATGCGATGATACGCTGAGCGCGTTCGCGTCCGAGTAATGCTGTTCGGAGATCATCTAGTGAGAGGCGCGTTGTCGTTGCTGTATTCGAAATAGTAGCGCCAGGTCGGGCCTTGATGGGTCCATTGTTGCGATGTTGTACTACTCCAGCAACAATTTTGGACGGTCCGTATCGACAGAGATCGTAGAATGCAGAAGGAAGGAGACTCGAAAGGCCTATCTCGCGAGCGAAATTTATGACAAGAATCGGATGTGCGAATCGTGACCGCGGGCTGTAGCGGCCGAGTGCATCAGTCGCTTCGACTTCTCGCGAATCCCAGGACGCCAGAGTACATGGCCAGTCAATCATTAAGCGACTAATGCAGCGTTCTCGCAGATGCTCAATGAAATATTTTGATGAAAGTCGTAATATAGCAGCCAGTGAACCGAAATCAGACGCGCACAACTGTCGAAAATAACTTGACCCAGTTGAGCTATGTTCGAGATGGAGCAATCATATTTACTTACAGTCCGTCGTATAACGCCTTCAGTAGATACCAGAGGTCTTCCGGCGAGTCATGTAGTTCTACAATATAGCAACCTTCGAAACTTGCCTCGTCTTGCGGCTGAGGAATAGACAATAGGTCACGGAATACATCCGAATGTCGGGCGAGTTGACCACGATGTACTTTGAAAGCGATAGTATCGGCTAGAAGAATAACGCTCCCATCCTCGAACCAGAAATCTTTCTGTCGTGATTCTGGAGAAAGAGAACATGAATCGCTAGAAACTGGTGAACTGCTTCCTGAACTCGAGCCCGACGGGGATGGCAAAGTACTACCAGATCCACTTCGAGAGAAGTCGTCTAGCATTGATAAACCAAGAAAACGCGGCCAGAGCACGAGAGCAAGCAAGCACGAAAGCAAAGGAAAGCAACCTAAGTTGCCGAATCACCGGAGATATATAATGTTTCTGAAGCTGTGTACCAGCCACCATGTCATGCCGAGTTGAAATTGCCAATGGTCTGAGCTGGAATTTCGTATCCATGATATGGCTGGTGAGACCAAGATCGAGGATTCGCTTTACGACATTATATTTTACCGGTCAAATATCAAATATAGGCTGACTAGCTAGCTGGATGTCGTGTGATTTCATATTCAACACCTCCAAGGTTGTTCAGCGACGGTGGTGGATTGAAAGCAAGAGGACTAGATATCCAAATGCGGCGATCAATTGAAAAACATGTGAAAAGACTTGCTCACGTGCCAGAGTCCTCTCCTCCGGAACTTGGTCGGGTCCACTAGTTAGAAGTCGACGTCCACTTCGCCTGGAGTTTCCTCGACAGTAAAGTCTTCTCCTTCGTTGTCTTGCATTTCTGCTATTAGATTATCGTATATTGCTTTTCGGAAATGTTACGCGCTGCTACATGGGCCGCCACTTCAAATCCTCTGAGGTATGCAAGGACTTATACCTTAAGGTGAGATTTCAGCCGGGGATGCCCGCTTTATTTGCTGACATTACGGAAAGGTCCAATGTTGCTCGTAGTTTCTCGTCAACACGAATTAGCCGGTCAGAGGGAGGACTATTGAACTCGCTTGACACTTTCACGGAAGAGGAAGCAATGCTTCAGGAAGCTGGTTAGTTTGTTGACAATAGCTTACTGCAACAACAATTTACGGCATTACAGTGCGCAAGTTCTCCACGGAAGTTATAGCTCCGAAAGTGCGCGAGATGGACGAGAATGAGATGATGGATCCGGAAATTATCAAAGGCCTATATGAGCAAGGCGTGAGTCAGTCTTAATGGACTCCACACATGTAACTTATTCACGCAAGCTTTAGCTTATGGCGATAGAAACACCTCAAGAGTACGGTGGTGCCGAATGTTCATTCACATCCGCTATAATATCCATTGAAGAGCTTGCAAAAGTCGACCCGTCTGTTTCGGTGTTATGCGACGTACATAACACTCTGGTAAACACGATATTCCGCACATATGGCACCAAAGAGCAGAAGGAGAAGTTCTTGCCGATGTTATCAAGCGGAAGTGTAAGTCCCCGTCCAGTATAGACGTTTGCAGTGTAATATCTAAGTGTGGATCAGGTCGGGTCCTTCTGTCTCTCGGAGCCAGCCTCAGGGTCGGACGCGTTCGCTCTACAGACCCGCGCTAAGAAGGAAGGCAACCACTGGATTATCAACGGGTCGAAGATGTGGATAACGAACTCGTACGAAGCGGAGATTTTCTTAATATTCGCCAATGTACGCATTATTTTTCCAACATATCTTCTGCTGCTGCTAATCCATACTGAAATCACCTAGGTTGACCCGAGTAAAGGATACAAAGGTATCACTTGTTTTGCTGCAACGAAGGATATGGGCGTACAGATCGCAAAGAAGGAGCAGAAGCTTGGTATACGCGCATCTTCGACCTGCACCCTTAACTTTGACGATCTCAAGGTGCCAGCGGAGAACGTGATCGGAGGAGTAGGTCAAGGTTACAAGGTGCGTTTGGCAGCACTTCAAGGCCCGAGCCAGAGGCTTATATTCTATCTCAGATTGCGATCGAATGTTTGAACGAAGGTAGAGTTATTTGTTGGGCGCAGAGTCGGTTTCTCGATTTCTAAATACATGTTCTAGGTCGGATAGGCATCGCCGCGCAAATGATCGGCCTCGCTCAAGGCGCCTTCGACAAAGCCGTACCGTATACGTACGAGCGTAAACAGTTCGGGCAACCAGTCGGGACCTTCCAAGGAATGGCGTTCCAGATTGCGCAGGCGGCGACCGACATTACTAGCGCTCGCTTATTGACGTACAATGCTGCGCGACGCAAGGAGGAAGGGAAGAGCTTTACGAAGGAGGCGGCGATGGCGAAGCTGGCGGCAAGTCAGGTTGCGCAGCAGGTAAGCGGGTTGGCGATCGAGTGGGCGGGTGGCGTCGGGTTCACACGTGAGACAGGCATTGAGAAATACTGGAGAGATTCAAAGATTGTGAGTTATACAAGTTTGTCTCCTGTTATCTTTACACTGAACTAATATCTGTATCTAGGGAGCAATCTATGAGGGGACGTCAAACATTCAGTTACAAACAATTGCTAAATTTATTCAGAAGGAGTATTCATAACAATGTATAGTAGTTTTATTAGAAAGTGTTTGTAGTTAATTATAAATACAAATTCTTTCTAACTGTTATGTATTTTGAAACTAGACAATCATGTTTTAAATAATATAGTACAATTACTGACAACTTTCAAAAAAATAAAAGTACATTTTTACAAACTAAGATTGAGTAAAGACATAAAAGTAAAAAAGATTCAGTCATTTTTTCCAATTTTTTAAAAAAAAAGAAAAAAGAGTTTTTATAATAAAAGAAAGTATTTTTCCCTTTTTACATCCTCTTATTCTTTTTAATAATTCTATAATCATCTGTAGAGACTTTCCTCTTTTTGTTCTATAAATTCAATTTTTTAAAGAATTAATAATTTTAATTTTAATATTATTATTATAAAAATGACAACATACTTTAATATTTGCTACAGTGTCACGCGCTGTGTCACAACGGTGACCGTGTTACCATTTGTGACACTGTCACGCATCGTCGTCGTGCAACCTGTCTTCCCCAGCAGCTATGTCACATGTCACATTGTCATCAGTAACGACGTCACGAGTCGCAACGTCACGCGTCACGATCGTCACCAAAGCATAGCACAATAGTCACATGGTCACGTGTGACATAACGTCACAGAGGTGCCAGACAAATAAAATAAAATAAAATGTAAAAGACTTTTAGAAAGATTAGTTATTAATTAATAAAACTTTAGTACTAACACTTTGTTTATTTTTAGTCTGACTCCTTAGAGTCATAGAATGTAACTTTGTCTAAAAGTTAGTTTAGTATTTAAATTTAAAAATAAAAAGGTTTTCTTTACTTTCTAATTAAACAATTAATTAAAATAATTTACAATAATTGAGACAATTAGTTTATACTTACTTTGGAATTTTCTGTTAAGAATGTACTTTTATTAAATGTAGAATTAATTTCTTCTCTATAAAATAAATATTTAAATATTTAAATATAATTTGAAAAATAAAGTAAACATACTTTATAATCCATCCACTTAAACCTAATTTTATAGAATATTTAATAAGTTTTGAGGTAGAAAGAGGTTTAAATAAGTTTTCTTCTTGAGAATGTTTTAATTCAGTATTATTAAAATTTAGAACTGTTTTGAAAAAGTTATTATGTTGAGGTAAAGAAGTCATTATTTGTTAAGTTGTTGAGAAGGATGGTTGCTTAATAAAAGTAAGAGGGAGTTAGTAGAATTATAAGAATGTTGTATCCTACTTAAATAAATTTATTTTAAGCTAGAAGAGACATGAAAAGAAAATTAATTTTAATGAAAAGCTTCTGTTGACTCAGGTTTACATACTTCTCAAGCTAGAAGTAAGGAGACTAGTATTACTAACTTAATAATTAAGCCTATTCAGTTGGAATAATGTTTTTGTAATTTTAATGAATGTTTTAAAGAATATGGAAATACTGAGAAACTGTACAAAGCAATTTGAGGTCACATGATTGTTCCGCCAGCACAAAGGGAAAGTCTTGTGTGCAAGCACTTTTCTTTCGTTACTTATGTCTGTCCTGCTCAAGCGAGCGGGGTTTACTTCTATTTCTCGTCCACTACTCGAAAGTACAATCAGAAGGAGAGGCTATGCATCCCAGCTAAACACTCCGAGCTTCACGAAGCCATCGCCTTTCGGCCAGCCATACTATCTTTCACATCCGAATCTTGGTCGGAAACAGTTCATTTGCCAAAGGAATTCCTGCTAACAGATTGTTCTAGATAGTTAAGAAAAATGAAGTGACCCCCGGTTTCACGTTGGCTGAGTATAGGTCGCGGAGAGCGCGGCTTATGGAGAAGCTGCCGGAATCGAGCATGGTAGTTGCTGTTGCGGCGAACGTACAATACATGAGTGGAGGTGAGAGTTAATGCAGAACTCGCTTTATTTCTTTTGCTGACTTGTACATTTAGAAATTTTGTGAGCTGCCTTCAATATTCTTTCCGGCACTCACTAAGGCTTTGACAAGCTACAAATTTCGTCAGGCATCCAATTTATGGTATCTGACCGGATTCCAGGAGCCTGAGTCCGCAGTGATTCTCGGTACGCGAATCTTCTGTTCCTCTCTTCTTATCTAGGCTAATAGTCATAACGTCGAAGAAAACACTTCGTCAGGATGCAAGATGACGCTCTTTTGTCGAGGAAAGGATCCTGCGAAGGAAAAGTGGGAAGGCTCGCGAACTGACTTCGATATGGTTGCGAAAATCTTCGGCGCAGACGACGTTCTGTCTATTGATGACTTCCCTTCATACCTGAAGTCCATGTCTTCGTGCTACCCTTACGTATACGCCGACAGCGCCAACTCCTCGAAGCGAGGGCGCCAACAGAAGTCTATTCTAAACTATCTATCTTCGCCTAGTGGATCGCGGAACGAGTATGACGGTATAATCAACGCGTTATCAAGTTCGAAGCGTAAGAACTTGGCGGAAGGGCTTGGAAAGATGCGTGCTATCAAGAGCGAAGCAGAGCAGCGCGTCATGAAGGAGGCCGCCCAGATTAGTGGGAGGGCGCATGCCAAGGTGACTACTCTCGTGTATGTAGACGAAGAAATATTGAAGCATCGCGCTGCTAGACTATGCGCTTCACTAAACCTGGAATGTCAGAGGCTGCTCTTGCAGCGCATTTTGAGTATATTTGTGCGCTAAACGGCGCGCAGCGACCTGCGTACGTACCCGTAGTCGCATCCGGGTAAGTACTGTAGTTTTTGTTTTTCGCAATGATAAATTGACGATTGCGAGCAGAGCAAACGCGTTGATCATTCATTACACCGCAAATGACCAAATTGTTCGCGATGGCGAGATGGTCCTCATAGACGCTGGTGGTGAATACAAGTACGCCTCCTCGCTTTCAGAACTAAGTACATTCTGCATACTAACAGTGTTCTTAGTGGTTATGCATCCGACATTAGTTCGCCTTTTTCACTTTCGTTTTGGAAGCTACGTCTGAATACTGTTTAGCGCGAACGTATCCTGCGAACGGAAGCTTCACCGAACCGCAGCGCGACCTGTACGCCGCAGTCCTCTCTGCACAGAAGGCTCTAGTTTTGCAGTGTACCGAAGCCGCAGACGTTAGCCTCGACGCATTACATCGACTATCGTGTACACTCCTTCGGACTGAGCTCAACCAAATTGGGTTCCGCTTATCCGTGGGTGACCTCGAGCGTGTGTTATATCCTCATTATTTGAGTCACCCCATTGGCATCGGTGCGTTTAATGTGTTCCGTCGTTGTGTACCGTGACAGTCTTACAGTGTAACAAATAATACATAGATTTACATGAATCGAAATATTTTGACCGTAACGCTCCGTGAGGTCCTAGTTTTCGTCACCTGTGGCACTGTGAGATTAACGAATTGACGATTAGCCTTGTATCCGGGATGGTTGTGACTATTGAGCCAGGTCAGTCTATCTCATCATCTCTACACATTTTCTTCTCTACAGAGTTCATAACGCCTATTGTCCGTGTTTCTGCCTACAATTTCATCAGGAATATATGTCCCGCCTTCTCCGCTCTTCCCTAAACACTTCCATGACATCGGGATTCGAATAGAGGTCGGTCTTTTGTTTTGGTCTAGTCCAGAAGATGGCCAAAGGGCTGACTGATTGTGCAGGACGAAGTACTCGTGGGGAAAGAACATCCAGTAGTTCTAAGTGTTGCGGCCCCGAAGGAGGTACGTACGACCTCTCCGTCTATTTCGTCCGTTCATCATTGTGGATACTTATTCAATCTCTCTTACTCATATTCTATCGCATTGCATCGCGTCCCATACCGACTCAATGTTCGATTTCGCATGGGACTTCTAATTTATAAATGACTCACGCTGACCCGTAAATTGGGATTCTTGATGTGAATATCAGATTGTCGATGTAGAAGGAGCTTGTCAGGGGTTAATCGGTCTAGAGCCTTATTGATATAGACTTTCACTTTTGACACTTGGAGTTTCGTTACTTCCGAGCCAGAACAACGTATATTTCATCTAATAGCACCGTATTTTACCCATATCAAGTGCGTGCAGATGAATCAAGAAGAAAAATATAGTAAAAGGGAATAAACACTGTTTCGGTATTTGAAATTCGTAAACTCCGGACTCCGGACTTTGGTCAATGCGCAACTCGGCTGGCACTGAACTTCCCGCATACGCCTATTAACGCCTTCTCTTCATTTAGGGCCTTCTGGTCAAAGGTCTTCTGGACCCTAGTCAGCAATTTGATCGCTATCACCGTCTGCGGTGTGCAGCGCCTGGAGTATCTTCTCGCGTGGAAGCCACTTGTCTTCTGGTGTGAGGATGTAGCTCAGAATCCCGAAGATTGTAGCAGCGCCGAAGATCACGCAAGCCTAATAGAAAAAAGACCTCAATAAGACACTTCACGAGAAGTGCTGCGAAGAGGGAACAAAGAAACGTACGAAATTGAACGTCTGGGCGTCAACTGGGAAGAAGAACGGCGAAATCATGACTGAGAAAACGAGTGCGTTGAATAGCGCTGTGGCGAGGTAGAAGGGTTTCCTGAAGCGACCGAGGTAGTAGTAAGACGCTTTGAAGTGGTTTGACGTCATTGTGAGACGGAGAAGACCGATTAGACCGTATGCTGCGATCGTGGGGATGCCACCGGCGGAGACGAGAGATGTGAATGCGACTTGGCTGGGGAGGATCGTGCATAGGAGGGCAGCGCCGAAGACGAACATGACTGTGACTGCGTTGCGAGGTTGCCCTTCGGAAGTAACTTGACTGATCCAGCCTGAGAAGGGGAGAACACCGTCTCGTGCTACGGCGAAGATGAGACGAGATGCAGCAACGACTGCAATGCTTGTATTCTGATTAAACGGCATAGTCTGAGCAGCGTTGGCAGTGCTAAAATATTGAGACAAACCATGATGAGACCAATCGCCGCAATGACTGTCATAACCACAGCGCCTCCCTTGCCGAGAGCCATAGCATAAATCTGTACGAATGGCTGCGGAGCTTCCAAGGCAAACAATGTATCCAGGTCTGGCGTGCAAAACAGGAATAAAATCACTGTGATGAAGCCGCAAATTCCAGTTGCCACTGCGCTGCTGAAAATACCACGAGCTGCAACAACTCTGCGAATCAAGTCAGAAAATATAATACTCAGATAACACTTCGGAGACGTACTTGGCATTCTTTGTCTCTTCCGCAATATGGCCAGACGCGTCAAAACCCGTCAGTGTTCCAGCAGTAAATAAACTGGAGAAAGCTTAGATTTGGTCTATCATAAGATATTCTGCACTCACAATGACAAGATCCAATTCCATCCTGCAGGAGCACCAGTTCCGTTATCTAAATAAAAATCCTAAGTGAGCGACAAGAAAAGATTGGGGAATTCATTCAAAGCATACAGGTTGTCGTGAAAGCTTCTTTCGCGGTCCGGAAACCATATGTATTCGAGACTCCAATGGGTAACCAGATGAGGCAGAGGAAGAAATCTAACATCATAATACCGACGGAAATCTTGAAGACGGCGGAGTACAATCTCGGCGGCAAATAATTGATTGCGATAGAAAGAACCAATAGCACCTCAGAGAGAGCCCAAATGAATGCGCGCCATTTAATGTTGTCATTGAAGGTCCCGCCGGGGAAATCTACTTCGTATACCGCGAACAAGGAAACTATGTAGTTGGCTGTTGTCTGTACGTACAATACCTCATTATTTAGCGAGTTAGTGCAATGTGGATTGAAATCATGTACCTGACAATTTCCGGCGGAGAACGTCATCCATGCCGTACAAGACCACCAGGCTACGATGAAGCCGAAGAACCGTGCATACTTCGGACCAGCGCTCTCAGCAGCCCAGATGTAGATAGAACCGCTAAGGGGCAAGGCAGAGCAGATCTCCGCTAGGACGGCCGCAGTGATCCACATGAAGACAATCGTGATGATATAGGAAGACCTGACATATCTTAAAAAGCCTTCTTGTGCCGTACCTTGATAGCAACACATACCAAATAGCGGCAGGACCACCAGCAAGCAAACCCAAGAAGAAGGCAGAACTACATATTTAATAAGTAGTGCGCATATAGTCAGGTTGGAAATTTCGCGCATACCGGACACCACCAATAAAATTCAACGCGCAGAAACTTGCGGCGAAGCTCTCGATTTGATGCCATGTACGATGCAATTGCTAGAAATCAATCAATCAAAGTAAAAATAAATTGATAGGGGATAACTGACCTGCTTGTAACCGAGTTTTTGCTAATTTTATAGGGAAGAAAAGTACAGTCAGTAATGCTAGAAGTGCCCCCTAAAGAGGGGGTTAGTAAGTCGACGACACTGGGGGCTTCCCTACGCAGGTCTGAGCACTGATCAGGTTCTAGCGGTATAATCTCAACCCAGTGCAAGGAACTGCTGTGCTCACAAAGCCAGATGTGCTACATACATCCAGCAGGGGAAAACAAGAAGCAGTGCCATTACAACCGGATACCCGCAGCCATAAAGCCAGTGTAGCCACTAAAAATCGGACGTTACCAGTTCGATTTAACAGCCTTCAGTAAACCCATCCCTGCATGAAGTCCGCCCGGCAGAGTCCGTCCCAGTCATGTTCTTTACCAATTGCAGCTCGTCAGAGTCGATTGACGACGCATTTTCAGCGTCTGACTTCGAAATTTGAGAACGAGTGTCCGACATCGTTGAAAGATGATGGAGGCAAGAGATAGTCAGAACGACAGATAAAGCTTGGAGTCAAATTTCCAAAAACCGTGCGAAATTTTATTTGTATTCGGTCAGGCACAGTTTATTTCGGATTACCATTCCGAATTGCCGTGAACAAAGCTCAACTGCAAACTTGCATGACTTCAGACTAACGGTGTAGAGCGGACGTGCTGACTCAAAATTACCATAGCGTACCAAGTTCACACATAGAGTCGTGCCGGAGACCTTCGTCATGGCATGCCGATTTTATCAAAGACGCCGACAATGATTGCGTCTGTGAAATTATAAATAGAGACTGAACGGTGCAATAGCACCCACAGTCTGCAGCTCCTTCACCTCACGTCTATAATCACAGTTCAAGATGACTACCAAGCAGAAGAGTGCGTTGAACATTGTCATGGTCAGTTCTCATGCTCTATTTTGCTTAGCTAGATGCTGATTTAATTTCTTTGTGAAGGGGGCCATGACTTTTGGCGAGGCTGGGAAAGAGCAGGCCCGGGTACACGATCTAAAAGACGTCGAGGCAATATTAGACGTCTTCCAAAAGCATGGCCACTATGAGGTTATTTCCGCTATGTAGCATTTAGAGAAATTTGTAAGCTCAACATTTATTGTCCACTTAGGTTGATACTGCTCGATTTTATGGTGGCGGAACAAGTGAGGAATACCTTGGCAAGATCAATTGGCAGAATCGTGGACTCGTAATGGATACAAAACTTTACCCAACAACGGTGCGTGTCATTGAAGATAATCCGTTGGCCTCCTCTATATAAACTCGCATTGTTAGTCGTATACGGGTCCTCCGCGAGACGACATGGTACTTATTTCGCACAGACCTGAGGTAAGGATGAGGTATTTGACAAAGTGTTAAACCTTTGACTGACTAGGACGTTATTAATTGCAGGATCTACGGAAGTATCTCCAAATCCAGCTCAAGGCACTGAATACAGAGTAACTTCCTTATACCCCTTCAACTACGAGTCCATTTCATTGACGATGGTTGTCTATTGTAGCAAGATTGACATGTGGTATCTGCATGCACCGGACAGAACGACTCCTTATGACGTGACCTTGAAGGCTGTAGATGAGCTGTACAGAGAAGGGTGAACCTTCAAGCACAACCTCCGCAACGATTTATTGACTGTAGATGAATATAGGCATTTTAAACGCTTTGGGATCAGTAATTATACCTCGTGAGTTATTTTCTTCGCTGTGAGGAGCTAATTTGATAAAGGGTTGCGATTAGCTGGGAAGTCGCCGAAATTGTGACTATATGCAGAGAAAGGGGATATATTCAGCCGACCGCCTACCAAGGCTTATACAATGCAATCCATCGGTCAGTATTTTCCTAAGATAATGGTTGTGTTCAATCTGACATCACGTTTATTATTGTAGTGGTGCAGAGCCCGAATTGTTTCCTTGTCTGAGAAAGTTTGGTATAAGCTTCTATGAGTTCAACCCTCGTGAGTCCGGATCTATATTCACAGGTCCTAACAAATGCTGAAACACTCCATTGAATAAGTTGGCGGAGGATTCTTCACGGGACGTTACATGAAGCCCGATGATGCAGTTGAAGACGGAGCACGGTTTGATCCCAGCAAGATGCAAGGACAGGGATACAGGAAAAGGTACTCATACAACAAAACTTCCCTCTTTCAACTTCGAATTGGACTGAAATATGTTGTCGAAGGTACTGGAATGAACCACACTTCAAGGCACTTGAAATCATCAAGAACGCGTCTGATAAAGCAGGGTTGACGATGGCCGAAGTCGCGCTTCGCTGGGTATCACATCATAGTCTCATGAAGAGGGAGCATGGAGATGCGATCTTGATTGGGGCTTCGAGTCTTAAGCATATTGAGCAGGTACGTAAAAACTTTTCAATCCAAGTCAAGCTCATTCATGTCAATATACGTTCTGCGCTTCTAGAATCTTATTGACCTTGAGAAGGGGCCTCTTCGTAAGTTTATGTACTCTGGGTTGCGCGAGAACTTTCATCAAGTGATTCGTCTTTTGTAGCCAATGAGGTGGTCAAGGCGCTTGACGAAGCGTGGATGCTTGTCAAACCATATGCTTCAAATTACTTCCACTAATCAGTATTTTCTGTCTTGCCGCAATGAAGAAAGGAAGAAAGTATAGGATAGTAGACAAATATGAGAATTATGAGCATATTTGCTCAATTTATGTATTCTTTAAGTCATTTGTATGACTAACGAAACGAATACATTGGTACGGAATAATCATGGACTTATCAATTTAGAAGCCTTGTGAGAGATGCCTTTCAGACATTGGCTTGTTCTGTAAGTTTCTCCAGCATTCTGTCCGCGGAATACGGAGCCCTCAGACAACCGATAATTTTCGGCTTAGGAAACAGCCACAAATCCAAGTGCGAATGCGAGGTATGCAAAGAGTGAATTGATACAGAGTGCAAAGCATTGTACATTGCAGTAAGACAACAACAAACAGATGGTAGACAGGCAGGCAGATTGAAACCTTGATACACGGCGTGCACAGGATGTGGGAATTCCGATCCTTTATGGTATACCAAGTCTCTGCAAAGGCAGAAGTGAATCAGATGTAATTCTCTCAAGTGTACTAGTACTGGGAATAGACGACTTACTGGCTTCAAACCTTTGATAAGGAGCCATTCTTCAGTCGTAACGTCAGTTTTGAATGTTGACTGTACAAGGACGTCAGTAACCAGCTCAGCAAAGCGAGAACAGACGAGTGAAAACAGAATGAAGGTTCGATGTACCTTAAGAACGTCTATGCTTGCACGGGTAATGTGACTAATGATTTCGTCCTTCTCGTCAAAGTGTCGACCGAACATTTTGGCGGATTGGTATACTGCGTGCTCGATCTTCACTGCGACACCTCCACCAGCCTGCGACTTCTTGACGACCTATCGCCTCTCGTTAGTAATGAGTCTGAATAAAGTAGGAGAGTAATGCTTACATCCATGGCCTTGTGGTTAATCTCCAAGGAAGTACTGAAAGAAGAATTACGAAAAAGTTAGTTTCTATCGTCCCAGATGAAAGTGAAGATGGTACAGACATCTTTCCCAGGTCTATTATTTCTTTCTTCTGAGTTTCCGGATCTAATTTAACGACACATAACGGTGTCCCAACCCTTAGCGAACCGTCTAGAATGTCGACACCAAGAATGATTGGATCACGCTTGGCGAAGCACGCAATAGTCTTCAGCCTGCATGGCCAAACAGCTTGAGGAGCTGCGTCTCGGCGTTTCGCTTCCGTGATCTCCGCGTTGTAAGCAGTGAATGCATCGAAGAGGTGATAGATGATATCCGCTGTTAACTAGATTAGACTCGACAGTATAAATGAGAAAGTGGGATCAGTGTACCTTTGAATAACTTGATGCCAAGTTCCTCAGCTAACCTATCCGCATCCTTGTCGACAGGTACATCAAAGCAAAGGATACAAGCCAGTTCTTTCGCTTTCTCAAGAACCGTCGCACATCGCATCACGTCCCTCTTGTGTACCGGACCGATGTTGATTCCGGATACTGGAATCTTGCTAACCTTGAGGAAGTCCAACAGTGCCTCAAGCGAACCGAGGGTACTCGCTTGAACACAAACGCCCCTTCCAGATTTATCAACGGAGTTGAGAAGCGTGGTGAGGTCGCCCATGACTTCCTCTTTGAGATCTTCCTCGTCATCATCCGGGCCGACAACTAGTAAACGAGAACCAGCAACAGCTCCGTCCAGATCAGGAGCTGCGATCTTGACACCAAGTGCTGCCTTGACCTCTTTATGATGTACGTATTGTGACTATAGGTGCGAGTTAGGTTTGCATGTCAACGCGGAAGAACAGTAGGTTTACCTTGATCCGCAGTTCGCGTAGTGGTTGTGGCGTTAGCAGAGCTCGTATTTGTGTTACGATAGGACCATTAAGACCACAAACAACTATCTTATCCCCTTCATGTAAAATACCATTTGACAAGACAACATCAATCGTCGTTCCCAGCCCCTCGATGACCTTGACTTCGAGAACGGTACACTCCAGCTCCGACAGGTACATTAACCGGTCACTCATGCGCTGTTGCGTCAGATTAACGAGCAGCATAATCATATCGGGGACGCCCTCTCCTGTAACAGCAGAAGTAGGGACTAGTGACACGTTCCGTGCGAAGTTCTTGTTTTCGTAGTATAACACGGAGTTAAGACCCTGTTCAGCGAAGGCCAGGATCGTCTTTTGCACGCGATCAGCGAATTCTCGTTGAACCGCAGGCTTCTGCTTCGCTAATGAGTCACGGAAGGCATTGTCTGGTGTCGCTTGCCAACCATACAGTCGGTCAATCTATCCATAAATCCACAATCAGCTGGATTCAATCGTTCCTAAGCAAATCTGGATCATACCTTATTCAAAGCCACAATGAAAGGAGTCTTTCTATCCCTTAGTAATCGCAGAGATTCCAGAGTTTGTTGTTCAAGACCGTGCTATCGATAAAATAAGTACCGAAGTTCTGCTTAAAACGTGGCACGGCGCACCATGATATCGACAACCAGAATAGCGATGTTACACAACGAGCTGCCACGGGAACGCAAATTCGTGAAAGATTCGTGTCCGGGAGTATCGATAACGAGTAAACCGGGGATTTTGTATTCTTGGCTTCCATCCTGGAGAGTACCATAATTAGTGAGTTTCTCCATGAATGCCGTGCAAAAGTGATGGGCATACCTTGTTAATGACAGTTGTCTTCGTCTTAATGGCATCGACAGGGAAATAGGTAGCACCAATCTGCTGAGTGATACCACCTGCTTCGCCTTCTTGTACATTGGTTTGACGGATCTGAGGAAAAGTTAGAGACTTCACGTTTCACAGAGTTTATAATGCCATACCTTGTCGAGCAATTTGGTCTTGCCGGTATCGACATGACCAAGAATACAACAGATGGGACTTCGCAGATTGTCCTTGCTCTGTGCCGCTAAGGCCGCTTCATGCGCCTTGGCTTTTCTCTCGACGGCTTCGGCCTTCTTCTGCATGGCAAGACGCTGAGTTCTCGTCATGCCTTCCTCCTCGCTAGACTCATCTTCAGAATCTTCGCTAGAATCTTCCTCCGAGGATTCTTCCTCAGATTCGGATTCTGATTCCTCTGGCGACTTTTGCGGTGCAGGCTTCTGTGCTGAAGCCGAGGGCATGGTCGTCTTTGCTGATGCAACATTTTTGGGAGTAGGTTCTTTAGAGGGAGGAGCACTACCGTTCGCTGAAAGTGATTCAGTATAGAGAAAAGTATAATAAGAAGGAAATCATTCACCTTTAGCTGCAGGCTTCGCGGTTGTTTTTGACGGTTTGGTTTTCTCTTCATCCGAACTGCTAGCGTCCCAATCACTCTTGACATCATCGGCGGCAGCATCAGGAGTTTCCGGCTTCTCTTGTTCACTCTCTGCATCCCAATCGTCCTTTGCATCGACTGTCGGCGACGCAGCGGCTGAAGCGGGTTCAGGAGCTGGAAGCTCCTCAGTTGTAACTGCGGGAGACTGAACTTCTGGCGTAAGAGCTTGAGTTGACGACTTATCATCATCGTCCTTCTTCGCGGTCGGTTTCTTCTTCTTGTTCCCGTATACAACTTTCTTGAGCCTGTCTGTTTCGCCACCTTGAAGACCTTCGACTTGTACACCCGATGCGAGGAGAGCTTGTTTACGCAGCTCGGCTCGTCGTTGCTCCTCCTTTTGTTTTGGTGTGAGGTATCGGCCCTCCTTCTTCGCAAGCTCCCTCTTTTCCTATGAAACAGTAAGTATTGAATGGACGAATATCTGATGCATGAACTATCCACCTTTTCTCGGGCCTTCTTCCTCAACTTCTCCTCTTCTTTCCGCCTTTCCTCTTCCTCCCGTCTTTTCTCTTCCTCCTCTATTCTCCTCCTTTCTTCCTCTTCTATCCTCTTGGCTTCTTCTTCCAGGCGTTTCATCTCCTCCATCCTTGCTTTCAACGCACCGAGCCCTCCAGTCTTCTTCTTTGGAGCTGCCGCTGCCAGTTCATCGTCCTTCTTCGCCTTCTTTTTCTTCTTCTTTTTCTTGTCGGATTTGCCACCAGCAGCTTCGGCTTCGCTTTCCTCATCGTCCTCCGCCCTTGCGGGTGCTGCAGCTTCGGCTGATTCGGGTTGCTTCTCCTCTACCTTCGCCTCCTCGACTGGAGGCGGCTGTTCTTCTTTCTTTGCGGCGCCCGCCTTTTTCTTCTTTTTCTTCTTCTTGTCTTGTTTGCCTCCCGCAGCGGCAGCGCCGTCGCTTTCCTCGTCATCATCAGCTTTAGCAGGTGGTGCAGCGCCGTTCTCCTCAGGTTCCTTGACCTCCACTGGCGCTGGCTCGATGTCCTTCTGGGGACCACCCTTCTTCTTCTTGTTTTTCTTCTTTTTGCCATAGTCATCGTCGAATTCATCCTCCACCATCGCTACTGCAACTTCGGCCGACTTGGCCTCAACTACATTGTCTTCCGCAGGTTCTCCGCTGTTGACGTCGTTGACCTCTTCGACCTCCTCGACCTCCTCGACCTCCTCGACCTCCTCGACCTCCTCGACCTCCTCGACCTCCTCGACCTCCTCGACCTCCTCGACCTCCTCGACCTCCTCGACCTCGTCGTCAGCTACTTTATTCTTCTTGTCTTTCTTCTTGTCCTTCTTCGCCATATCTAGAGAAGCCGCGAGAGTGTGTTGAAAAGGAGAAGAGGAATAGCGATGGACGACAGATGGCAAAGTATTACTGAGCGCATACAATTTGGTATTAGTCTTAGGATCACGTGATGTGGCCTTCTCCGGTATATCAGGTCCGTATGGCTGCTGCTTGGTCTTGTTCTGCTCTTGACTTCTTACTACTTCGTACTTATACTTATACCACCGAATGGACTCTGACACGCATTTTGACGTCGCTATCCTTGGGACAGGTCTCACGGAATCACTCACCGCAGCGTACGTGTGATACTAGTGACTTTAATATAATCTTCTATTTCAGCTGACCTCCGGATGTACAGTGCACTCGCCAAAGCCGGTCTGAAAGTGGCGCATGTTGACAGTAATGAATATTACGGTGCAGATGAAGCATGTCTGAGCTGTAACGAGCTTAAGCAATGCATGGCTTCCGCGAGTACTATTGAACAGCCTCGGAATACGAGTTACTCGTCGGCGTCACTTCGTGGCGAGCTCCCTTCTCCCTCGAGAGATTACTCTATATCGCTATCACCTTCAATAATCCCCTCACTTGGACCCCTCATCTCTGCATTAATACAATCTGGAGTGGCGAGATACGGTGGTTTCAAGCTCCTTGAGTCGATATCTATGTATTCAGGAGGCGAATTTAAGAGCGTACCAGGAAGCAAAGAAGAGATATTCAAGTCTAAGGAACTATCTCTTATGGACAAACGACGTCTCATGCGCTTCCTTACGTTCGCTAGTGGAGACTTTGAAGGCTCTCCGGAATTACAGGGAAAGGAATCTATGCCGTTCTTCACATTTCTGGAGGAAGTATTCTCTCTGGGCAAGCAGCTCGCCTCATCGTTGACATATGCGCTTGCACTTTGCAAGACCGCATCTGGTATGCCATAAGTGACTAGCTCTTCGGTGGCTGTAGCTGAATAATCGGTTTCTAGATCCTACACTTCCTGCATTGCAACGAATAAAACAATATCTCCGGTCTGCTGGTCGATATGGTCCTTCTCCATTCTTGGTGGGACAATACGGAGGTCTTGGGGAGTTGGCCCAAGGATTCTGCAGGTACATGGCCTCTGATACCACTCGTAACTTTCTCGTTTGCTGACATGAGTGAACAGAGTTTGTGCCGTTTCTGGTGGAACGTACATCCTCGGACGAGAAATTTCCGTAGAGACCAAGCAGGGCTCGTCGTCAGAACCCGACGGAACGAAGAATTTCAAGCTTAGGCTATCTGAAATACCAGACGAGCTCACTGCAGACGTGATTATCTCCTCAGCACAGTTCCTACCTAAGCTCGGGATAGACAGTGAAGCCGGGAAAGGAGATGTACGGACTGTAGAGAGGCATGCATATTGCATAGCACTCGTCCACGGTTCGATAGCTAGGCCTCCTACGGCGCAGTCTACCTCATCGACAGACGAGAACACAGAAGAGCCTGTTGAGACAAAAGCGGAGGGTACAGATGATAAAGACCAAACTCGACCTGTTGATGCCGCTTTGTTGGTCTTCCTCCCAGGAGAGTTACCATCTGGTAAAGCATCAAACCCGGTGAACGTCTTGGTCAACGGAGAGGGGACGTTATCTTGTCCTCGTGGGAAGAGTATGTTTTCTCGTTTCTCGTTAGGGAATTATACTAATCATTTTTTAATAGCTATTCTATATGTCTCAACGCAGCTTCCTATTTCTTCTTCGACAAACTCAGAAGGAGAAGATTCTCCAGATCCCGAATCACTCTTATGTCCATACCTAGACGCCGTACTCTCTCACTTCCACACTCTCTCGGGTTCACAGCTCAAAGAACTATCCAGCGCGTTCTACGTCAAGTCCACTCCCTCCATCCCACCAAGTCTCCCTGCATCCTTAAAAGAACGGAAGATCGTTCTAGCTCCTCCACTACCTGATCATTTTGCAGAAGCAGGTGATGTAGCCGCTGTGAATAGCGAAGCCATTTTCCGAGACGTTTTGAAGTGTCTAGGGAGGGAGGATGCTGAGAGTGTGGATGTTTGGCCGGCTTTGGAGAGAGATGACGAGGATGAGGATATGATGTAACTTATTTGCATGTTTACACGATTTTATATTGATTTATTGTCACTTCTTTTCTCTTTCTTCCTTTCGTTTTTGTGTGATGTAGACTGTAGTGTAGTGTACTCTAAGTAAGCACGAGGGAGGAAGAATTGTTATTGATGTTGTATAACATAGTAACGTAGAGACAACACAATCTGTGTACTTCACATCACATCATATCACGTCACATCACAATCGTATCAGGAAAAAAGGAAAGACCTAGCCAAGGCGAGAGGAACTAAAGGAGGAAAGGATAAGAGTGAAGAGAGATGAGAGATGAAATGCGAGTGCATACTTAATACTAAGTCGATTGGACGTAAAATTCATTAAGGAGACACAAAGGGACAGGAAGGGAAAAGGGATAAAAAGCTAAAGTGGGTAACCTACTCAAACTACTCACAAAAACAAACTTATCTACAGGCATACTACCACACCATCACGTCCTATCCCATCTACTCTGGCCTGCTCTCACCATACCAAATCACATTAACATTATCACATACTGTATCTACGCAGTCGCCTCAACCTTCTTCTCCCCCTGCTGACTCTGACTCTGCGCCTGCTGTTGCGCCTGCTGTCTATCAGCCTGAACCTGCTGCCTCGTCAACCCAGCAGCAGCGAAACCCCTCGCAGCGAACCCACTCCCTCCGCGTCCCCTCCCTCTTCCACCGCGGAAACCACTGCCAGATGAACCGTCGCCACTTCCTCGTTGATGTTGATGTTGGTGTGCGGTGTCACGGTCGTCGGCTTGGACGACTGTGTGGACTGTTGAGTCTGAGGAGTCGTCGGATTTTAGTTTCTATCGTATTGAAAGTTGTAGAAGGAGATGAGTATGTTAGTGAGTTTTGATTTTTAAATATTTTGTTGGAGGAAAGGAGCGGAGATGGGAAGATGTAGCGTACCTCCGCGTGGTTTGCCAAACCAGCTTTCATCCCTGCCTCTGTATGGAAATCGACGAATGCCGTTCGGGTGGGCTTTCCGTAGTTTTGTGGGAAGTGGACTTTCTTGATCTATTAAAAAGAAAAAAGAAACCAAACCGTCCATCAACTTCGTGCAAGAAAAAAAAACGAAATTCTCGTAAGGGGAATTAAATACCTGAGGCTCTTCCTTCTTATCATAAAAGTACCCCCTAATCTGCTCCTCAGTATGATGCCCATCATATCTCATAAAAAGCGTCCACGGATGACGTTTTCTCGGTGTCTGAGTTCCAGGGCTATCAGCTCCGGAAGTAGGTGACATCGGGAGTGCGATGCTATCTGGTGGTCCACCGCCTGCTACAGGTGTAGCTTTACCTGATTGCGGAGCAGCGGATTGCGGCCTACTAGTAGTGTTATCGGGTGCACCGTCTTCACCGTCTTTGTTGGTCCCGTCTTTCTTGCTAAAGCTTTTTTTGTCTTTCCGAACCCATTTTTGTTTGTCGCTCTCGGCTTTGTCAGGAGTGTCGGTACCTGCGGGTGTCTTGTTTCCCCATGAGCTTTTTGGGGTTTCTTTACCTGAGGTTGCTGTTGATCCTTGTTGTTGTTGGTTTTGGTTTATTTGAGGGGGTGGGGTCGGTGCGGCGGATGGTCCGTTTGATCTCGCTGCTGCTGCTTGTGTTGGAGCGACGACTTGGGGTTTCTGACTCTGAGGCGCTGGTGTACCGGTTGAAGATGGTGCTATATTGTTTGGTAGAGTGGATGTACCGGAGTTGGGAGTTGCGTTTGTGTTCACGCTTCGGCGGTATGCGTAGTTGAATCCTATGGTATATATTAGTACAACGATACTAGTGAACCGCAGGAAAACAAACCTTGGCTCTTGATCTCAGCGCTTACTCGTCCTTCCTTGATGTCAAGTACCAATGATCCATACGCAGCATCACACAGATTCCAATTCCAGCAATTCTTCCACGCTGGTTCATCACCCGTTGCTGTGCCACCAGGACCAATATGCGGTTGCACAGCAGGCACCCTCTCAATAACACTAAGCGCCTTCTCTAAGAGTATACGCTGATTCTCATCAACGACAGCTTCTACTTGCGGCTTGACACTTTCCCAAATTTTGCTGAAGCTTTCTTTGCCATTAATAATTTTGTGGCGGAACCCTTCAAAGTCACCCTGGACGCTAAACTCGTTCCATGAGCTTGTGTAGCGGAAGTGAAGGCCTGCGGAGATGGTAAGATCCGCTTTTAGGACGAGAGAGAGCTGCGCGATGATCCCTTCACGTCCTGGGCTTGCGTGTGTGACGAGAAGACGAGTCTCAGAGGGGTCGTAAACACGTTGCGCAGTGTCGACGAGTTCACCGATTTGTAGAGCTGTAGTCCACATTGTTCCTTGTCCGCCAGCGATGGTAGCGTTACCGTCGCCGTTGTCGAACATCTTGTGAGGGACAAAGGCGCCTCCGAGTCCGAGAATTCGGAGCTTGACGCCGCCGATGTCCAAGCAGCGTGTTGTTGCTTCGTCAAGAACGTGTAGGTTTTCGATGTCGTATGTGCCTTGACGGAATTTCTCGAGTATCCTTACGTCTTCGCATGCTCCCCAGACGGTAAACACTGGCACGCTGAGTTTAATCTGGCCGGAGAGGAGCAAGGGGAATTCGGACAGAAGGGAAATCGTCATTGCTGCGCGAATTGCTTGCGGTGGCGTGTCTGGTGCGAGAAGCGAACTACGCTGAGCATTTGGGATTAATGGAGAGTATTGAGTGAGGTGCTTTAAAGTGCGGTCGTTGATGTTTTCCAAACTTGAAGATTCTTGATACAATTTGCTTGTTACAATATGAAGTCAACAAAGAAGGTGAGTGGGACAGACCGAAGAACCCAAAGTCTCCCGTGTGAATAATAGCCTTTGCATTTACTTCTCTGGCCATGTCATTGAGGCTTGACAGACGGCCGCGAACATCGGCTATGCAGAGTATTCGACCAGCAACGGTGTCAATAACTTTTGTCTGCGTGTTAATGCCTGCATGGGAGGGCATTGGCGATGCGCCAGGCCTGGTTGACGACGACAGGGAATGAGACTGCATTTTTGCCGCTGCGCTTAGACTCTCAATGTAGAACGGTGGCGACGATGAAAGGGCAGAGTCGAGTCGAGGAAAGGGCGGGCAAGGGTCTCAAGCGGACGCGTCTCTTTCCTGCCCTGGTGAGTGAAAAAGCCAGCTGCCTGATTTGGCAAGGAGCGGATCGGCGCAACGGACGCACTGCATAGCATCTTTGACTTCGCTCTCTCTCTCCGCTTCCCGAGGAGGCCACGACTACCACCGCGCATGCTTGCGCCCAGCTACCCTTTCCACGTCGACATCCTCGACGTCCTCGAGCGCCCATCTCTCATCTAGCACCTCCAACTTTTGCTGCTTTCTTATGACTAACAGGGCGGCGCCCAAGCGACCTGGCCTGACTTCCCCTCCGGTCTCCACGACTTCTTCCACTCAACCCCCCTCATCCGTGCAACAGCTTACTCCGGACTCTAAGCTCTCGGCTTCCTGCATCTCGCTTTCACCTGGGTTCAGTGTTCACTTTGCTGTATTCTCTGCTCAGAATGCTGCTCAGAGCCATTTAGACGTTGACCTTGCTAGGCGTAAGGTTCATGAGAGCAATTCGGGAAGGCCGATTTACAATTGCCTTCTGACTCATCCACATCTCGCAAAGGATGAAGCTACACTTTGGGTATTCACCATAGATCAAGGTATACCGGAATCCGATGGAATATACGCGTCTCCTCAGCTCCGTGACCTCGAACTACCCGGATTAGCTAGTCAGTTGTCGAGTTCAATATGTTTCAATTTATATTACTCATATCGCTCAATTTTCTCAAATTTAGGGAACACGAATGGTAGTTTAACATATGCTGAACTCTATCCATGCAGTACCACCTGCTCATCGCAACGAATACCTTGTCCGAACTGCTTACGAATTAGCGCGGGCTCTGAAATCACCGCCCACGCTCAAACCTCACCCGGTTCCATAAACCCCGAACCCGAAGAAACTACCCCGGCCATATCACCAACTTCGTCCCATGGAAGGACGTTTGATAACCCCTCAGTTACCTGTCATCTTCCTCGAAAACCTCTCCGCCAAGCGCTTGCTTTCTTCCTAAGTGCCGTGCAAGAACGAGTAATCAGTGACATTTGTGAGGATGCTCAACTTTCTGGTAAGGTTGCCAGAAGACTCCAAACTGGTATTCTTTGGGGACTCCCAAGCTTGTCGAGTAATTGGGGAGGCGGTTGGGAACAGCATGCAAAAACTCGGTAAGTTTAACATTCGTTAATCATGACACATCTAATATTATTCTTCTACAGCCCGCTTACCTTCACTCACATTGATGTCACACTGTTTCCTTCGGGTCTATTCATTCGACCTCAAGCTCAGCTAACCAATTTCCTACCCTTTCTACCGTCATTGCCGCTTCCTCCTGGTACACCGATTAACTTGCTACCATTTTCAACTCCGGCATATTACCTCAATATGTACTCTGGTTCTACTTCCGCTCTGACTAGGCACTTCCAAGCCAATCTTGTCGGTTTGGGTGCAGGGGATGTATTACCATCCAGAGGCACTGATCAGACGACTTCGAGTTCTGAGAACACTACTCAGTTTGTTATTGCGTGGATTAGCGTCCAGAACAAACAAGGGGAGGAGAAGGGCATGATGGTTATTTGGCCAGCGCCTCTGTGCATTTCCCTGATGTCCATGTCCACATCGGATACACCAGATGAACAGGATGGTAAACGATTATTCGCTTATAACCGTAAACCACTGGCGTACATACCGGAATTACCACTCGCTCTCCAAGCGTCCCCCGTTCCAGCTCCTGCGACTGTTCCCCCTCTACCTCGCCCTACGTCTCCTCATGATCCCCTAGTCTCACCTTCCTTATTTACCCCTGTCGGTCGACGATCTTTCTCTCGTGAAACTTCGCCGAGTACACCGTTCCCATTCCGCTCCGCGAATCACCTCAAGTCCGAGCGACCACCGATAACGAGAGCGACGAGCTCTTTCTCCGCAGAGACTACACAGGCCTTCCGAACGCTCACTATTTCCCAACTCCCTTCGAGTGGGCTGAGGAACGTCGCTGAGGGAGTTGGCAAGTTCGTTGACTTCATGGCTAAGGAGCGGGAACGTGAAAGAGAAAGGATAAAGAAGGAGAAGGAGGCTTCTGCTGCTGCGGCTCAGGCGCAAAAAGGATCGGATTTACCTTTATCTTTGTCCACGACTATTGGAGGAGGTGCAACAGCGAATTTGGCGACGAATGGATTGATTACGTTACAAAACAATGCGATTCAGGAATTTGCGGGTTTGACGCCTGAGTCTATGCAAGTGACGCCGTCGATTGCTGTGAACGTCGAGACGAGCGTAAGTCTTTCTCCACAGGTCCAGCAGCAACAGACGCCTGCACCTCCTGGTCAACCGGCGTATCCTTCGCCTCCAGAAGAGACTGTCAAGTCAGAACAGAATTATTCTATTCAGAATAACGGCACCCTCGGAGGATACGCACTAGAGCCTCCGTCCACTACTGCTCAGCAAGTTCAACCTGCCCCATCAGAGACGTTCGACTCGTTCGAGGGAATCGATAAATATATGATGGACCTCGATATGGACTTCACCATGGCACTTCCTTCCTCCGCTGGGAATCCACGTGAAATTATCAAAGCTGATTTCGATTCGATGGTGTTTACGGATGATGATTTTAGTTTCTTTGATGATCCTGTTGTTACGACTTCTATCCCTTCTACGACTATTCCGGATGCGAGTGCGATGACGGGTGATGAGGCGCTGAAGGCTCTTGGGGTTGCATCGTTGACTCAGGATACTGGGCAATCTGCCGTACCGGATTCTGGACAGAGCTTGGTTGTGACGGGTACTCCTTCGCCATGGACTTCGAGAAAACCTACTGAGGGTGTTGAAGGAAAGGATACTATGGAGTCGGTTGCACCAGACCTCCTTCCTGGTTCTCCGGATGAATCGACTTCGTCCCTTGGACCCGATACACCAGAAATCATCAACTCTTCCAGTGTCGAGATCTTAAGTTCGGAAACACACCCCTTCAATCCGATTCGTTTCTCAAAACGGTTTTGCTCGTCGGATGCGAAATATGCAGTTGGGAAGTTCTCCCGATCACTAATTGAGCAAGATTCGTCTTCGTCCTCCCCGCGAGATGCTTCGTCGGTGCCTGTGCTTTGGAAGATAAGTTATGCGTCGTTGACTGATCCGCGAGTTGAGATCGTTAAGAAGCTGATTGGGATGAAACGGAGGATGTTGACGCAGGGTATGCGGCTGGGTCTTCCTCCCCGACCGTTCCGAGAAGAACAGCGAAGTGAATGGGAGAGCTGTTGTGCTGCTGGTGAAGATGACAACGCCTCTGGTGCTGCTATGGACGTCGAGTCAGATAGAGACTCCGACGACGACGGCGACGAGCGGAATTGTTATGAAGACGATGATGCTGTTTTTGTTGGTGATGATGATTACTCTTCTGTTTCGAGACCCTCGACGCCGCTTGCGTCGCATTTACCACTTGGACCTAGCCTGTTGGCGACGCAGTTTCAGCATTCTCTTCTACTCCCGCTTTCGGTGAATTTAAGACCGAGTGGGGCCAGTTCGTTTTCGTTCGCGACGGATTTGGCTGAACCGATGCCGAATCCTGTGCCGACGCCTGTGTCCCCCGCGGCTGCTGCGAATTCAAGCAGTGAGAGGTCGAAGGTTGTTGAGCTTGTGGTTAGAGCGTTTGCGGAGGAGGTTGTGGAGAATGCGATTTGGGAGGAGGGGTGGCGGGTGAATGCGGTTGGACAGGCTCCTATTTGGAAGCAGGAGAATAGGAATGGACGGGTGGAGGAGGTGGTTGAGGAGAGTTATGTGATTGAGGATGGATGGTGCGGGCAGAGGATGAGCGTTGGTTCGTTCTCTTCTTTAGGTACGTATTTTAATAGCCCTACATTGATTTTGGCTGATGATTTATCTCCGTCACCAGCAGCTTCTTCGTTGTATTCTGGCACTGAGGGTCATAACGCCTCTTTCAAGCCGCTTGACCAGCCAATGTTCACAGTAGGCAAGGCCGACACTCTAATTCAGATTGCACCTCCGGCGTTCCGGTTCTGGTCAAAGATGGGGTTGACACCGCGAAGTGGACCGAAAGATGTAGTTGCATTTGTATTTTATGAGGATGGGAGTAGCCTGGCTTCGGAAGTGGAGGGTTGGCTGAGTCGGGTATCTTCTGCATATACTGTAAGTTTTTTTACGAGTAACAGTGACGGATGTCGTTATTAACGTTGTTTGATTTTTAGGCTAAAGGCTATGGAACGCATTCTCTTAGGAAGTCTAGCTTATGCGCAAAGGATGGACTTGTCCCCGTTCGATATGCTACTTTTCGGAAGGCTCTCAGTAAGTCAATGCAGGTGTATTCTTATGATAGATATTGAGCTGATTCGCCGTAGGCTCACTGATTGACTCGGTTGGATCAACGACATCTCCGCTGCTACTTTACATCGTCACACCCACTTCCATTTTGTCTATGAATTCTCCTATCTTGCGGCAAATCTTCTTATCTATGCATAAAGTCCTCTCCTCAAGTCGAGAAGAACCTGTCATCCGATTCCAACTCGTCCCGGAATTCCTACTCACTGCGAAAGACGATGTTACGACTACGTCGCAGGTAGAAACGTTCGTGGATAACGTATACGAGCGTATTCCTCGACCTGTTAAGAGGTACATGTCACGCTCACTCCTGCATCCTGGTGAACGGACACGGAGGTACTTCGAAGCGCCGTCGTTCGTACTCGGTCGACCGTCAACTACTTCAACATCCTTGTCATTCTGCCATCCACCGCCTGATTCGGGGTTACTTGACCGACATACGCTCTTACACGTTGGTTATCGACTTACGAAGTGTCGGAAATGGCTTGTTGCGGCTTGTATTGACCAACGAGGGGAGGGACATGAGTTGGGTGTGTGGTTTGTTCCTTCTTCGGTTTCTTCGGATGAAGGGATTAGAGATGGGGATAGGGATAGGGATTGGTATAAGCGGCTTGTGGCGATTGTGTGGGGGTTTGCGATGGAGTTTGCGAGGAGGGCGAATGTGGAGTGGAGAGTTGCTGTTGCGAAGCTTGGGAGTGTGGGGGAGGGTGAACTTGCAGGTGAGATTACGACCTTTTGTTTCTTCTTTTTCTTTAGGCGTGGACGGTGATAGCTGATGTGTTGTGCTTTTTTGTAGCGTGGAACGCACTGTTGAACGAGGAGATGTCAGAGGAGAAACGAACCTCGTCGATGCAGGTCTCTATTCTCTCCGTCGACGATGAGTCGGGTTGGTCAGTCCTGACGGAGTCGAATAAAAATCATCCCAGTACACAAAGACCCGGTTCAAGTCACGATTCCTCGCCTACCACCACCCCAACGAAAATGCAAAGTCAAAATCAAAGTCACAACCAGAGTCAACTGTCATTCGCTTCGGCAAGCTCGTCGTACATCTTACCTTCACTCCGATTACCTCTAACTTCTCCTTTTCCCTCGGGTATTGTGGAGGAACTTGGGAGGCAGTCATTTATCCCTGAAGACGAGGAGTCGCCGAAGGGTAGTACGAATAGTGCGGAAAGATTACTCCCGTTATGTTCCTCTGTCCTTGTCACAGTCCCTTCCACCCCTCCTCACTCTACATCTCCTTCTCCTTCGTCACCTCATGAGAACGGGGACAAGAGTGGGAATGGGAATGGGAATAGGACCACCCCACGCACAACACTTATCCACCTTCTTCACTCCACTTCCTTCCCGTCCTCTCACTCGAATACCTCCTCCACTTGCACTCCCACTTCCTCATCTTCTCCCTCTTCTCTGTCAACGAAAACGATCGAAGAGACGCAGCAAGACATTGTAAAGAATTATTACGAGCTTGGCGTCCTCACCCAAGCAAGGTGGCGATTCTCTTCTCTCAATGGTAATGGTAAAGGGCAGAGGATAGGACTACCGTATCACCTTGCTGCGTTACGCGTTGTGGATGAGTGTCTTGAGGTAGGAGAGGTTGGTGGGGAGTTTAGCTAGCAGTTTGGTAACTTATTTTCTTTTCGTTTTTTCGTTTTCGTTTTTTTCTGGCCTTTGTTCGTTCGTTCTTTGTTTTATTTTTCTGAGTTCGTTTTTTGGTATCCCTTCGCCTTTACGCTTTGCATTGTCTCTTGATGCCTTTTCTCTTACTACTTTTCGGTCTTTCGTATTCCCTGTACTACCTGTACCTCTCGTACCCATCCCATCATTGTCTTATCTCATTTCGTTATCACTTTCATTCAGTCATTCCTGCCGACTCGTTCCTTTACTCGCACAGATCCCACGTCCCATTTCTCATATTCATATACCGCACGATAGACTGACCCACACAGCTCACGGACCATTCAATGTCCCACCCTCTGCACAGCACGTCACCTGTCGATATGCAATACGCACTATGCAATGTTCTTGTACTTTACTAGGATTAGTATCAATATTAATATGTGCTATATTTTTTTTGTCTTGCTTGTCCAGTGTTCTCAATAATGTTAGACGTTAGCTAGCCAAGAGTGACAGCAATTAATGGTTGCATTTAAGAAATATGGAGACAAAGGTAAAGATAAATAAAGAAAAAGCGAAGAAAAGAAACGACCTCTGTCCACCCAAACCCTATTCCAACTTAACCCTCCTGAACATTCCTAATTACCAGTTACCAGTCACTGCTTACTGATTCTTCTTCGTCTGACTAGGCCCCTTCGGCGCATCAAGCCTCACACTACTCTGTATACTCGCCAACGCCGAGATAGCCATCAACACAGCAGGGAGCAGGAGGAAAAGAGCGATGAATAGCGAGAGGATGAGTCCTGGAGTGAGGAGTTGGTAGTGTGCTAGGATGCCTGTGCCTGTGGTCGTTGAGTTGTTGGGTGCGAAGGAGAATGGTTTGGGGTCCGAGAGTGGTGGGAGTAGTTGCCGTTTTTCGAAGGAAGAAGAGGAGAGAGGAGAGGAACCGGTGTAAATGATGAGGTGCTTTGGGAAGGTGGATTCGATTTTGGTGAGTAAGGTATTTAGGGAGTTCTCTATATCACGTAAAGAAGATATTCATTCAGTACTTTAAGTTCAGGACAATACAGAGAAGAACGTAACGTACCGAGCTCAGTCATCTGGTACCTCCTCCAACTCGGCTCACCGTACACCTCAGGAAGGGTCATGTACAATACGTGTCCTTTCTCCTTCTCCCCCTGAACAAGTTCAAACTCGCCGTCCCGATTAACCCAACTTACTCGACCTACACCACACCTCTGTGCGAGTGACTCGGCGGTGGAGGAGAGTTCGTCGGGGGTGTGGCGCTTTATGTAGGGTAGTTGTGCTGACTTCGGTTTGGAGATGTGCGAGGTGTGTGAGGCGTTGAGACGTGTTGGGAGGGTAGAGGAGGGAGAGAGGGACTTCAAGTCCGTTGCGTGTAACTGTGTTGTTCGTACCAGATGAAATCATAATTGTAAGTTAGTGCACTGAGGAAAGGACGAGGAGGATTGGAAAGGGAGAGAGGAAGACGACGTACACCTGGTTGCTCGATAACAAGTACAGCGTCGAACCTACACATTTCCTCCCTGAAACCAAATACATCCTCACCCTCACGCCCTAAGAGAAGCGTGTCAAGCTGCACTTCTCCAAGTCCAAGCCCGAGGCCAGGTCGCTTCTCGTTCAACCCGCTAATGAGTGCGTTCCTACACCCAACAAAGGTTTATATTTCAGTAAGCTGTATGATAGGAACGAACACGGATGTACGTAGAGCGCCACGTCCGACTCGGTTCGAGGCAATGCACGAATACGCAGAAGTACCAAGTAAAGGAGGAACTCACTCATGAGAAGACCAAATAACCAACGGCGCCGTATCCAGAAACCCATACGTCAGAGGTACGAGTACTGTAAACGCCGTCGTCGCTGCTAAGAGTTTGCAGTGCATCGTGTTGAATGACTTGACAATGACACTGGCTGGTTAAGTGCAGAATAGCGGAACGCGTCAGGGAGGGGTAGCATGTGCCGGTTTCCCACGATTACATTTACGGACATTCAGCATTATAATGAAAGTAATGGCGTGTTGTAAGGTCAGTACATGGAATACAAGTCGTGTATACTACAATGTATTGCACGTCTACATCAACATTGCATAGGAGGTACGTATGGGATGGATGGATAGGTGGATGGATATATAGTCGTGAATCGTCATGACTATGATATACTACGGTATAATACGCTAAAGTATAGACAGAAACTGGTATCAGAAATTTCAGTCATAAAGTCACGGATCAGAAGAGTCAATAACTAGAGGGAAAGGAAGCAGAGACAGGGAGGTGAAGACCAAAGAAAAGCAGTCAAGTAGAACATATCCAACAACAAAAAAATTTGGACAGATAAACTTATAAAAGGTATACAAAATAGAAAGTCTACGACAAGGTATCACCAATCATATAGAAGTACGGTAGTTGCTTGTACTCGCAGCATTCGTGGTATCGGTGTTATCAGTATCTATCAAATTGAAATCAGTGTTGATATTGCCCCTCTCTACGTCGTCCGTTCGTGTCTTCTCTATGTCTTCTATGAAAGAGGAGAAACACCATTCGACTGCGTCGGCTGCGAACAAGGAAGAAGTCAATTCGGTTGTTTAACAACTCGAGAGTAGAGTAATGGCTTACCAGCGAGGTAGAAATCACAATGCTAGATCACACAAACCAAACCAATAATCATCAGCACACACACACATACACGTACACATCAACGACAAAATAAAAACAAGATAGAATAAAAATAAAAATAAACTCATACCTCACTCATCTCCAATCTCTCAACTCTAACCAACCTCACATGCCTCTCCTTCTCACGTATCCTCTCCAATAAAGGCTCAGTCGCAACCAAAAAATCTCGTCCACCATAGTAAATCGCGAGAGGCGGGAAGTTCTCGTCGAACCATCGAGGTAGGGAGTCATCCATTGTGCATTTCAGTTGGGCGAAGCCGCCTTTGCCGCACCACCTATTTATATGAATGTGAAATATAAGGTGATTATTGATTTTTGGAGTTAAGCTTAGAGGAGGGAGAGGAGACGTGGAACGTACCAGAATATACTAGCAGAGCTGGACGAAAGAAAAGCACAAGTTAGACGAGGACGTCCGTATACGATGTAGAGACTGATATAATGCCTCACCTAACAGGAGTAGGCGTAAACCTAAATATCTTCACTTTTCTGCGCTTTAACCTATACGTGTATGTCATGAGTCAGTCAATGAATTTTCTGCCTGCCACCCAATCGTTTTGGAACAACGTACCAATTCGCATCCGTCCATGAGAACAAATACGCGAACATCGCATACCCAAACAAGGCAAATACCTTAGCGGGTACCCAGTCGTAGGAGTAGCGCATTAAGGGTATGAAGTCCAGTATACCTACAAACCACAAAAATAAAATGTGCTCATGTCAGATCGCAAAACCAACTCGCACAGCGAGTATCTCAGATCAGAATTGTACTCACCGAAAAACATACGCCACCGTTTCCACTCAATCCGACTAAGAATATTGAACGGGAAGCCATGCGTAAGTGGGCCAGCATATACAACAGGCGCGAGTGCGATGACGACTGAGAGTTTTGCTCCTAGTTCGGGACGCATGCCTTCGCTGAGTGCGAGGAGCGCGGTGCCGTTGCCCTGAGAGTGACCGATGAAGGCAATCTGCAAGTTCAAGGAGCGGAATTGAAATTAAAAGAGGTGTTGAGAAACGTATGGTGGTTATTCTCTTCAGGTAGGATAAGCATACCTTGTCGTAACCCGTTGCATCACAGACGTATTCCACTAGCGCAGGAAGGTCGTACATCGCTAGTTCTCGAATAGTCCAGTCTGCACAGACGAAAATCCGAAATCGGTTTTAAGTCAACCAGTTGTGAAGCTGACAACATACCCCAAAACCGAGGATCGCCTCTACTTATGTTCTTGTGCCCCATATTGAATACACCACGGGTGTTTCCCAGAAATACCTGATACCCACTAAATCCGAGTAAAAACAAATTAGGCGTTCCACATCCACAATAAGATAAAGTATTATTTACCCATGCTCTGATAACCAGAAAGCGAGTGACCGTTCTTCTGATGTAATGAATGCACCGGAAGACTGGAATAGCCCTAGTAGATATGTTAATCTGGGCTTCAGCGTGGGGATGGAACCTTGGAAATTTACCGTGTAAGATCAAAACAGGATATCCGCCTGTATTCGGTTGTATTATGAGATTATTGTCATGAAGAGGTCAAGATAAGGCTTACCCCTGCCATTTGGTTGAGGCTTATGCCTCGGATTCACCACTCGATGTACCCTACGGATGTGAACTCAACCCGAGTTCTTATGCAGCAACGAGAAGCATTTACGTACCTCAAATGAAAGCCATCCTCAGTCTCGACTTCCTCGTCAATAATATCATACCCTTCACCGGCGTTTTGTGCATAATAGTGAACATCCTTTGTGCACTTTTCCTTGAGATACTTCGGATCGTCCCAAGGAAACGTCGCCGGCTCTACCGGGGAGACTCTCCGCAAGAACCGGGGAAGGTGAGCGGTGAGGTCGGCAAGCATCGCCCAAGTAACGACAGTCATAAGAAACGCAGAAGAAACGATGAAAGATATGCATTGACTGATAAAGAGCATGATTCTGTTCTTGAGTGTTGGACGGTACCAGCGTGCCTCACCATGTACAGGTGCAATGAACGATACAGGTCTACCCGATTTGTTCGGGTAACCATTAGGCGTGCAAGACCTTAACGAAGGACGTGAGTCGCCTGGGTATGCTGCGTTCTCGCGAGCGCGCATGGATTGGGAGGAAATGGGACGAGAGATGTTGATGCTTGTGGTGCCGTAGCCGTTTAGAGGCATGGAGCGGCTGAGAGAGGTGGAGTCTGTTAGCCCAGATGCATCTCTGAGGTACATCGAGAGAGAGAGAGGAATCCTCTTCGAGGTGGTCGTGGTGGCGGAGGCGGATACTAAAACGGATGCAGAGAAGGAGGGAGCAAGAATAGAGTAAGGAAGGTGATGGATGGACGAAGCAAAGTGCGCGTATAGCCTCTCTCGTCCGTCGTCTACCAGACGACCGCGGTAGTAGCACATGAATATCACTGCCATACATGGACACGGATAAAATTAGCGCAAAGTGCGCGTGTCCACAGCTTTCATCACTCTTCGTCACCGTCATCTCTGCTTCTCCTCTCCTCACCTTTCTTGTCCTATTCGTCGTCTCTTCGACGTCGAGATCTCTGTCAAGAATAATGCATCCGACTCTGCGTGCGTCGGCACACGTTCATAGACCACTCATTCATTTCATTGGTAAACGTCAATGGCCAGCAAGTCCGTATTTCATATTTACGTTGCATTTCTTTATCTAACGTTATTTCTTTTCTCCACTTTAACATTCAATAGAGCCTGAGCCGCCACACGCACACCCGGCTGGTCCACCAGAATACAAAGCCCACTTTGCAGACTTTCTCAAAAAGTTTGAGAGTTCTGCTTCCTCCTCGCGTTCCGTATCTAGTTCCTCTTCCAATTCCGTGCAGAAGGGGAAGGACCAGTCCGATGCACACTCGGATGCGTACCAGGAGTTCTGGCAGGCTCCGCAGCGATTATGGAACCCACGAGTACGGAATATTAGTGAAAAAGAGATGGACGCGGTGTTGGTGAGTTCCATTTGCTTTCTTATACCAACTGATACATGTCCGTGCTGACGAACTCTCTCTTGTTCAGTCTGGTGGTGCAACCCTATTCTAGTAGAGTCCTTGTGCATTCGACCATTTAGAACTTATAGTTCTGTGCTTTCCTGACGTGCTCTGCTCAATGTCATCTACATGAACATCTACAAGCATGAACGTGTATATTTCTCGTAAACTACCTACGTCTGGACGACTGATATGCGCGTTTGGTTGATGGACGTTACCTTGATAGAACTATCATTCTCTCTCCATCGATGACACGATTCACCCTGCAGTGAGGCTAAAGGGTTATTAACAATATAACTGATATTGTTAGTGTTTAGGATAAATGTAATCGTGGGAAAGAACAAGTGTGGTCTCGGCTGTAGACGGTCCTCCTTGCATTTTCCGTGGTGGACAATGACGATTCACAGTATGATATATCTGTACCTCTTCCATGTGGCTCCTTGGATACACCACTGCCGTTGATTGTTTGGTCTTCTCATAAGTTAGTCCCTGCTTAATTCAATTCAATTCATTCATTCATACATGCATTTCTACACAATACTATACATAATTTCATCAGCCAATATTAATGTATATCCTTCATACTTTCTTCTGTACTTATTATGGTTATTAGTATTACGGCGTGGGCGACGCTCGTTGACCTTGCATCCCGGGTTCTTATGATATGCGGTATTAAGTATGCAAAAAATGCTGGTGAAGTGTATGTTATTATTAATATTGACGAGGGAGGAAGTCAAGACTGAGGGACGGATTTTCTCTTGAGGTATGTGTGAATCATCCTCGGTGTCGACATTTAATAGTTCATTAGGAGTCGGAACACCATTATGTGTCATTAAATTAGATCCGACCTAGGAAAGATGTTTGTCCTACTAGTATTTCCATTCTCATCTGGCACGATAGAAGCTGACAATATTAATTTTATGATTCTTCCCATAATACTTCCTTGGAGATCAACCACAGGGCCATGGGCTATGGATGTAAGCATTATTCTCCTACTTTTTTTTGAATTCAGAATTATTACTAAAGAGATGTGATAGGTTGTCAAGAAATTGTAAGCTGGTGGAGGTGTTGCAGTGAAGATCGAGCACGTTGTGTACTACTAATCTGCTCGAATGTTTGGTCGACACTTTGATGAGAAGGACGGAATTATCAGGTGTATTACTCGTGCAAGCATAGACGTGCTGAAGGTATATTGAATTCTCATCCTTTTTTCTCTTCTTTTCTCTTCTCTTCTCGTTTAAGTAATTGACTGGCTAACTGACGCTCTCGTACAGTCAAAATTCAAAGCTGACGTTAAAACTGAAGAATGGTTCCTAATCAAGATTTGAAGCCAGTAAGTTGTCTATCCCCAATACTACATACACTCGAAATGATTTGATCTGATGCATTTTCGTCTTTGCAGAGACTTGGTATACCATGAAGGATCGGAATTCCCACATCCTGTGCATGCCGTGTGTCAAGATCTCAAACTGCCCTACTAGTATTTGTTTACCATATGTCTGTTGTTGTCTTGCTGCAATGTACAATGCTTTACACGCTGTATCAATTAACTCTGCATATTTGCAACCACTGCATTCCCGCACTGCATGTATTTCTGGACGTCACCCAAACCGGGTATTATCAATTCTCTAAAGACTTTGCAACTTGTGAACAGAATGCCGGAGAAAATTACGGAACAAGCCATTGCATGAAGACGGCTCTAACAAGACTTCTGAATGGGACAAGTCCACAATTATTCAGTACTAATGGCTTTATTTCGTTGGTCATTCAAATGACTTAAAGAATACATAAATTGAGCAAATATGCTCATAATTCTCATATTTATCTACTATCTCATACTTTCTTCCTTTCTTTTTATTGCGGCAAAATAGAGAATATCGATTAGTGGAAGTAATTTGAAGCGTACGGTTTGACGAGCATCCACGCTTCGTCAAGTGCCTTGACCACCTCGTCAGCTGCGGAACATAGTTTAACTAGTAAGCGAAATTTCACAGGTCACTAGGGATATATCGACTTACGAAGAGGACCCTTCTCAAGATAAATGAGGTTCTAGAAAGTACGACTCACATTTCAATACAGATGGACCAGGACGAGAAACTCGTTACGTACCTGTTCAATATGCTCAAGGCTCGATGCTCCGATCAAAATCGCATCTCCGTGCTCCCTCTTCATGAGACTATGGTGTGATACCCAGCGAAGCGCAACTTCAGCTATTGTCAGGCCTGCCTTATCAGAAGCGTTCTTGATGATTTCGAGCGCTTTGAAATGTGGCTCGTTCCAGTACCTTAGTCGCTAGCTCAGCAGGAATTGACAAGACATATGATAGAGTTTTGTTGACTATATGCACCTTTTTCTGTAGTTTTGACCTTGACCTTTATTTGGATCAAACCGCGCACCTGGCTCGACCTCATCCTCTGGTTTCGTATAACGTCCTGTGAAGAATCCTCCGCCAACTGCAAGTGAATAAGATCGTCAGCAATGCTGAATATATATATATATATATATAAGTATGTGATGAGGCCTTACGAGGGTTGAACTCATAGAAGCTAATCCCGAACTTCCTCATGCAGGGGAACAATTCAGGCTCGACGCCACTGAAATTGGTATACCTTGAGTGAGAACTCAACTAAAAGGGGAAAGAGGAGCACAAACCGATGGATCGCGTTGTACAAGCCCTGGTAAGCTGTAGGTTGTATGTATCCCCTTTCTCTACATAGAGTCACAATCTCGGCAACTTCCCAACTAAACAACTTTACCTTCAGGTCTTCCTGATTTTGATTAATGCTTCAACTTACGAGGTATAGTTACTGATTCCAAAGCGCTTAAAGTATCTATATTTTCCTCACCGTCAATATATCGTCAGGGCGATCGTACCAAAGCACTCACCCTTCTCTGTACAGCTCATCTACAGCCTTCATTGTGACTTCATATGGAGTTGTTCTGTCTGGTCCATGGAGATACCACATTTCAAGCTTACTATGGCAGATAACCACCGTCAATGCATCTGACAAACATTAGACAGAGAAGGAAGCTGACTCTGTGTTCAGTGCCTTGAGTTGGATTTGAAGATATTTTCGTAGATCCTAGAGTTCAGTACAAGTTGATCAGCCGTAACCCCGTTGAGATGCTGAGGTATAAGAGGAGATGGATGATTACTTCTGGTTTATGAGAGATAAGTTCTCTTCCGTGATGCTGAAGTCTGACGTTTGACTGGAAAAATAAGTTAATTTGGAAAGGGAGAATTGGTTCAAATCTAGTAAAAACGCACAACGTTTGGGTAAAGTTTCGTATCCATCTTGAGTCCACGTTTCTGCCAGTTTATCTTTCCGAGATACTCTTCGCTTGTTCCACCACAATAGGCGCGAGCGGTATCAACCTAAGACAAATAATCATAATTTAGTTCACACGTATTTCTCTATATTGATTAATGGAACAACCTCATAATGTCCATGCTTTTGGAAGACATCCAATATTGCCTCAACATCTTTGAGGTCGTGTACCCGGGCACCTTCCTTTCCAGCCTCCCCAAATGTCATTGCTCCCTTAACAAGTGCAGTGAGGTCAGGGCTCAGGTTGCTTTCAATTATAAATAGAGCCAGACCATGACAATGTTCAGCGCACTCTTCTGCTCGGCGGCCATAATCTGTTACTGGTGAAAATACGAGAATGAGACAAAGTAGCCTGGCAGGAACAGTGATGACTTAGTAAGTTCGCACATAGCATCGTGTGGGAGACCTTCGTCTTGATATGCTAAATTTATCGAAGGCTCCGGCGATGCTCGCATCTGCGTAAATGGATAATACGGTCTGAGTAAAGGCCGCCAACTATTATTGCCATTTTCGGATAGCAATTCAGTTTTACCAAATAACAAACAAATACTGACGCGATTCTCCAGAGCCTTTTATATGCTGTATCAATCTATTCTGCCCATTTACACACCTTACGTCGTGAAAACATACTGCAATAAGTTAGACATAAAGGGGTTGTAAATAGTAACTCTTACTCTGCTTCTAGGGATTATTCAATACCAGTTTTCTTTGATTTAGCAATGCCTTGAATGAATACATAATCTGAGTTATTACTATCACAGTCCTCATGTTTCGTTTCCTATACAAACTCTTTTCATTTTTATTGAGTACAATCAACAAGGTTGGTTAGAGGAAGTAATTCGCTGCATATGGCTTGACAAGCGTCCAAGCTTCATCAAGTGCCTTGACCACCTCATCAGCTACAAGGAATGAATTAATTAATCAGTGAAATACACAGCTAATTTGCAGTACGTTGACGTACAAAGGGGCCCCTTCTCAAGGTCAACGAGATTCTAGAGAAAAAAATTCATGTCCATTAATGCAAATAAAGTAGTGTTGTAAAATAGTTACGAACCTGTTCAATATGCTTGAGACTCGAAGCTCCAATCAAAATGGCATCTCCATTCTCCTTCTTCATAAGACTATGGTGTGATAACCAGCGAAGTGCGACTTCGGCCATAGTCAATCCCGCCTTACCAGACGCGTTCTTGATGATTTCAAGTGCTTTAAAGTATGGTTCGTTCCAGAACCTTTGACAGCATATCTCAGTCCGATTTGATATTGAAAAGGAGCGATTGTGTGTAAGCACCTGTGCCTGAAACCTTGTCCTTGCATCCTGTTAGGATCAAACCGTGCTCCAGCCTCAACTTCGTCACTGGCCTTCATATAGCGTCCCGTGAAGAATCCTCCGCCAACTTAATTCAATTCAGTATGTCATTACCTATGAAAACCCATGTATATCTGGACTCACGAGGGCTGTACGCATAGAAGCTTATACCAAACTTTCTCAAGCAAGGGAACAATTCGAGCTCGACACCACTACGATAGGAAACTTGATGTTAGGCTGGATACGACTGTTATTTTGAGTAATATACTGACCGATGAAGCGCATTATACACGCCTTGGTAGACAGCCGGCTGAATATACCCCCTTTCCCTGCATATGGTCACAATTTCGGCGACTTCCCAACTAATCACGTATTTATCAAAATTCGCTCTTTGCTGTGAAGAAATTACATACGACGTATAGTTACTGATCCCGAAGCGTTTAAAATAACTGCATTCCTCTCTGTCAATAAATCGCCGCGAATGTTGTACTCGAAGACTAACCCTTCTCTGTACAGCTCATCCACAGCTTTCAAGGTCACTTCATAGGGAGTCGTTCTGTCCGGTGCATGAAGGTACCACATGTCGATCTTGCTACAGCAGATATCGAGCATCAATGAAATTTTCTCGTTAATGAAAGGTTATATATTACTCGGTATTCAGTGCCTTGAGGGATATCTGGAGATACTTCCGAAGGTCCTGCAATTAAAAGCAACCGAGTCAGTCGCATGTTTGGGATTTTATTGAATATCACACCCTTACCTCAGGTTTGTGTGAAGTGAGTTCTAGTCCGTCTCGCTTAAATTCTGTGAAGGACTAATAACGCGACTTAATCTAGAGGATCAATGGGTCATCTTGAGTAACACGCACTGCTAATGGGAAGTACTTCGTATCCATCTTGAGTCCGCGCTTCTGCCAGTTTAGCTTGCCGAGGTACTCCTCACTTGTTCCACTGCCATACATTCGAGCAGTGTCAACCTGAGTAGCCATTGATCATTTAGCTCATAACAATTCTCTGAATGCTACATAACGGAAATAACCTCATAGTGGCCGTGTTTCTGGAAGACGTCCAATATAGCCTCGACGTCCTTCAGGTCATTAATACGAGTCCCGTCTTTTCCGGACTCCCCAAATGTCATCGCTCCCTTCAGAAATGAAGTGAAATCAACACTGAGTCAGCCTTTGATAGAAAATAGAAACTGACCATGACAATGTTCAGTGCACTCTTCTGTTCTGCAGACATTTCGAACAAGTGAGGATGGACGTGATGTAGAACAGTAGAAAAATGTGGGTGCCAATGCACTTATGATGTAGAACGGACACGCTGATTCAAATTTTCATAGCTTTCCAGGTTCGCACATAAGGCCATGCCGAAGGCCTTCGTCATGGTAAGCCGATTCTTTCGAAAACACTCCGATGATAGGATCATGACCATTTGAACAGATGAAATGGTCTGAAGTAGCTCGGCTTTTGGGCGTGATTTCGGATCGGACAGCGATCCGTCCTGAGCAAACTATGCCAAACTAAAACAAACAGCTGATCTTTACACTCGGTATCAATCCACTCTACCCATTTTCACACCTCAAGCCTCAAATTTTGGACATTCTTCAAGTTAATTATTATTGGAACTGTGGGTACTTTCTAAACTTTGAACAGATGCTACAATCTTACAGAATAAATCTATGCAGTACCACTCTCACTAGACTTCTGCCTAATCTCCTATTACTGTATCAGTTAATGCTCATAACTCTTGTACTTTTGTAATTTGGCTGGCTTCTTGGATGTACTGCAGCTGTCGGTTGTTCAGGCTTCTCGTAAGTAAGTAAGTCCCTGCTTAATTCAATTCAACTCATTCATACTGTATGTGCATTTCTACTTATTTCATCCTCCTGCCCTCTATTGTGGCGTACCACACAAATCTGAGGTTTTACATGATCTTATTTAAGGGTATAGATGGTTGACAAAATATGGTGCATATAGGAACACACTTATTAGTGCATTGGGCTGCAGGAGACATGGACTCTACCTTGTGCTCAGGCTCGAAGAAGTATAGCTTGATACACTCCTTCTCCCTCATTAGACGGACATGTAACCATGCTCCACGATTTATCCCACCCGTTACCTGGAGTTCCTCCTTGCATCGCATATATTCCCCAGTCTATCATTACTCCGTCACTTCTTCTTGTTCGGCTCTGCCTCTGCTCCCGCCACCGCCACCGCCTCAAAGGGAAATCCTCTTCCTCAGACTTCCTGGATCTACGAATTGATGCTGGTTTGACAGACACTACATCAATCGGCTCAATGTCTCCCAACGGTCACGGCATCAGTGTCGACGTGTCTTGTGAAACTTCCTCCCAATCCATGCGCGCTCGCAAGAAAGCTGATACAGGCAACTCCCGTCCTTCATTAAAATTCTGCATGCCTAACGGTGGCGCGACAAAACCTGGCAAAACCGTATCGTTCGTTGAACCTGATGGCGAAGCGCGCTGGTATCGTCCAATTCTCAAGGACACAATAATTCTCTTCATCAGCCAATGTATATCCTTCGTGCTTTCTTCTGCACTTATTATGGCTATTACCACGTGGGCGACGCTTCTTGACCTCGTAGTTCGACTTCTTCAGTTTTTGCGGGAAGAATCTCCCCCAGTGAAGGAGGCGACGTACATTTGGGATAACCCAAAGTACCTTGAGGAGGAGTGTACGAATGATATGCGATATTATGCAAAAAATGCTGGTGAAGGGTATGATATTGTCGATGAGGAGGTTGAGACTGAGGACGGTTTTCTCTTGAGGTACGTGTTTACTACTAACATTGGATAAAGGAATCTCTTATTAGAGTTGTGCATTCTACAGGGTACATCGAGTCGTGAATCCGAGGCACGAGACAAAGTCGAACCGCAAGGGTATGGATTTCTTTACTTTTTCGTGATAATATTTTTATGAAGTATCCAAATATAGGTGGATATCCTGTATTAATACTACCTGGTATATACGCATATAAAATCCTACATTCGAAGACTCCCTAAGCCTATATCACTCCTAGGTCTATTCGTGTCCTCCGGTGCATTTATTACATCGGAGGAACGCTCACTGGCTTTCTGGCTATCAGAGCATGGGTAAATCCCCCTCCATTTATATATGCGGAATGTCTGATTTCCTTTAACTCGGATACAGTAGGTATCAAGTATTTCTGGGAAATATGCGCGGTGCGTTCAATATGGGGCACAAGAACTTAAGTAGAGACGATCCTCGATTTTGGGGTATGTGTATCAACTTCCCGGCTACGAGATCGAAGCTGACTGTGGATTTTGATTTATTGAGACTGGACTGTTCGAGAGCTAGCGATGTACGACTTACCTGCACTGATAGAATATGTTTGCGATACGACAGGATACGATAAGGTTCGTTTATCTTATTCCGAAGAATCGTCTTATCTTTCTCGAGATACATCTTTCCTTATTCTTCAGATTGCATTTATTGGCCACTCACAAGGCAACGGCATCGCGTTCCTCGCACTCAGCGAAGACATGCGTCCCGAACTAGGGACGAAGCTCTCGTGCATCATCGCACTCGCACCTGTTGTATACGCCGGCCCTATTTTGAATGGATTTCCGTTCAATGTGCTTAGTCGAATTGAGTGGGAGCGGTGGCGCGTGCTTTTCGGTGAGTAAATGCTTTGCAATGCTTTATCGTTTGACTGATCAGAAGAATGAACGTCTTTCTTGATTGTTTTAGGCGTCTTGGACTTCATACCGTTTATGCAATTCGCATACAATTCGGTACCTGCAGAGGTGTTTACCTTTTTTGCGTATAGGGTATTCGCGTATTTGTTCGTGTGGACGGATGCACATTGGTACGTCCGAGAAAAGATTTCATGATTATGTGTGAGGTAGAGTCACTCACAACACACACAGGTTAAAGCGCCGAAAGGACAAGGTATTTAGATTTATGCCTACTCATGTTAGGTGAGGATCATACCAGATGTATCGCATTCGGATATCCGTCTAACTGGACCCCTGTTTTCTTTTCTTTTCTTTAAAGCTCTGCAAGTATATTCTGGTACGTTCCGTCCCTCTCTTTCCCTCCCCTTAACTCAAAGTTTAATATTTATTAAAAATTCTAATATTTATAATTCGTTATTTACAGGTGGTGCGGTAAAGGCGGGTTCGCACAACGTAAATGCACGATGGACGAATCCTTACCTAGGTGGTTTAATGACGAGAACTTCCCACCGCTTGCGATTTACTATGGTGGGCGTGATTACCTGGTTGCGACTGAGCCGCTATTGGAACGGATACGTGAGCGGGAGAAAGGTGTGAAGCTTGTTAGAGTGGAGAAGGTGCCGACGTATGAGGTAAGAGTCTGATATTTCCCCGCATATCCGTTATTTTTAATGCGAATTGATTAATGTTTTATTATTATTAGCATTGCGATTTCTACCTCGCTGGTAAGTTGATATTCTTTTCTACTCCAGAATAATCAATGATTAAATTTACCCCTTCCTTCTTCGTAGCCGACGCGGTCGAGAGGTGTTTCTCCTCCTTCATAGAAGATATAGAGAATACTCGAACGGACAGCTTAGAGAAGGCTGTGATTAATGGGGTTTCCCATTTCGTTCCTCACCTCCCTTTTATATAGATATTTTGCAGTGATTCGTGATGGTATATTGATATATCCCGGTGTAGTAGATGTACAGACAGGCATACAGGACTTTATAGAATATGCAATATTGTTTATTATTATTTTGTTTACTTCATTTTATTGTATTGTACACTGTGCACTAGGGCGTTTCGAAGGCAAAAGTGTGCGTTTAATTTGTGCTTGAGTCGATCCGATTGAGACGTGTTATTATTGTGTTAACTTCTATTGAAACGGGTACAGAGATGTGCTAAAAGTGTATGCTATAACAATACAATCCGATACATGAAATACATAAAAAATTGAATGATAAAAATCAACCCTGTTGTATAAATCAGACTAGTCCTTAAAGGTCGTTATGTTGTCATAAAGCGTCCTCGAATATTAGTTTTCGAGGTTTGCTTATTGGCGGTGGAGGCGTGACGAGTGATGGCCTTCAAAACAAGAACAAAAAACATATTGTCAGCACCGGTCATCCCTCCCAATCACACAAAAGGACACGAATAAAATGAGAAAAGAAATAGGAAGATACTCACATAGATGTCCCACACTTCGCAGCCGGGTTACCCATGATAATACTCTCCGATACACCAAGAATACTATCCGTCTTCCCATACGCGGACGCGTCGAACAAGTGATCCGTTGTTTTTTCGAAGGAAGCGAGCATGAGGACGCTATCTTTCATCTTGGCTACGCCGAAGCGGGTGATGCCTAGGATCTCGCCCTGCGTCACGCAATAATTACAATTTCAGTCAATTAATTGATTGGAGAGGAAGGGAAGGGGTAGATGAACCTTATAAGTCATAACGTCCCCAAGCAACATAACATGCCGCGGGTCGATGCTCATCCCATGCTCTTTCATGATGAACTGAATTTCGTTGATGATGTTCGCGCGGGCAGCTTCGATCCCCAGTACGGCGGCGGTCTCGATGATGTGATTTGTCGTTGCGTATTCGCCGACAATACCTGGTGAAGACGAACCTGAGATAAAAACACAGGGGAAAAGGAGCGAGGAATAGACTTACCATCCGTAATCATAACCTTCTGAAGTCCGTACCCCTCAACGAGCATCTCCTTGTCACCCTTCTTTCCTCTATGGTCGTCTTTGTCCTTGATATTGATAATCGCACGTTGGACGGTTTGTATTCCCTGACCAAAATATAATCAATTAGCCTAAACAGTGCACGAAGTGAATACAAAAGGTAGAGATATCATTATGTACCTTGACTACTACGGAGGGTAAAGCACGCCGAAGTTCTCTCAAGCGGTAGAACTTGTCTTCTCCATTTATGTATATTCGGAGGCGGTTCTTTTTTGGTATCACAATGATCGACTGGAAGTTAGACAGGGGTGTTTTTTCAGTAATGCTTGTTATAGACGGGAGAGGTATGAGAAGGATACGCACTTCTTGTTTTACTTTGAGCTTCTTGGCTGCTACGATTGCCCATTTGATGTCGTCGAGCGTGAGTTCGAGCTGATTTTAACAGTCAGACTTTTAAGTTGGTAGGGAGGCAAGGAGAGATGTACCTGAAGTTTTTGGACGGCGTCCATGTCAACTATGATACCGATGTACGTGTACTCCGGTGCCCATGCCTCTTCCAATACCGACGCAACCTACACGTATAACGAAAGTCGTAAACTAATCGTTTCCGATGAGAGAACAAAGGCTGGACACTCACGTCACCCAAAAGCGTCTTCTCCAACCTCCCCTTAACAATCCTCGCACTCGCCTCACTCATATTATTAACAAGTCTACAACTAATAATCGGCGTACTAATCGTCTTCGCAGCGTTAATAATCTCCTTTATCCGCGGTACACCCAACGTCACGTTCATACTCGCAACACCAGCGAAATGGAATGTCTTGAGTGTCATTTGCGTTCCGGGTTCACCGATGGATTGGGCGCCGACTGCACCGACTGTGGACCCTGGTTCGATTTTGGCTTTGAGGTATTTTTTGAGGCAGAGGGTTAGGAATGTAAGGAGGTGGGTGTGGGTTACTTTGATTTGGTTGGAGATGATTTTGAATTCTGCGTCTGTAAATTTTGTCGTCAGTATTACGAATTAAGCGCTTGTCCGGGAAAGGGAAGAGAAGACGGGATAATATGGCATACCGGTTGCACCCATAGACAAGTCCGTATCTGCGTCCCATTCGTCCTCCTTTTGTAAAGCGTCGTACATCCCATGTTCTTTTCTTTGTTCCGCTAGAGGCTTTACTGCGTTGTCGTAGATGAACTGACGAAGTACGGCGATGTACGTGTCCGAGCAAACTCCGGTGAACTTTTTGGATGAGAGTTCTTCGTCGACGAGGTCTATAATCTCGTAAGGTAATAGTCCACGACCTCGTCGCGATGAGATGGCCTAGATAATCATTACCCGATTAGTGCGACGTACTTATAAATTTGAATAAGAGGAACTCGTTTGTCGTACCCGAGCATGACTCCAAGACCTATTCAGCTCAACAGGCTGTGCATCACCTTCAAGACATCCAGGATCCAACCCATCATCCCCATACTGAAACTGAACAACCCCTCCCTCAGAATTCCTCACACTCATATCATACATCGTAGTCAAGTCTTCCAACGCTTTCATCAACCTGCGCTGCATATACCCTGTTTCCGCAGTCTTAACAGCAGTGTCGACTAAACCTTCTCGACCGGAGATAGCGTGGAAGAGGAATTCGGTGGGTAGGAGACCTGTGTAGAAACTGTTACGGACGAAACCTTTTGAGGGAGGTTCTTTTGATTTTTTTGGGAAGTGGGGGAGGGAACGGTCTTGGAAGCCGTCTGGGACGCGTTTGCCGGCTATGATTTGTTGGCCGACGCATGCGACCATTTGGCAGACGTTAATAGCAGAGCCTTTAATGTACAGTGATAGTTAGTACATTGCATATGAATTGATGGTAAGAGGAAGCAGCGAGCTGACCTTTTGAACCACAGGTAGCCATGATGAGCGGTGCGTTATGTCGGCTGAGCTCCTTCATACATGTGTCTCCGACCGTATCACGGACTTTGGACAACACACCGGAAATCATAGCCTCTAGTGTTTGTTCCTGATTGCAACCCGGTTTATTCTCGAGTTTGCCTTTCTTAGCCTGTGCGATGAGGTCAATGCACGTCTCGTAGGCCGTTTCGATTAGCTTGTCTTTGTTTGCTGATAAGGTTGGTCCGGGGATTACGTCGTTGATACCGAGTGAGAAGCCTATGTTAGCTGCATAGAACAAGACGTGAATTACTGTTAGTGTGATATATCAGCAGAGAACTTACAGAGCCATCGAGCACAAAGCTTCGCAATCCTATTCATAGCAGCAGCAGCCTCATCAGGCCCATAATCCCTCAAAATAACACCAAATATCGACCTCTTCTTCCCACTCCCAACAGTCGCTTTATCCATAACACCACACATGATTTCACTATTGACGATAACAAGGTACCCATCATTCGGCGAAAGGTCAGGAGCAGGGTTCATCCTCGGGTAATTCGCAGGATCAGGTTTTTGTTCTTTGTTACATTTCGATTCGACGTTGACTAGTACGTTACTTCGTTTATTCGGACGCATCAGGACGTTAAAAATCTGTTTTCCCGTCCATAGTCGTTGAGGTTTGAGTATAGTTGGAGGAGGGATGTCGATTTGTAAGTCTGCGTCGCAGAAGTAGGAACAGATTTGTGCGAATTGTTGACGGTCGAAGAAACGATCACGTTGGGAGAGGAGGAAGGATGCGGTGATGAAGTCTTGGATTGCGGAGATTACGGGTTCGCCGTTGCGGGGTGTGACGAGGTTGAGTTTGATGCTCATTAGGGTGAGGGCTTCGGTGCGTGCTTCTTCGGTTTGTGGTACGTCTTTGAAGTTGAAGGGTATGTGAGGGGATGGGATGTTTGGAGAGTGAGGGGCAAGGACGTACGGATGTTCATCTCGTCACCGTCGAAGTCGGCACCGTAAGGACCACATACGCATTCGTTTAGTCGGAAGGATCGCCATGGTCTCACTTTGACCTGGATGAGATGAACAGTTGAACGAACAGTTACTACGACTTCTAAGAAAAACTCACTCTATGACACATGATAGAAAGCTGCAAGACATCATCAGTAAAAGAATGTACGAGCATCGCACTACACTCACTTTGTGCAAACTAGGCTGTCGATTGAACAGCACCACGTCTCCGTCAATTAAGTGTCGTTCTACAACATCACCAATCCTCAACCCATCCGCAATAGCGTTCCGATTTCCAAACTTCAAAAACTTCTTAAACCCACTACTCCCAGCCGTAACATAATTCGCCCCAGGATGAACATCACATCCATTCCTCACCGCATATCTCAGCACATTGACGTTATGCGCAGTAACGCGTTCTGGATAAGTTAAGATCTTCGCAACTCGCTCCGGAATAGCAACTTCATCGATTCTCAAGTTCGGATCCGGGGAAATAACAGTCCTCCCAGAGAAATCCACCCTCTTCCCACTCAAATTCCCTCGAAACCTCCCCTGCTTCCCCTTAAGCCTCTGACAAAACCCCCTAATCGGTTTCTGCGCCATCTGAATCGGTATACCCGGAGTCTCCGAATTAATATATATCGCTACGCTAACTTGAAGGAAATCCCATTGTTCCATGAATTGTTGAGTCGGAGCGCCTTTTGCTAGTCCTTGTTTGATTAATGCGGAAGTGAAGACTATTTCTGTTAGTTTGACTGTGAGGTCGTCTTCGTTTGATGCGCCGTCTTGGGCTACGGAGGGACGGATGCAGACGGGGGGTACGGAGATGTATTGCCAGATGTATTCTTCTGGACGGCCGTGGGAGGGGTTTAGGCCGAGGAGTTCGCAGTCCTACATATTATTAGCATAAGAAAAGAAGTGATAATTTAGGGGAGCGACTCACCTCATCTGATATCCTCCTAAACAAATCCAAAACCTTCAAAGGATTCAAATCCTCCTGAACCGCCTTATTAATATACATCCCAATCTCCTTCTGTCCCTCGATAGCCTTCGCAAACGACCTCTTAAACCTCTCCAACTCATCTGCAGTTTTCTTCGCGCGGAACTTGTCATGTACGATTTTGATCGCACCTGCTTTTTTGACGGTACCGTTTGTTGAGGAACAGTAAGGGCAGTAGACGACTTTACGGGCGGATGAGTTGATGGATTTGACTAGGGATGTGCGGTGGATGTTTTCGAGGTGTGGACGACGGAAACGTTTGAGGTATGTTCGGCGGTCTGGTTCGGAGAGGAGGACGCGTGCGCAGGACTAATGTGCATATGTTAGTTAAATAATAATGGCTAGAGCATGGGAATGACTGCTACGAACCTTGCATATGCATTGTAAGATGGTGACGATATGCTTAAGGTACCCAACATGGAACACAGGTAACGCAAGCTTGATATACGCATAGTGTCCCACACAATCTGCAGAAGACAACCCACACGTCTCGCAAAACGCACTCTTCTCCGTCGTTCCCTTCAAAGTTACCACACATTAACAAAAATACTCCCAGCTGTATCTTCTTGAGAGTGATTGAGTGCATGGATGTACTTACGAGTCTCCGATCCAAAACCCCATCCCTAACAGGCACCCTATCCACAGGCGTATACAAATCCTGATGCGTAACCTGGAATTCAGAAAGCTTGACAATGTCTTGTGCGTTTAGCAAGCTGAATTGGATTTGCTTGCTGCAAAGCGAAATTAAATTCATGTGAGCTAGGAATGACTGGTATAGGATAGGTTTGGAACGTACATGACTTTGGGAGCATTGTGTGACACAGAGTCTTTCATGTTTGGCTTGTTGCATGTGCCGTGCAGCAGTAACCGAGTGCTGGCTGCGCGTCTAGCTAGTGGTATAAAGCAAGAAGTGTAGGTTGACTCAATAAATAATTCATCGAGCTCAAATTCGGTCCGCGTCGATCCCCTTCCGTCCGTATCTGGCATCTGAATCATCTGATCACACTGCTGTAGTCTTGAGTCTCCATTGTCAACACAAATTCATAAAAAATAAAAGAAATGAAAAACCAACAGATCGAAACTCAGGCAGTTATAACTTATACTCAATACCTGATATTCAATCGCAGGAAATACAAGTGACATAACGTACACATATCTGTTAAGTTGTGGGCTAAGGTTTATAGAGTCAAAAAAAAACAGTGGGTCCCAAGAAACAAACGAAAAACGAAACAGAAGGATGCAGAGTCCATAGACGACTGGGGTATACATAGACGACAGATGAATGCGCGTCAAGTATTAAGAAGAAATAACTCAAACCCCCATTTTCTCTCTCCACTCGCTCACAGCGCCGAATACGACTCAACCTTCGTCCTCGAAAGCCTCGTCAAAAACTTCCTCCTCACACAAACTGCCTTATCCCATACGCTCATCCCTCCACCCGCCTCGTCTTCCCAATCCCTTTTCGGCACGTCCCAATCCCTAGTTGCATCGTCCCTCGTCGCAGCAACGACGTACAACCTCGGGTCCCTCGCCATAGCTCTCACAGCCCACCCTTTTAAACTCAACTCATCGAACCGCCAATACCGCGGGTTGAGCGTGAGGACTACCATTTGTAGGGACGGTTGCGCGAGGATGTAGTCTAGCCCTGTGAAGGAGGAGGTTGCTGCGCTGCCTGTTGGAGAGGTGGATTGGAAGGATGTGGAGGTGATGCGGAGGTCGAAGAAGGGGAGGCAGAGGTGAGTGAGGTTTGGTGTGTATTCCAGAGGGACTACGTAAGACGAACGGTGATACCGGGGTGAGTGATTTGATGGACAGGAAGGTAAAGAAGTAAAGACGTACTGTAATGTGAGAGACAGAGGTTGAGGAGACGGAGATGCGTGACGCCACGTAAGAAAGCGCGTCCGTCGGGGCTGGAAGTGAGGGGTTGCCAGCGATGAGGGTGCGATTGGCCGAGAACAGTGAATGACCGGCATTGAGGCGTTGCCTCGAACTCTATCGAGCAACTGGCTTCCTCCGTATCGATCTGAAGAGCATTATCTGCACTCAGGTTGAGACTGCTGTTCAAATGGGCTTGTGTATGTCGCCAGCGTTTGGTCCGACAGATCGTGGCAGCTGCTTCGAGTGGTAAGGCAAGCTGCACGAGGCGCGGACACGCGTCAAGGGAACGTGGTGCGTGGTCGAGTGGGACGTCGAGCCAGAGTGAGCGCACGTGGCGTAATGGGCTCTCGATTTGAGGCAAGACGCCTACATCGCCATCCTCGACATCAGAGATAAGGTCAAACGGCGAGGGCCCATCACCGTGCACGACGAGCGTGCCGTAGAGTGCGGGGAGCACAGCGGCGCGGACCCATGTCGCCACGCGGCATAGGTTAAGCGCAGTTCGTCGATGAGTGGCAGCAAGTTCGACGATATTAAATATGAGTTCGACAGGGAGAGAAAGGGAGTGTTCAGTCGGGGGCTCAGCCCATGTGTTGTTGCCACTGTCGTCTAGTGGAGTGAACTCTTCGCTGTCGTCTGTGTCTAGATCGTCGTCTGAGTCGTCTGCGACGAACCTGTCGTCGTCTGTGGGGATGTCGTGCTGGAGGGGCGGAAGGGGGAGGGAGAGGGCGGAGAACTTTGAGGGGCTGCCTAGTGGACTGAGGAGCATGAGCAGCAGGCCTTGACGCACCGAGGCTGGCCTGTCGCCCTATTTGTATGCGCCTCGTGTCCTACACGCGGCACACTTCCCGATATTCCGAAACTCAGTACATAATCACTACAACAAAAAGGACTCAATCTTTTTACAGTAGACAAACACCCTCAGATCACTACCGTCAATCATCATGTCATCATCATCATCATGCACTCGCAGTCGTCCCTTCCACGGCCAACCCCGTGTGTCCACCAGTCGATCCAAATCCGCCCGCACCACGCAGCGTCTCTTCCAAGTCCTGTTTTTGAAACGCAAGATATAAATGCAAATAGAAATAAATGGGGCGTCGTTAGCATCGAACGTTCGACAGTTGCCTTTTCTCACCCGCCAGTACACAACGAAGAGATAAGCAATAGGTAATTGAATGTAGTCCACTTACGTCTACTTCCACGACGTCAGGCGTCTCGATCTTCTCAATGATCAGTTGCGCGATTCTATCCCCTTCTTTCACTTCCGTCCCCCCATATATTATCAGCGTCACCATTCACAACTAAAGCGTAAATGGAAACCGCCTGCCTACCTTCGAAGTCAGTCTCGGAAAGGTTGAACAGCAGCACGAACACCGTGCCCCGATAGTCTGAGTCGATAACACCAGCCCCTGTGTCGATCATGAACTTCGACGCTGCATGCAGGGATCAATAAACCCAATCGTTAGCATCTGAATCGTGTGACCACCCCTGGGCGTCTAATGCCCAACGATAGCAGAGATAGTGAAAAAAAGTGAAGTGAAGCAAGACATACCGAGCCCACTACGTGGTGCAACACGTCCATAACACCCCAAAGGAACAGCGATTGAAATCTGTGTGTCGATAAGCGCCTTGCCCCTCGCTGGCACAACTTTCTTCTCTGCACTGTGTGTATGTTCGTGTGTAAGATAACGTATCAATACAATACAGTTCAGTCGTTTGGTTCCGTCCGGGGAAAGTAGAGTTTGAGGGTTAGAGTTAGGATAGGATAGGATGGGGTAGGTTAGGGCTTACCTGTAGAGATCGTACCCAGCTGCGAACGCAGACCCACGCGTGGGGAGGAAGGCTCTGTCCGAGAGCCGTTTTATGAGCAGCCGGGAAGGAAGGGGAGGGGGTGCGACGCTTGATTCGTTGTCGTCGAGTTTGCGCTTTTTGGCGTCAACGCCGTCTGGGATGACGTTAATTCCATTTTGGTCCGACATGCTTTCTATATTCTACTATGTAAGCGAGGTGAGGTTGAGTGGTGATGAAGAGAGACGAGGTGAAGAGAGACGCGTCGCGTAAATAAATAAACAAAAATGTGGGTGTAAAATCGCGTGACGGATTTGAGTCACACCGCGTCGCGTTCAGCCTGCGCGTCTATCACTCTCTATTTCTGTTACCAGCTTTTGCTTCCGCTTACCTTCATCACCCCTTTGTCTACGACGAACATGCCACCACGCCCCAGCCAGGGCTCACAAAGCTGGCTAGCAGGCGCCGATAACACTCTTGATAATTACTTCAAAAGCGGTGGTGCTTTGGTTTCGTCTTCCTCTACGTCGAAGCGTGGCAGTGGATCGCGTAATGCTAGTAGGGGTGCTAATAAGGCCGCTCTGGGTTCTGGGTCGAAGCGGAAAAGGGATCCTCCCAGTAGACGTGATATGTCGAATGAAGTGAATGGACCTACTGCTAAAAGAGCGAAGATAGTTGGCTCAGGGGAGGGCGATGCGAGACACAGTACGCCACCAAAGTCGAAAGCGGAGGGGAAGGGAAAAGCTCGACAGGCACTTGGGGACCTCACTTCCGCTTTGCAGAATAGTCCGCACAGGCAACGTACCAGAGATAAGCCGGTAGCTATCCAACTCGACGATGACTCGTCATCCGAACCGGAGTCTAATTGTGATAATGCGCCGAAACGTTTAACGGCATTGACGTATGGAAAGACTCCTTGTCGACCTTTGACGAGGGTTCCAAACCATCTTAACGCGCATTTACCTACTCCACCTTCATCAAGCATGGTTCCTAGTCGTAGACTGGTTACGGACGAACGCGGTTCGTCGCCTACCTCGCATTTCACTTCTTCAAAACAGAAGCAACCACAACAGTCGAATAACGCGGAGAAGCTAGCTGCACAAACACCATTCGCATTCACAGTGGCATCGTCGAAGCGAGCGTATCCAACGCCGATGAGCATTGCTGTTCCCCGTCTGAACTTGACACGACCAGCTAACGCAGAAGACAACAATCCTGCCCCTCCGCTTCCTGCACCGAATTTACATATGGACTTTGACTCCGACTCTCCGCTTACTTCATTGTCATCTTCGTCACCAGCTAAATCGACCAAGTCTGATCATGACGAAGTCGTTGAAGATCGCGATGTACGCGAGACAAAGATAAACGACGCTCCTCAAACCGATACATCTACGCCTCGCAAAGACAAAGGTAAATCGAAGATGTACATGTACGAAGTCATCCCGTCCTCTCAGACGCAGTATATACATTACTCTCCGACGAAGAAGAAAACGCGGAACGAGTCGTCTGAAGATCGGATTCAGTGTTCTTTCGCGGCTGGGAGAAATAAAGTGCTGGACTTGACGGTTATCCCGTGTTCGCAATCGCAATCATCATCCTCATCCTTTGAAGTTCTGCCACCTCAACGGAACGAATCTCGGGTCAATGCCGCGGGAATGGGACTCTCAGTTTCAGTCTCACCAACACTACGGAGACAACGACAGCGGTCTGTACTGAATCTCGTCGTTCCGACGTCTCAGGAGGATGAGATTGAGATTAGTTTGATGGATGGGTCGGGGTCCCTGCCGAGGTTTTCACAGCTCGTAAGGGAGTATTCGAGTATGGTTGGTGTTAGTGACAATACGGCAGGCGAAGAGAGGTTTGTGATTGACTCGTTTTTTTTCTGATGTGTGGGTTTTATTTCTCATTTGTTATTGCTTAGAGTCAGCGTTGCCACACGAAGTCAAGAAGGTATTGAGGAGAAGTTGCAGGCAAACAACGAGTCGAAGGATTCCAACCAGAATAGACGGAAGGAGACGCCAGTGCCAGGTACTACCACTACCGGACCATCTCAATCAACGCAAATGCACTTCATAAACGCCATACTTGACGACCTTGACCGACTCGCTGAAGAGACGCGACTTAATACGACGACTGCTTCTCAGGTTCTTGCCCGCACACGTGCACGAATCTCCAATCCGTCATCTTCGTCCTTATCGTCGGAAAACAGCAGCTCCAGAGGACGAAGGCAAAATTTATTTATGCAAAGTTCTGTGACAGAGCCGGACAGTTCTCAGTGGGGGGAAGACCCGTTCTCTTTGACCAACGAGGCGTATGCTAGGCATCTCGGGTTACGTGTGTCTCGACCTTCTACTAATGCTGCTACTACCTCACGTCGGCATCGAGAGTGGGAGAACGCGGAGGGCTTGCCTTTGTCTCAGCCTACGTGCACGCAGAGCTCTGCAACGCAACCGGATTCAGACGAAGAAGACCCGTTCCCGACTCTTCCCCCTCCTCCGGCTCCGCCGTCTACAGCAGAAACAATTAGTCACAAAGGTGCAGGTGGGAGTCAGGCGCAGAGTGAAACGGAGAGTGAGACCGAGAACGAAGATGAAGATTGTGGGAATGGGGATGATGTGGACGGGGCAACGTCAATGCCGGATATAACCTCCCCCGACGATATTTTTGACTTCAGGTTGTTGTCACCTCGTGAGGTGAGGAGGGTTGTTGAGAGTGGGATGAGGTTCCGCAGGCTGGGTCAGAGCTCTTTCGTACTTCGTTCCTCGAGTCGTGGAGAAGAAGGACAGGACGAAGACGAAGGAGAAGGTGGCGTTAGAGGAGAGAGTGAAGGAGAGGAGGAAGGAGAAAGCATGCCAAACACTGTGCGTGAGTTCCTTCGGATGCTTGATACGCAGAACCAGAGTCCGGGCTGGAACCAGAGCCAGACACCGAGTGAGGTTTAAAGGTTGATGGAGATTGTCGCCGGAAAGTTTTGAACATTGGAATAGAAAAGTCTTAATCCGTTGCTTGTATACGATAGTATTTGTTATTGCTTTTTAAATGCTTTGCTTTCGGAATTTGTAGCATACGGATTAGTTTCGCGCTTTTACAGCACTTGCTTTCGATTAACGTGGAATGTAACATAGTTGCCATCATCTCATCGCCAGCATTGTCGTACTGAAGGTCAATCTTTGTCCATGTGAAGGGATATTGATATTGATATTGCACAAATAAGAGAAAGACAAAAAACCGAATTCGTCCCTGTTTGTGTCTACACTCAAGCTACAAAACTAATGCCTAATCCTTCTCGGCATATGCGAGTAAATGACGCTCGACCTCAACGACGTCCATCACGCGCCACTTCCCTCTTGATTCCTCTGGTTCGTCTTCTGAGGTTGAGACGATACCGATTTCGATCTCCCCGGCTTTGAAGTCTTGTGAGTAGACGGTTGCGATTGCTTCGATTGCCATCTCAATGACATCTGCCCGATTTAAGGATTGTCCAGCAGCGATCGCATCGTCTGCACCAGCGCCGTTATCCAGCTTCTTCCATTTCTTCTCGAGGTGGTTCATTGCTTCTTGTTGTTTTTGGCCTGCGGCTGTTGCGTGGAACCCGACGTAGTACCCTGCTGGGTCGAGTTTGAAGCATTGGGCACCGTACTCGTCGTCGATGCCGATTAGTGTCATGGCTACATCGCAAGAGTAAAGTCAAGTCGGATTCTGTTGAGAAGTTTGGATGAAATGGGGGGCTTAAGGCTTACCGATCCCGAGTGGACGCATAGCTGCACGCTGGGTATATACTTGATTGATATTCGCGAGTCGACGTGCTAGGGCTTCAGGACTGATTTCGTAGCCGTACTTGTAGTGGAACTCGGCTGCTTCGGCGCGTGCGCGTGTTACTTGGGCGTGGCCATCAGCTGTAGAACAGTATATACGATGACAGCAGACGCGTCATCCCCGTCTCATTTAGAATTACCAGCTCAAAGGAAGAAGTACGTGATGGATGCGGACGTACCAATTCGACCTGTTATTACGCATCCTATTGAAGGCGTGATGGAGAATAGGTGGGTTATAGTCGCAGGGTCAAGGAGCTTGTCCTGCAAAACAAGCGAAATCAGTCTCACTAAAGGACGGTAGACGAACTGTTTCGAACGTACGGGCACTTTCTTCTGCGTCAACACGACGCTGGTATCCTTGCCACGAACAGCAATAGATGTTTGTCCCGAGCCTGAGATAGCCTTGAACGCATACTCTGTACACAGAGACCACGCGTTCCTGTTAGCTTTAGTTTCTTGCCTTGGATTGTTGAGGACGCGACGCGCGTCACGTACCGACTTGGTAGAGACGGCCTTCTGGGGAGAAGACGGTGAGGTATCTAGCAAACTTGATTAGCTTCATAGTGCATATAGTATGATTAATGAGCCGTACCTGTCGTACGAGGTTCGGGACATGCTGGTAGATTGTTAGAAAGGATTGTACGCGAGGAGGTGGACGTATGCTTGGTCTGCATCGAGGACGCGCAAGTGCAGGACGCGTGATCATTTTCCAAATAAAGAAATAACACTACACGCTGATCGACGTACAGTGTCTACTTCATGGCGTAACACAAACTTGCACAAAGTGCAGTTCTCTTTGTTTATATGTATGAGTCTACGACGCTCTAATGTTGATCTTTAAGTTATTTCCCTTATAGCATTGCATGCTAGCTCTTTCCAGTCTCAACTCAGTTCTGATGTGGGATTAGTCTGGTCTGGTCTTGTTCCTGGATGGTGGCAAGCTACCAACAAGTAAGGAATATGAAATCCCGACCTTGCCAAGTGGAGGAATTGCCTATGCATACGGCAGACCGTAACACACCCACAATCCGCAACTCGCAAACTACCTCTCCTAAAATATGCACGGGCGGATTCCCTTCCAGAACCTCTCCTATTGGAAAATGTGTCTAACTCTCATGGCCAGTGGCGCTATTCTGCTTTCGACTTCCTATGCACCTTGGGCTTGAGAAAAATGCAAAGTTGTTGGTACGATGCGGCGTCGGCGCTCTCTCTTGTCCTCCTTTCCTTTCATCTTGTCTACCAGCTAGCACGCCACATTCGCAAGACAGGAGACGTTTTGGAGGATAAGCAAGCCAGAAAGCAAGGGGGCGAGTGCGGCGACATTAACGAGCGACGATGAGCGCTGGTGGTGCTATCACTACTACTGGCGCTCGTCCAGTCGTCCCTCCCATCAACACAACCAACCTCCCTCCTCCTGCTCCACCAATTCCGAACTTTCATAATGCGAACAGAGGAGCAGGAGGAGCGCTTGGGAACAAACCTGTACCGCCGCCACCTCCGAAAAGTCCTTTGCGCGCTTCCTCTCGCGCTACTACACGTGAACAGTATCAAGAACGTGCAGCGTTAGGAAGGACGAGGAGCGGTTCTGCGGGGTCGACGAGCAGCTCGATCTCTCGAAGACGTGGCGATGGGAAGGTTATCCAGCTTACTATGCCCACACCTCTTAGTGCGCTTGACCCGCCTACGCCTACACGCGCGGAACAGATTCCTTCTCCTACTTCTCTAGGACAAGGACAGGCTCAGCTGGCTTCTATGTTGGAGAAGACGAGGAAGGCACGGGATACTACGACGGGAGGTACGGGAGGACCAGGGAACCTCTATCCTCCTCCCGCTTCTCCGCTCAATATCAAGAAAAAGGCACCACAGCGACCCGGTACGGGTAACAGCAACGGTAATATAATAAGACGAGAAAGCTCGTTCTCGAAGCTGGGTAAACGCCTCACGCGGAAGCCGAGTATGGCTTTCACTGGTTTGAACTTGCAAAGGATGGGGATGGGGAGGAAGAGGAGTAGTAATGGGAGCGGCGGTGGGTATAAACGGAGTGGGATATCTTCTGAGGATGTGTTTAGAAACTTGGACCGAAGTCAAGGAGAGCGAGGACAGGGACAGAGTGGAGACGTTGGTGGTGATGATGATAATGTGCCACTGCAGACATTGCAACAACAACGACAGAGTGGGGGATTGACGAGGAGGCTTTCGAAGAAGAAGCAGATGCAGCCGTCGACGCAGACTCAGAAGCAGAGGCCTGGTCAAGGAGAATGGACGAGGAGACGCTCGAGTTTGGCGAAGCTTGCGAGACGGGAGTCGGTAAAACTGAAAAGTATTTTGAAAAACCCTATCAGGTCTCAACCTCAACCACAACCGGCGAACAAGAACCAGGCTGAACTTTTGCCACAATCTACTCCTAAGCCTCGAGCAGCTGTTGCTGGACCTACTGGACGTACTACTGGATCTTCTGGTGTTGACGCGAACTCAAATTTGGGCATGGCGCAACCGCGGACAAAGACTGTGAACAGTGTAACCTGGGATTCTTCGCCGCCTCGAGAAGGTACTGCTCCTACTTCTACTACTACTCCTACCGATGCGGGAAGAAGACGTTCAGGAACTGGGACGAAGCTGCGAAGTATCCTCAAGCCAAGTCCAAGTGTAAATCCTGAACTCATTGCACCTGTCCCTACTAAGCCCTCAACTCTTCTGTCGGCAGCAATGGCACTGGAAGCTGACAAAGAGAATGCTCAACCTATGCAAATGCCAATACCGATGCAAGCGAATAATGACCAAGGTGAGGATTATGTTGGTTGGAGAGAGAACTTTATCAAGGAACTTGTCGTAGCTATTGCTGACCAACCTCAACCTCAACCAACTCTATTTGAAAATGCACGAACGAGGCTTCAAAGGACAAGAACGCAAAGCACCAATCAACCTCTAATCGCTAAGGAATCAACACCATCACCACCCCTGCCACCAATAACGACAACTACAACAGCAAAGGAAACAAAGAACCGAATGTCAACTGCTAGTGGTGCTAGTTCTACTACCGGGAAAGACATACTCAACGAAATTGATCTGAAACAGCTTTCTGCTTCTGAGGCGCGGAAGTTAATTAGGCAACATAATCGACAGTATTTCCAGTCGCAGATTTGGGACCCGGCGCTTGCGAAGGACTTTGCTGAGACGTATCAGATTGCTAATGCTAATGAAGGTAGTGACCAACAGCAATTTTACCAGCGGCAGCCGCCGCCTCAAAATCTTGGACTCGGGGCAATTGCGAACGGAATTAATGGTGCTAATGCAAATGCGAATGGTAATGGGAAAAGGAATAGTTATTCACAGATGCTAATACAAGGTACACCTCGGAATTCCTGGAAGCGTACTTCGTTCTTTAGGCCTTCACCTCCGCCAAAGGACGACGACCTCGAGAAATTCGACTGGCGGAAATTCGGTAGCCCATTCTCGTCAAATGAGAAACGAACTTCGAGGGATAGAGATAGTCGAGATGATTGGGGTCTTTCTGTTCGTCTTGCACTGGCGAAGTTGGAGAATAAGATAGCTACGGAGGCGAATAATGATCCTGCGAAGTTTATGAAGGCGAGGAGGGAGTCTGCGCAGTTGAGGGCGTGGATTGCGAGTCAGAGACGGACGAGTGAGTCGAGGTTGAGTAAGATTGCGAGTGCGAGGCAGCAGTTGATGTCGTTGGGTGTGACGATTGGATCGGGTGGTGCTGCTTCTGGAGCTGCTGGTACTGGTGTTGGTAACGGGATTGGTGCTGTTCCTGCCGGTCGTGTAAGTGCTGGTACGAATGCTACTGGGAGTGGAGGGAATGGAGCGACGAACACGCTTGAACAGGACGACGACGCGTTCGTTGCGGAGCTGCTACGCGAGAACGAGATCAAGCTTAAACATAGTTCGAACCCGATGGGCGAAGCGGAGCGGATGTTTGGCCCTCCAAACTCGAATCACCATTATACGCCGTTCTCGCAGCATCCGGCTGGACTTGCGACGTTACAAGAGGAAGAAGCCGAAGGAGAGTCAAGGGAAGGAGATCACTCCGAGAAAGCACAGCACTTGATCACAGGTGATGCAGGTATCGGTGCACACCCAACAGTACGAGACCGACAAATATTGTCAACGTCAACGTTCTTCCGTCCCGGCCCACTCAGGAGTAGAGCGAAAAGTAGCGTCTTCTCGATCTTTGACGAGAAGAAAGCCGCGCGGCGGGAAGGGAGGGAGTATAAATCTAAATCCAAGTTCCTTAGTACCGCTACCAATACTACCAATGCGACCTCGACGACGGGAACTTCGACGACAACGCAGAGTCAGATTGATCAGGTTGAGATGCAGGAGGCGAGATGTTGTGGGTTGTGGAAGCCGAAGGCTTTCGTGGATGAGATTTCACAGGACTCGGACATGGTACGCAAATAATATAGGATAGGACATTCACGCTCTTTCAATGTGTTTTCTTGTTTTTGCCTTTTGTATTTTGTACTTGGAGTCTTGTGCACCACATCCACTCCTTCCATTTCTTAGGATCTATTCACATCTTTGGACAGGACTAGATACTCACTTCACTTTCCTTAACCTAATTTGTTATTATTTATTTATTCTTCCTCTTTTGTTTTGTCTGGATGCATTGTAGATATTGACACACTACCTAATGAGCATTTTGACAATGCTAGTATATTGATATTTTCCGTGTTTCTTGGTCTTGAATACTTTCAAGTTGATCAGGAGCGCAAATAAACGTCAACAAAAGAAAGAGAAATTGATCGTTTTGATGATTGGTCAGATATCAAGGATAGCCACGTGATGCTGGGAGTAAAACTCTCTGAAACTGCAAAAACTTTCGGACCTGAATTTCCGTGCGATCGTCCTTCCAACTACCTCCTCCTTACTCCTCTGTATACGTTACATAAAATGGGCAAGGTCGACAAGAAGGAAAAGAAGGAGAAGAAAGTGAAGGAGGTGAAGGCGAAGGAAGTGAAACCTGCTGCACCTGCTCCTGTACCTGCTGCGAAAAAGGCGAAGACGGTGCGTTACTTGTTGTTTCTTCTCTCACATGGATGGACGGAGCGCTGACTTTTAGTCTTATTTGCTTTTCCACCCGGGCTAGCAGAAAGCTGCGAACGGAAAACAAGAAAAACCGGGGAAGCCTAAAGCTACACCTGCTCCTGCTCCTAAGAAGGCGAAAGCGAAGAAACAAGAGAGCAGCAGTAGTGAGGAAGACTCAGAAGAGGAGTCTGAAGAGGAAGTTAAAGTAAAGGGAAAGGCCACTCCTGTTAAGGTGTGTATATCTTATCTCTCGCTTGTCTCCGTTTCTTTTCATTGACGTATCGAAAGAAGGCGAAACCTGAGAGTAGTAGTAGCGAGAGTGAGTCAGAGGAGGAGGAGGATGAAAAACCTGCTAAGAAGGTGAGTGCGAAAGTTGGGAAGGCAAAGGTTCGTTGATTTCTCCGCATCTACTATCGTCTTATATGCATATACTAACTAAACTGATATCTAATCTTATTTAACGTGTAACCTATGATGTCTTTTATTTTGCATAGCCTTCTTCATCTTCGTCGGAAGAAAGCGAGAGCTCCTCTGAAGAGGAAGAGTCCGCGAAGAAAGCGAATGGAAAAGTCACTCCAAAGAAGGTACGTAGTCATCATTCTTCGACACAGCTGCGGTTTATATAGCATTTTTGCAGGCGTCGTCGTCGTCGGAAGAGGAAAGCGACGGGTCTTCCGAGGATGAGAAACCCAAAACAGCACAAATAAAAGATGCTTCAAAGAAGGCGAAAGAGGAAAGTAGCAGTGAAGACTCGTCTGAAAGCTCTTCGGAGGATGAAGCGCCCAAGGCCAAGGCCGCTGCTGCAAAAGCTGCCTCAGAGTCTGACTCGGATAGTGATGATGATAGTAGCAGTAGTGACGAGGAGAGTGCCAAGCCAACAGCTGCGAAAAAGGCTGCAAAGAAGGGAGAAGAGTCCTCAAGTGAGGAGTCTGATGGGAGCGAATCGGATGACGAGGATGAAGATGAGGACGCAGAGATGGCGGATGCTGCACCTGCTAAAAAGGATGCTCTAGCAAAGAATGGTAAGTCGTGGCATTACCTATTTCTCTGACCTATATTCTCATTTCTTCACAGGCAAACGCAAAGCAGACGAGTCTACATCCGCACCCTCCAAAAAGACCAAACTTGCCAACGGCGATGCCGCTGCACAAACATCCTCCGACTCTCAGGAAGACTCAAAAACTGTGTTTGTCGGACGACTATCTTGGAACGTCGATAACGACTGGCTCGCACAAGAGTTTGCAGATTGCGGCGAAGTTGTTTCTGCTCGTGTGCAGATGGACCGGAATACGGGCAAGTCTCGTGGGTTCGGATTTGTTGAGTTTGCAACGGCGGAAGGTGCCAATGCTGCTGTCGCGTTGAATGGGCAGAAGGAGATTGACGGACGCGCGGTGAACCTTGACAAGACGTCTGCGAAGCCTGCGGACCCTGAGAGACGTGCTAAAGCGTTTGGTGACTCGACGAGTGCACCGTCGAGCGTGCTGTTCGTCGGGAATGTCAGCTTTGACATGACAGAAGATGGGTTATGGGAAGTCTTCGCGGAGTATGGGGAGGTGAAGAGCGTGAGGCTCCCGACTGATAGGGATACCCAGCGGTTGAAGGGGTACGGTTATGTGGAGTTTGTTGATGTGGAGTCTGCAAAGAAGGCGTTTGAGGGCGCGAGGGGAATGGATGTTGGTGGGAGGACGATTAGGTTGGACTATGCACAGCCGAGAGACGGAAATGGCGGAGGTGGAGGTGGAGGCGGAGGTGGAGGCGGGTTTGGGGGAAGGAGAGGTGGAAGAGGTGGGGGTGGTGACCGCGGATGGGTAAGTCCATGAATTCGTAGATGTGGTATTTCGACCGGCTAATCCATCAACCAGGCTGGACGAGGTGGATTCGGCGGTGGTGACAGAGGCGGACGTGTAAGTTCAAAGATCTCAAAGGTTGCTTTCTCCATGTCGTATACTAACTTCGTATATCAGGGTGGTGGACGTGGAGGGTTCAACGACCGCGGCCGAGGTGGAGGCAGGGGAGGCAGAGGAGGAGGACGCGGCGCACCTCGAGGAGGCGCACGAACAGGCGGTGCCGTCGAGTTCAAAGGCGAGAAACTCAGGTTCTGAAGGCAGACCACTTGCTATTGCACCCCTCCTCTCGACCACGTTAATGAACGTTAATATGCACCTCAACTTCTTATCTTGTGTTTCGGAGTTCGTTATTCAGACGCACCTTGTCTAGATATGCTCTTGGTCATTTCTCTTTTGTCGCTATTTTCTTCGTTATTCCGTCTAACCGTCTCCTTCACTTGCAGGATTTCCTGTTAATTCTGCAATGCTCTTGCCCTTGTTCTGCACACACACATGTACTGTACATACCAAACCAAAAGCAGTTCACTGGCAATGTGCGAGGATGAAAATAATTTGTCGTCTGTCAATCCTTAGATCCTCAACCTAAGGCAAGTGGGTAGGGCATATGTGAACTATGCATATGACGGAAGGAAAACAATATTACGTTTGTCTTTAAAGAGAATAGTGTGCTTTCTTAGCTCAGTTGGCTAGAGCGCCAGTCTCATACTTTACGTATGACTTCCGAAATTGGAAGAGAGATCTGGAAGTCGCAGGTTCGAGCCCTGCAGAGAGCAACTTAAGAGTTGTATGATGGATCTTTTTTTCCCTTCCTCTCTTCTTCTTCCTTCCCTTCCATTTCCATTCTTCTTTCATTCCTTTTTTCTTTCGACTCTCTGTCGCAGTCAGCTATGAGGACTAATTATTATGTTTAATCTGGTATCCATAGCTTCTCTTGTACATGACACACTATTAAGACGTATCGGGTTTATGTTTGAAATGTTCATGCATTTATTCGTGCAAATTCAATTTCACTCAGAAATCAGAAATCACATTTCAATATATCATTTTAATGAGTAACTTGATACGACAGCATGCACAATGTATTTCCATACAGTGACAGACACTGCCCTACACCACCCAGAACTATATTCATTCTTGCATGATCTAAATTTAACCAATTTCAAAAGCACTTGCGATGAACAATCCCTGGACCAGATTCATCGTACTCCTGCTTCGAGCACCACAAATTCTGGAATGTGCTCAATGATGCGAGGATCGAACCACCGATCCACACAGAGTACTTCCTTTCTGGCGGTGCGATTATCTTGACCTTGACACTGCTTGGCGCGAGTGCTGTGAGTTCCTTTTGCATGCGATCGGCTATGCCGGGGAACATGGTCGTTCCGCCTGAGAGGACTACGTTTGAGTATAGGTCGCGACGGATGTCGAGGTCGCACTTCGTTATGGAGTTGTAAGTCAGTTCGTGGATGCCTGCATGCTCGGCTCCGATGAAGGCTGGTTGGAAGAGTGCTTCGGGGGTGCGGAAGCTGGATATAAGTCAGTCGGACGTCTCGGGAAGAGAGTTTGTAGAATTGTGTGAGTTTAACTGACCGCTCGTTACCGATTGTTATGACTTGACCATCCGGAAGCTCGTAATTCTTCTCTACCATAGACGACATCGCAGCTTTCTGCATCTCTTCTTCGAAGTCTAGCGCGACGTAGCTGAGTTTCTCCTTGATGTCGCGCACGATCTCGCGTTCTGCGGTCGTTTTGAACTGGTATCCGCGTTCCGTGAGGATCTTCATCAGGTGGTCCGTCAGATCACGTCCTGCAAGGTCCAGACGCAGAATCGAATGCGGCATGGAGTATCCTTCGTATATCGGTACAGTGTGTGAGACACCATCTCCGGAATCGAGAACGATACCTGTTGTACGACCCGATGCGTACAGAGAGAGCACAGCTTGGACCTGGACGTAGAACGCAGGAGCGTTGAACGTCTCAAACATAATCTGCGTCATCTTCTCCCTATTGGCTTTTGGGTTCAGCGGCGCTTCGGTAAGCAGGACGGCATGTTCTTCTGGTGCGACGCGTAGCTCGTTGTAGAATGTGTGATGCCAGATTTTCTCCATGTCGTCCCAGTTCGTCACGATACCGTGTTCGATTGGGTATTTGAGCGAAAGGATACCGCGTTTGGACTGGGCTTCGTCGCTTTAAAAACCGGTTGGAAACGTTAGTCGTTTATTTGGGGAAAGGGGTACTGCTTGATTTACCCGACGTAGGAATCCTTCTGGGTCATTCCGACCATGACTCCCTGTTGACGGGGACGACCGACGATCGACCTGAACCCGCATGTAAGTGATACAATAAGACAAGAACAGCTCATATTGTAACGTACGGAAAGACCCCGCGAGGTGCATCGTCGCCTGTAGATCGATTGATATGAGAACGAGTGTCAAAAGTAACGAGCAGTATCATTTACCAGCAACTATGTATTATCAATAGCGTCAGCTACCATATTTCACTACAGAAAGCAATAGAGACTTACATCCAGCCTTGCACATGCCAGAACCATTATCAATGACCTATATGGAAGCGAAGTTGATTCAGTAAATAAAAGGCCAGTCTAGTATGTTGCTATGAATGAACGCACAATCGCAGCAATTTCGTCCTCCATCTTGTTTTTTTTTACCGGTTAAGAAGGCAGAAGAGCGATAGTTTGCTATGTGAATCGACAGCATTGAAGTTCAGTGAGGCTTAAATATGTAAGACTGCGTGCTGCGAGGACGGAGGCATGACTTGGGCAAACGACCGCGGGCACAGGCATCGTGCGGAGGTAGCTTGCGGTCAAGGTGCGCAGCGGCAATATTCTGTTACGCCGTGTGGCGCATCGCCGACGTTATACACTTGGCATTGAACGGCGCAGCGGGAGTATGAGATGGTTTATGAACAAGACGGGTGTGATAATATGATGGCTATTACGACATCAGCCTGAGGATGATGACTAGTTTGGCGAAAAGATACGTATGCTGTGGTCATCACTAGCGATACGCAATGGCAAGCGAGCTTAAGATCGAACCACTCCTAGCGTTGCTGAAGATCGCAGTACGCTGTACGCAGCACGTTCGACAAGACAATATCACATCGTACGACTTGGTGTAGTGGCAGCACAACCGGAGAGAGCTGAATGCGCAGCATCCAGCAGGGAATTGTTTCATGACCAGATTAATATTGAGACCAGTTCCGAGTGTAGCATAAATGAAAATTCAGTATGTATAACTTTAAGTCATCTAAGTGAGATTGTACAGCACTTGTCTTGCTTGTGCTTGTATTACTGTGATGATAGTTGTAGATAGAGAAATTCGTGCACCAAAGGTTAAAATTGGATGAACTGTATTGACTAGAGTACGAGTGGAAACTCCCGAGAGCCTGTGGGAAACTAGTTTTCCACAGGTCATTTTGCTGGGGCTCTGGAGGCGTGGTAAACCTCGCGTGGACAACACTTAGTCAGCATATTAGTAATATCATTATAATGTTCCAAAAAGGAAATTTTAAAGAATTTTGTGTCGTTTACCTCTATTGAGCTGAAAATTTAGGTACAATATTAATTTCAGACATTGGTTATACTGCTGAGAGCAATTTTATTGTGTTTTATAGTCTACCAGTGTTGAAACATACATAATAAATAGATATATCTAAGAGAAATAAAAAGAAAGAGGCAGCTAATTACATTGACCAGGCTTTATTATTGTTCAAAATTTGTAAATTGTCCAAAGAGGTACTGGAAATATTGTCCATATCTATCACTTGTACCTCTCCAGATTTATCAGAGTGTACTCCTTCAAATGAAGGAGTATCTGAAAGAATGTCAAGCAAAATAGGAGATGTTAACCTAATAAAATGACAGACATAGAGTATATG